ATTTATTCGTATGATTTTGTGCAGTATTCTATATTAAAATTGTGAAAAACAAACAAACTTTCGATCGAAGCCGAAATATTACAATACAGTATGCATATTACGCACTTCATGGTCACACAGAGAAATCACCTAAAAAACTTCTTAGTATAGTCCTATAAGAACTGACATGTGGAATTTACATGCCTTCTTTAGCTTCAATATATTAGAAAAAAGACACCATCTTAACATCTGTAAAAGGCGAAAGTTCTTGCCGTATGATGATCGATTGCCAGGCAACAGTGCCATTTTTATGTCTACATTTTAAATAGAATTTATTTTTACAGCGCTGTATTTTTCATTTTCGTATTTCGTATTTTTATTATTATAAGCATTAAATTAAACGGTAACTAAGGCTGTTATTAATATTTATTACTTAAGTTCGATTGTTCACGTCTGTAATGAGGAGTGGAAGAGAGCATATCACAATTCTCTTCGAAAGCATCATAAAGTTGCCTGTTTCTATCGGTTGTTATGAATTAGAGTTTGAAATGATAAAAGACTTGCTAGAAACTTTAATGCACTAGAATTTATTGGTTTTACCTTTTGAAGCGTAATTTTTTTATTTATTTTATCACTATGAGTACTTACTGCAAATTTGGCTACACGGATAAAGTAACATAATAGCTCAATAGATAGAACAAGGTTTTATTCAAGAAGTAATACTAAAAATGGTAGCTTTTCTCTATTCAGTCTTTGTTCTAATGATCAAAATAACGCTTACCCTAGTAGCATAAGAATAAAAACTAATACCAACATTATTGATGTTGAGAAGTTCATATCACTATTAGTTCCTAATAGAACAGTAATGCGAACACTAATATTAGCTAATAATGGTGAGTGTGCGTGTTGATGAGGTATCATGGCTGCAGATGTGAATGTGGTAAATGAACAAATGCAGGCCAATGGTCACAATCCTATCGACATTCGCATTCAAGAAAGAAAAGTTCTTCTTGAGGATGTGAAAATTATAGTAAGATCGACTATATAATAAATTACGGAGTAGTCTTTCATCTATTGATGTTAATTCATCTGATCCCTCAACGCATGATAGCGACTAGACATTGAACCAGTACCAGTACAGTACAAGTACAAATACTGTATACTGAAAATTTGTACTTTGTACTTAAGTAAAAGTACTAAGTATTGTACTAAGTATTCAATGTCTGATAGAGACAAGGAAAATATCCATCCGGCGACACAAAATATGGCCACGGTTACAACCTACAAAGGTTACTATTGGGTCCTTTTAAAAATGATAAAGGTATTCGTTCAATTATATTTAATGAATTTTCATGTTCACAATCTCACATAAAATCATTCAGTAAAATGAAGCATTGTTGTATGAAACGAACAAAAGCGTACTCCCTGAAGAAGAAGAATAGTACTTGTACACTTTGGTCTGATTTGTTTTCCAAAAATTCATTGTCTTTTTATGTGTTACAGGATGCAACGATAAACGGAACGGTACGAGTGACCCGAATGAGCAAATCTTCATGGCAAACTCCACGCACAAGTGAAGTAACGAAAGGGCAACATCGAGCATCCAGATTGTTGACATCATCGGTTTATCCGCAAGTATGTAATTATTGCTTTCTCTATTCAGATTCCCATGAGATTCATTCACCTGAGATATAACTAAAGCAACTTTTTTAAATTTCAACTTTTACTCTAACTGAAAGCTCTGGGCATAAAATATGATCAGAGGCAGCAAGATATTGAGGGGTCCACGAGAAATTTATTTTACCCCGTTTTACTAAACTATATATATATTGAACTCCCTTTACTCCCTTTGGCCCCTTTAGTTCTTTTAGTCCTTTTACTACCTTTACTTCTGTAATAGTAGTGCTAAAGACAAATAACTTCTGATAATGAAACAAGAAATCATAGTTGATGATTATCATTTTTCAAGTTCAAATGGTTGACGCAGAATTAAAATTAAAACGTTTACAATTAAAATGATGAAATAAAGATAGAAAACAAAATTTACAACTTTCTTCGAAAAAAAAATAATATAGTTTAATCAAGCAACGTTTTAACGACGAATTCGCTTGTTCATATCGCACAGTATTTATATCTGAAGAAATCTGCTATCTTTCGAACATGCATCACCCTTCATAGAGAGTAAAAGAAGGATGTGGGTTTGTAAGTTATATATAGAAAAGTAAAACGGGATAAAATAAATTTCTCGTAGACCTATGAGTTGTTTTCAACAAAGCTATGTTCATTATTCTGAAATCGGCAAAATGCCAAATTGACCAACAGTCAACCGGAAATGAGCTCTTTGTTTTCATTTTTACAATAATATGCAGTTATCAAATCGATATTATAAAAATACATTGTTTCAGCGTTATACTACTTGACTAAAACTAACGGTGTTGAAGTTTTGGTCTAATTTCCTCATGTTACTTTAACAAAAGAAAGCAAACACTGAATTGGTCGATGTCTGTAGTTTTACAAGAATACTTAAAAATTGGTAACAGAGTCACCTATAACAATCGACGTTATGCAGATAGAGCGTTTTAATTCATTTTTATCTATGAAATGATTATCCTAAAAGTCAACATGTGACAGAGAAATTCCTAAGAACATTGTTTCCTAAATGGTCATCGAAAACTGATCACAGCTTAATTGTTTGAGTTTTACATACATTGATAAAGCTATTTGTATTTTCCTAGTAAAAAAAACACACTGTATAATCTTGTAAGGTCTTACACGATCTTGCAGCATCTAGTTAAGCTCTTCCGGAGTTTTCCAATGCATTCTATAACCGACGAGAATTTTATTTTCAAATTTTTCGCTCGAAGATAGACTATAATTCAGCTCATTTAAGACTATGATGCCATCTTTCAAGCTATAGAGTTTCGACTTCTAGTATGTGTGATCTCAACAACAGATATACGGAAATCAGTGTAGAATAATTTATTTCCTATAACGTTTAGCAAAGAATAACTATAGCTTCTAATTCTTCCAAAAGCAAAAACATCGCCGTCTATTTTTGAAACTATACAAAGTGAAGAGTTCATGAGTTTTGTGTTATGTCTGTCTAGAAGACTGAATGGGAAGGGTTATGTGCTTTAGCTGCTTCTAATTGTGTTAATACCAATTTAAAAAAACTGGTAGCCTAATCCGTTTGGGATTAAAAATGTGAAATACAATCTCACTAGTGTTCGTATCCCCCTAAAATCTGGTCCTTTTTATGCATATTGGGACATATTTCTAGATCGTGAAGTTATTTGCATTCTAGAACTTCAACGCTCCTTTTAGATCATATTGTGCACAACTAAAATATTCTGTAGATCTACATTTTCAGGTTTCTCGGTAACCATTAAAACTAGCTCACTGAATTTGGTACTTTAATAATTTGACACATTGAGCAGAAGTGTTTTTTTAAATCTCAAACCTTAATTATTTCTCCATTTTAAAAGAAGACTAAAACATTGCAGTTTTACGATCCATGCTACACATATATCAACTCTATTTTGTTTCTGTTACAGGACATCGCAACAAACGACAGGTTGAATTCGAACTACTTCGGCCAGTTGCCTGAATTAGCAACAGACAATAATGTTCAAAATCGTCTACAACATAAGCAGCTTGTAACATCGGCAGCATCAATTCATATGAATGTATGAGATAATTTCTTGTTTGACTTGGATTGAGGCGAAATTCGTGAGAATAACAATTAACTAGCCGGTGCAACAGAATAAGTAGTCGTCTCAGTATTTTGGCCATATCGTTTTCATTTGTCATTCTCTGTACTTTATTTATTTCAAATTTCCTCCAAAAGATCTGCAGTGAAATTTTTAGCACATCAACATTGCAAGATTTTCTTTTGAAAGTGAAGCAAAAAATTTTTAAAAGAATACTCAACACACATCAAAGAGTAAACTTTCAGAGCAATGAAATTGAAGATCGAAGAAAGCAAAGTAACTGGAATTGGATATTTGACGTCAGTTTAACCGAAGAAAAAAATATAAAGGTCAATTTTCGCTACAGAATCCAGTACAACAACATTCATTTCTCGTCGGAATGAAAAAAATGCGACCAAAAAAGATGATATTTTAGTTTAACTGTATCTATGTTTAAAGGAACGTCTCAACTACAGATTGGCACAGCTCAATTCTTATAAATCTGAAGACGGATGAGTATGAAGATTTTTTAGTTGGGATCGATTCATAGACGTTTTTAAGGGCTTCAAAATACCTATATTGTTTAACTTTTTCCGTTACTACCTAACGAAACAACTTGAGAAAACGATTTTTAAGATTAGAGGGTGTGCATTCTTTTGGAAAAAATTGAAAAGGATATCATCAAAATACTGCGAGGGTCATTTATTCTGCCGCACTCGTTAGAATATCAATTGAATCAGCCGTATCCATGTAAAAAAAATGTCGAAAAAATCAGCTTTAGAGAGGTCAAAATCTATCTTAATCAATAAGTTTAACTGTAATAATCATAGTAAAATAAGTATTTAATCGATTATTTTCCATTTTTATGATTATCATCAATTTTTTAAAATATTCTTAATCAATTATAATCATAAAAATGGAAATAATCGATTAAATACTGACTTTACTATGATTATTACAGCTAAACTTCTTGATTAAAATCGTATGATTATAATCGATTTGTAGTCGATTCTTGAAATCAAGTTTTTTACAGGGGGAGTAACTGATTAACTAAAAACTATGTTTCATCCTTTTAATACTTGTGTGCTGTCATTCTATTAGATTTCATTGCTTGCATAGTAGTTAATAACTGCTGCAGTAAAGAACAAGACAATTTTTCAAAATATCGACGCTCTTATCAGATCCCTATAGACATATGAATATGTTGTTTTTTGATTCTATTATTTGTTGTGAATGGCACAGAAAGATTTATCGCCTACTGGCATAGCTGCCCTGTTTTAAACATTTTGAACTTGACAGTATGATACTGAAAGTGCTTTCTTGCTATAGGAAATGCGTTGGCCCAACGAAGCACAAATACTGAAAAACAAAAGTATTCCATGGCGACAAAGTTCAGTAACCACTGTTCAATATGAACAACAGGTAATTACTGTTTGTTATTTTGTTTGGCAAAACACTCAGCGTGTTTAAAATGTAGTTTCTGACCAAATCGAACTATTTTAACAGTGTCAACTATCAGATTTAGTCAAGGATTCATAGACCATATCTCGAATTCTAATTGTGCTCTTTTACTCAGAATCATACCCTGTTATACTTCTGCACGACTACAAATGGCAAAAAGTCTTCGCGATTTGACTTGGCTGATATTTGATCTAAGATCTAACTAATTCTTGACTGAAATTAAAATTTTACTGAAAGATACAGCTCATTTTTTATCAGTTTGGTAATGACGGAAAGCAAAAAAAAACATTGTTTTGTTTTGTATCAGATATACGAGGAGACACTTTGTTTAGACTAGATGCAGTTTGAAAATACTTATATGATACAGTGTAGAAATCGATTATCGAAGCTAAATAAACCCTTTTCATATTTGAAGACATCTCAATTGCATTGGCTTGATTATTCTATGACTGTAATAGAAAATTTTCTCATTGTATACTATAGATAGTTTAAAATGCAAAACATTTTCGATTGGATCTATTGTGTGATTAAGACAGGAAAAACTTTTATTTCTGTTGTTATTTGTTCGAAATTTTATCGAAAACCACTACTATTTTACTCAAGAAAATCTTTTCTATATTTAGCCATCATGAATCTTAAAGTAAATATCTCACATAATTTCAATCAGTCAAAAGAGTTACAGTCGATTGTTTTAAGTATTTCACCGATGTTTCTCTAACGATATAGCCGACTAAACCAGAGAACTTACTTACTGTATCGAAACGCTCTCAGTTGAAGTGTAGTGATTATAATCCACTGAAGAGAGCATCCATCAACATTACACATAATAATTACAAGAGGTTGTAAACGATTGAAAAGTCTACTATGGCTTGAATTTGCTTATTATCTTATTTGTGCTTTTATGAACTATTAGGAAGTGTGCTAATCAGTTCATTTGTTATCAAGACAAAACATTTTAGGCAACATCATCCGAAAAATATTTTCTATGAATAAGTGTGTCAGTGTAATAGAATATGAGGCATCCTTTTCTTCCTAAATATTATATTTACATATAGTGCATCAAATGGATTTTCGAATACAAGCTTATACACATATCATTAGTAAAAAGCATTGAGATATTTTTGCTCGTACATCTTTTATAGTATTTTGATCTTATCTAATTGAATTCCATCCTACTATCCATTTTCTAACTTTGCCAAGCTGTTTCTAATTATGATGATAATGAAAGGGGGAAACGACAGACTTTTGAACTTTTGGACTTGAAGTTACTTGAGGTTACTTTAAGCTACTTGGGTGATACTTTGAGCTACTTTGGCGTACTTTTCTACTTCACGTCCGTCGTTTCCCCCTTATGATAATGTACAGTAACCGGATTTTTATTTATTCAGGATTCACGAGCGATACTAGATAATTCAAAACAACGGCACATGGAATTGCAGAATAATGCAATGAAGAAGCGTAAGCGTCGATACTTCCCAGGGTATGTATGCAACGTACTTTATCTCGAGGGTGTGGGGGTGAGGGTGTATCAAAAAAAAATGGACACCCACACCCACACCCTTACTGGTATGCTCATAAAAAGTACGGCTCGAAACATTAAAATTTGGCTAGAATCTATCCGCCCCGTTCCAATTTGGTTGACCGATTCATAGAAAAATTATTGTCTTTTAAAAAGATTCACAAGATGAATTGATAGTTTTCACAAATCTGATCGAAATTCGCTTCATAACTTCGAACAAAAATCTTTCCGTTTGAGTTTTTCTCAAAACCAGCCAAACTTTTGGCAGGATCTTGATTGAACCGATCTAAAATCTGAAATAGAAACAATTCATACGTGCAAAAGAAAAAAAATTGGATTTCTGTGACTAACCACCAAAGATTTCTCTTTTCTTTTGCAGAACATTCGCACGTGTATGTTGTCTACTCTGTTGTGCCTTGGGAGTGGCATTACTGATAAGTCTTATCGCCTTTTTAGCTGTTTATTTAACGCTAAGTAAGTTCATTTCTCTCATTGTTTCTTCACATAAAACAAATACGTATTACTTTATAGAATCATCGGGAACATGTAAGTAAAAACCAAATTTTGTCACCACTCATATTCAGGGAAGTATGCGTTGAAATACAGTCCATTTTTAACGGTAAAAATAAGTTTGTTACAATCCTCAAAGAAACTAAAAAATCAGTTACTCGAAAATCGAGATACCACAACGACCGAAATCAAATTGTTCGAAAGATAAATCAATTATAGTTTCAGAACCTCTAAGTCAAGCTCTAAACAATCGTAGGAAATATTTTTAATTTGAAAGTCTACCTAAAATGAGCAATCCAATCTCCGAAATTTCCAAAAATATCCTTTGATATGCTGTATCTAATCAACGTCAGCGCAATCATGCAAGGGCTGTTGAGTGGATTTCCGAAAATTTTAGGTCTTGCAGTTTTTCTGGTTTTAGTAAAGTATGTAATCAATAAAATAGTATATTCTGAATCAGTGTATTAAATTTTGGATGTTTTCATACTATTGTTTGGTTTAGTTTAATTTTCTTTGAGCTTTAAGACCTTCGGATTCTGACATGAAAGGTGCATAACGTTAAAAACTCTCAGAAAAACATTCCCAAAATAACGAAAAAGCTTTTTCTGCGGTTGCCTTGCCCTTCTTGTATAAGCCGACACAAATATAATGACACACTATTTTTATTATCAGTCCCATACGCAGTGAATAAGAATGTAGTCTTTTGCAACTACACAAATATATTCTTTGAAAGTCTTTGCATGCAATAGAAGTAGGTTGTTTGTCATACTCATTTTAATCTCATAAGGATTGAACTCAAAAGTTTTTGTCTTTATTATCACAGCAACTACGGTCACCACAACAACTGCAACAACTACCAGTAAGTACTTGTTTGTCTGATGATTAACCAATACGATGCATAATATATGATCTTCTTGAGTTTGATGATGAATTTATTTGTTCTTTAAAACGTCCATATTTTTTGAGTCGAAACATTTCAAGTGAGATCTTTTAGAAGTGAGCCTTTTAATTCATCGTGTGATGCAGTAAAAGAGTTTTACCTTCAATCGGATATTATATCAAGAAATACGTGAGAAGTTGGCTTGTATGACAAAATTCAATGTTCACTATTGAATACAGAAGCTAAAATAAATGATAATAAGATTGAAACCGCTACTGTTTCGATGACGTGTGGTTCAAGTTCCTTGATAAAAAATTTAGATATCAGATATATTGATATACATTAGGTCACTGCTAACAATCGCACATAAGTAAAAATGAACAGACTATGATATATGTGGCTTAATGTGTCGGTGCTAAAGTCTAACTACTTGCTTCAGTTGAAATCTCCGCGCAGAATGAAATTCTACTATAAACTAATTTGGCATAAAAACAGGGTATACCTATTGTCATATAATCGTTATGACACGGATGAATAAAAATAATGCTACACAAGCTTAGATGAGTTTAAAATTCATAATTTATGATGATTCACCTGAAACTAATGTAATTTCTTGTTGGTAGCAGTGAACTATTAGCAATGAGAGAATTATTATTTTTTTTTGCTTATTGACGGCTTAGCGTAACTGATGGATATTTGAGAATTTATCTCCTATTATTAACAGCTACTACGACAACGACTACAACAACAACTACGTCAACGTCCACAACAACGAGCACTACAACATCTACAACAACAACTACATCAACGTCCACAACAACGAGCACTACGACGACCACAACATCAACTACAACTACCGGTGAGTCTAATCTTAGGTAACTCCTGTGGAGCAAGATCGATCGAATTACAAGAAAAAGATAGTCGCCTAATATTCCCATGTGCATCCAATCTATGTTGATATATTGCTCGGTTTTTTGTTTTTAGCGGCTTGCTTAAGCATACCCACATCAATTTTCTCTATCATTCATGGCGCTGGTACAACAACAACCTATCAATTATACACAAATACATTCACCCCCACGAGTAATGTGACTACGGTCACGTTTGCCTTCCAAGTCGATGATGATCCCGGAATCTGGGACTTGGATGATGTCTCACTGAAGCAAACCTTGGGTATCGAACTAATGTTAAATGGAGGCTTTGAATCGGGCTCACTGTCACCAACATGGAATACTTCTTGTACGGTCCAATGCACAGGCATTAGCTCACAAGGCTCTGGTGGTGGACCTGGTGGCATCAGCACTGTTTACCTTCACACTGGTACTTATAACTATCGTGACCGTTGTAATCCAGAACCAAAATTCGATTATCTCAGTCAAACAATAACTACAGTTATTCCAAATCAACTTTGTACTTTGAAATACTATCTCGCTCTATATGTCTCCAATAACAAGGTTAACAACAATTTTTACGTTATCATTAGTTGAACAAAACTGACTATCACACATGCACGTGTTTTTTTCTTTTATCCTCAAACATATCCTACTATTTACACTAATGATTAAAGTTCGATTGAATACATTTTAAACTAACTTATTCATTTCCCTAATAAAATTTTCTTTCAATTCACACCGGCTTACAGATTTTTCTTCAGTTTTGAAGTATCTGTCATAAATGAATATTTCGATTTGAAACATGAGAGTCTACTGCAAAGATCACTTACTAATATTAATTAGTCAAGAGAACTCTTCAATTTTTACTAATTTAAATCATTACCAAAGTAACAATAGCGTAGTTCGTAGTAACTTATTCATTCTGTTACATCCTTTAATGACTGTTTTATTTTCTTATATTATCCTAGATTAGTTTCATGATAAATGAGTTTTAATAGAAAATTTCGTCAAATAGGAAAAACCGATATCGACAGTTAATTCTGGTAGCGATAGAATGACATAACACATCATATGTCTGCGGTGACTATCTTAGATTAACTCTAAAAAACATTTTGAAGCTCAAATCCATGATTTTTAATAATGAGAAAATATAAATGAAATTTTCATTTATTTTTAAACAAGTAGAAATAATAAAATAAAGACCAACAAAACACAAAATAGCTCGTTTTTATCATGTATAAAATAATCCTGATTGAAATCCATATTGTATAAGTTCTTCTTTTGTCATTTGAAAGTGACTTGATTTCCATTGTTCTTTTAAATGACGTAAAAAATATGAAAAACTTCTACTAGACATTAAACCATTCTGTTGAAGATCCCATGCATCTATAGGAAACGTTGGTATAGACCATTGTTTAATTTCATCAATAAGATAAATATAACCTTGATATTTAAGTAACTCAATAACATATTGATGTCGAATATCTTGTTGATTTTGATGACTATTTATAAGAAATTCTTTATAAGAATAGAGTAAATCATGATCGCGCATTGGCTGAAGTGAATAACGATAATCAAGTAAAAATTGACCAAGATTTTTATGACGTGATGAACATTTCGCACGTTTGCAAAATGTATCAAACTAAACGGCAATAATTTATGTTTTTTTTTTTTATATTGATATTATCTTTACTTCTTCTTGATCATTAAACAGTGTAACAAGTAATGTCATAGGTTCTGGTTGATAATTCATACTTCTTAACCATCGATTTTCTAACTCAAACATTTCTACCAATGATTCGGGCAAACCTTTTCAAAAAGAATCAAAGAAAAACAATGAAAGATCAGAATGAAATAGCAAAAAAACACCTTCGCGCACCCAATATTGGGCCTAATCGTTGTTCAAGAATTGTTCTCATTATATGTCCAGCAAAACGACCACGAAGAATAAGTTTTAATTCAATCCAAATCTTCTCACCAGGAACATCTATAATTACGTTCAAAAGGTTCATTAAACTAAAAGGACAGATAATTTTTCTTCTCATTACCTTGTAAAGTTATGCCACATTGTTGAATAGCTTCTAATACATCAGGATCATGCGCGTGTGGATCTGTTGATAGACGACCGAAGAATCTACAATTCAAAAGGGAAATACATGTTTTTTCTTCGTCATGAAAATATTCTTTTACTCATACCGAAAATAACGTAAAATTCGTATTGGGTTTTCTTGTAATCGTTTACTAATATTTCCATTAAAACGAATTCGATTCATTTTAAGATCATCCATTCCATTCAAATAATCGTATACAATACCATGTTCGTCCATTGATAGACTATTTATAGATAAATCTCTTTGTTTTGCATCAATACTCCAATCGTCAGTAAATTCAACAGCTACATCTTTACCATGCCGAGTAATGGATCGTTTTAAAGTTGTTACTTGAAATGTTTTCTATATGTTTTTTTTTGTGAAGAGAACGGTTTACATCTGTTACAAATCATTTAACTTACCCGTACAGTTGTACCAACAATAAGTGTCAGTGTTCCAAAATGTTCTGCACGCGTATAAACGAGTTCAATATTTGAATCACCTTGAATAAGTTTCAACATCTCATTTGTTGTTGCGTTTGTTGCTAGATCAATATCATGTGGTGCAACACCAAGTAAAATATCTCGAACTGCTCCGCCAACAAGTCGAACAGTATAATCATATTCATTAAATAATGAAAAGAGATATATTAATTGCGATGAAAATAAATGTTGATAGTCAGATGAATTCAATTGATAGCAACGAACAAAGGACGACATTTTCTAAAACTAACCAACAAAACAAATACAAACATGAACCGATGAAATGAATGATTCATATATCTAGTAGATGCCTTTATCACGTGCTAATATGATAGGAAAGAAAAGATCATTTTACCCAAATTCGTGTTATATGTTTGTTTAATCTAACTACATATTTACGTAAATAAAATATAATTTAGAGAAAAATATATCATCAATAAGACGAATTTCTGTTGTCTGACTGAGCTTGTCCAAGCATAGATTGCAATACGATCTGGAATGTTTTCTTTTATGTAAAATAAAACAGTTAAATAAAAAAAACAATATTCAAGCACATTTTTACAAAATATTTCCTGCACACAAAGTTGCCGACACTAAGTTTGCTTGGATTTTTTCGGATGAGAAGATATTGATGAATTTGTGCCAGTGTGTTTTTTTGTAGTTGTCGATGATGCTCCATTTGTAGTAATTAAATTGACTAATACATTGGGTAGATCTTCATTAATTAATTGATCTTCTGTAGCTTGAAAATGTGATTTTTTCCATAGTTCTCGAAGTTGATCAAGTATTATTTTATAATTTGGTCCACGTTCAACACCCTTCGATGCAAGGCTTTCACCTGAAACAGGAAAACGTGGTAGTATCCAATCAGATAACTGTTGAGCTTCAGCTAAATAATGTTGATATTTAAGTAGTTCGACTATTTTTTCTTTTGCTGTTGGATCTTGTATAGCCATATCGACCAGTAAATCTTTGTACGGTTTCGATGGATCTACCGATGACGAATCAAGAATCGATATTGAATCACGATTATTGATGATTAATTGAGATATTCGACGGCAATCATTGGAGTATTTCATACGTTGTTCGAATTTTCCTATCTAAATATAAGAAGTTATTCGATAAGCTTGATTCTCTCGGTTTTTTCTCCATGTTTTAGAAAAAAATTATTTTAAACAAGTACAATTGAAGATAATTCTATACTCTAGTCAAATCTCCGGGGACTCCGCGGTGAGCTGTCTGCGAAGAGTGGGTTAGGGATATGAAATTTAAATTTGACTTACTTCATTTGAATCACGAAAAAGTTTTGTTAATATCGTCATTGCATGTGGATTAGCTTGATAACATTGTTGCCAATGATCTTCAAATTGATTAAGATCAGCATCAGATGGAATACCTTTGATTAAATGACAGATCAATAGATAGAAGAAAAAAAAGTAAAAATGATATCTTACCAAGATATTGCCCAATATTTTGTTCAAGCATAGTTTTTAATACCGGACCACCATTTCTACCTTCGGCGATACGTTTCAATTCCATCCAAAGTCGTTCACCAGCAATATCTACCAAGAAAAAATTTACTTTAAATTGATCAAATAATCATCCTACTTTGTAAACCACCAGCATTACATTTGATTGCTCTTAATGAGTCTTCGTCATGTACAGCATTCTCATGTGCAAAACGTCCAAAGAATCTTTAATTTAATTTTTGTAATTATAGAAATAATAAAATTTCAATGTTACCTACCGAAAATATCTAAGAATACGAAGATAATCTTCACGAATCCTTTGAATAGCATCGCCAACAAAACGAATCCGACGATGTTTAAGATCATCAATTCCATGAAAATAATCATAGACTGTTCCTTCGAAATCTATATAGAAAACCTTCAATAATTACGAATCATTTTCTCTAAATAAGACTAACCAAGAAAAAGTGCATTTATAGTCAAATCTCGTCGATTAGCATCTAATTGCCAATCTTGTGTATATTCAACAACGGCATGTCGTCCATCAGTAGTAACGTCAATTCTTAATGTTGTTATTTCGAAATTTTCGATATCATCAATTCGTGCTGTTATTGTTCCATGTTTTTCACCATTCGTATTGATCATCCTTACATTCGCTTTTGTGAACATATCTTTAACTTGTTCGGGTGTTGCTGTTGTAGCAAAATCAAAATCATGTGGAATGATGCCCAATAAAATATCTCTTACGGCACCACCGGCCACACGTAATTCATATTGATTAGCTTTAAATAATTTGGCTAACTTCAATAAAGATGGCGTTAATAAAGCTCGATATTCAGGAGTATCTATTTTTTGTGTAATCAACATTCTTCGATTTGTGTTATTGTGAAATAATCAATGAATTGAATCAGGAGAACGATGATATATATATATATATATATATTAAAATACTATCTAGAAAACATTTCATCAAACAGCAGGAAAGAACAGAACAAGAAAAAAAAACGAGAAATGGTGCAATAACATGAAACAAATACACGTCACTATTTTTTGCCACCTTTATCGGCAGTGGCAGTAGCTCCACGTAGAAGTTTTGCTTGCTGAGCTTCTTCAGCTTCTTTAGCTTGTCGTTCATGGAGTGCACGTAATTCTTCCATATATTTTGTTTGTTCCGCAACATTCAATGAACTAACAACTTCCATACCAATTCTATTTGCATGTTGAATTAATACACGACACATTTCTTTCATTGTTAAGCCTTGATAAGGCTCATCTATAAGTGTACAAAAAAAACCCTATTAGTATAATCTCTTCAGAATTAGGCTATGAAAATTCTTGCTAATTATTTTAGGATTGCTATTTTCTAGAAATGTAGCTAGAAGGTATCCGTTCAATATTTTATCGTTCTTCGAAATATTACCTTGAATTTTTACTTTAGCAATTTCATAGATATGTTTAACACTTATTCGGCCACCAGGTTCTTTGCCTATGAAAAAAAAATTACATTATCAAAAAAAGAAAAACTCGTATTAAAAATAGAAACAAACCAATATTAATTGCTGGTCGTTTGAGACCAGCTGCTTGTAAAAGAAGATGTTCAATCGTTGGTGTATAAAAAACTAATTCATATGTTCGATCAGGCTAAAACGATGAATGCATTTGATGAGAAATAAAATTTTCCATGACTTACTTTAACGTAAACATGCGATGGTAATGGAATTCCTTCTTTAATGTCTTTAGTTCTTTCATTGAAATCTTTACAGAACTGCGCAATATTTAACGAATGTTGACCGAGAATAGGGCCAAGTGGTGGAGCTGGACTTGCTTGACCAGCTGGAATATCCATTTGAAAATATGGTTGAAGGATAACTTTCGATGTAGCTGCCTTTAACTTTGAGGCCATCTTACCAACTACAAAAAAAATTGATTCACACGAATAAAAGTAAATCAAACATTACCTTGTTTCGACGAAGCCATTCTTCTTCTTTTCTTTCTACTATAAATTTCCTATTATCTGATCTAAAACAAAAAATAAATAAGCGTATTATTATTATTCATTTGTTGCTTTTAATGACAGATTTTCAATAGGTAAATCTTCGTCTTCAGATGATTCAGACGGTGGCATATCACGATTAGGCGTATATTCATCAGTAAAACTATCTTGTCCTGTTCGAAAACGTTTGTCACATTCGAGTATTGCTTGAGCTGAATCACATTTAGCATATGCATCGAGTAATGATGAATTCAATGTATAAAATCCATGTCCCCAGGTAAATTTATCCAATAGCAATGAGCCATAATCTTGTAAACCAACAATCGCTAATGCTGCAGCAAATGCTTCTACACAAGATAATTGGCAAGGTTTACCTAAACAATTCTTTTTTTGTTTCTTCAAAATCATAATAAAAATAGAAACAAATACCATAATTAACATTATTCGTAGCAACAAGATAAGGAAGTAATCGTAAATGTTTGCCTTTCATTCGAGAAAATGGTGTTTCATCAAGTTTTGCCCAAGAACAATCAACAACAGCAATACCATTGTCTAAGATTATTTGTCGATCGCCTGGCGATACACATTGTTGACCGATCGGTGAAAGAATAATGCCACCAAAATGATTGCCAAGTTTCAATGGTCTAACAAATCCATGTCGAACAAGTTTACGGCCAGTGCACCGTTTTGGATCGCATTGATTCACATCCCACATCGCTAACGGTATACGAATTTGTTCTTTTTTATCTTCATCATCGCTTTCTTCATTAGCAGAATGATATTGATCTTCGTCAGTATCGGATTTCGTCGGAGCACGATCGATATATTGTCGATCTTTATGATGATTCTTTTTAGCTGTTTTATGAGACATCTACAAGGAAAACAACCGAATGTTCGTAAAAATGTTCTTTTCATGATGAAGTAAATCTTTTTATCAACAATCATCGACATAATAATCTTATTATATTTATTTTATTCTTTGCATAACTGTTATTTTTTTTTCTAAATGTTGTTTATATTTACAAATAGAGTTTTCAAGTGTTGGCACTTTACAGCGATAAGTGAATCTATACAGATTTCTGATCGATGGTATACACAATGCATGTCATAACGGTCGGTCACCATAGTTATTACCATGATAATTTTAATAGGGCAACAGCAGGTAGACGAAATAAAATAATTTCTTTCCTTCTCAATCAATTTTAAAAAAACACCTTCATTTTATATCGAAGAATGCAATTGAGATTATTTTTTTCTCTCTCTCTCATATTCCTTTAAAGAAATTCATTTCCGTTTCGAGCAACATCGACACTATTTCTCTGCTATACAACGAGAATTAGAAATGATTATATTGAATTCCGATGGAAAAATCATTCGAGCAATTGAAACATATTGAGCGCATATCACGGCAAACACGTCGCCATCGAGCATATTTAAATCAAATATGTGATCAAAATCTACGTATAAAATTAGATAATTTAGATAGAGAACGTGAACTTGCTATTAAACGTTCAGCATCTTGTCGGCGTATTGAAGAAGAACGACAACAATTAGTGAAAATTACAATTCAGCAAATTGCAAAAGAACAACAACAACAACAACAATCTTTACAAAGAAATAAAACTGAAATCGAACAAAAAACAATTCAAAAGCTGCCAACTGATAATAGTAAATAATTAATAATAACGACTAAGAAAACAATTGAACTACTTCCTAATAACTTTCTATCGAAACGCTCATATTTTTATTTTCAGAAAGTCGCCCATCATCATCCATTAAACTGCCTGCTATCGGAACATCGTGTCGTCTATTTTCACACGATTGCCAATTATATCCCTGCCAACCAGTCAATCAGTATACGAGTTTTCTAGGAAGACATCATGATAAAACGCTGCGAAAACATAATCCATCTACGGAAAATTCTACTAAAGCTTCGAATACTGCGGCACATCTAAAAGAATTCTTGAAAACAGTTGACGAGAAAAAACATGAACACTCAAGTCGACAATTAGCATTAGCCATACAAAATCAAAATCATTTAGTTCATCGGCATATATCTCTACAACGAACAAAAACAAGACTTGATGAACAAAGTCGTCTATTATATGAGCGATTAACTCAGAAAAAAATTTTAGGTTATGATAAAGAACGTCAACAGAAATTATCACAAGCTATTGAAAGTCATTTAAAAGTAACTGCTAAATTTTGCGCATAAAATAAAATTTAGAAAAAAAGGAAATAAAATTATTTCTAATAACGATATAAGATGAATTGAATTCATCAGTAATAATTAAATACTCATACAGATTTACGTTTTGATGATTAGTATGATTTAACAAATATAATAATGTCATATTGATTGACTTAGTTATTAGATGATCTAGAGAAAAAAAGAAATAGTTATGCTGGTAGGACGCATGTTTCATATTAAAACACTTCTTTTCAATATGTTATGTACATCTATATGATTTCCATTGCTCGATGGAACATCCAATCTTTCATTTGCCATTCGCACGAACAGAGGGCGCTCTATATTACTATAATTTACCATGTAATTTTTCTTCGTATATGATCAAAGATAACCTCAGATTCTTTATTATACGAAAAATACAATTGCAAAAATTTTGTACATGTAAAACATCTCCGCGCTGAAAAACTTAAACCAGCTATTATTTTCTTCGAATAGCACGATTGTCGAAAAATCATTCTTTTTTGGTTCATGCTTATCATGACTGTGTTTATTGATTACTTGACTTAGTTTGTACACCTTGTACTCGACTGACCATCGAACCAAGTTGTTGTTGCATTTGTCCATTCTGTTGAAAAAATTGTTGACAAACAGTATTGAGATCTTTAAAAATTGGTACTAGTTTTTCCATGTTACTGTTTGCCGACGAAGTTTTCAAGTCTGATAAACGTGCATTCCATTGTGCTTCAAAGCTATTCATCATGCTTTCGAGTTGCCTAGAGAAAATAAAANGTTTGTACACCTTGTACTCGACTGACCATCGAACCAAGTTGTTGTTGCATTTGTCCATTCTGTTGAAAAAATTGTTGACAAACAGTATTGAGATCTTTAAAAATTGGTACTAGTTTTTCCATGTTACTGTTTGCCGACGAAGTTTTCAAGTCTGATAAACGTGCATTCCATTGTGCTTCAAAGCTATTCATCATGCTTTCGAGTTGCCTAGAGAAAATAAAAATAAAGATGCATCAAGAATTTTCCTTTGCAATGAACTTACTGTTGTTGTATTGTAAATAACTCAATAAGCCGTTCTTCTGTCAACGCTTCTTTGGGACATTGAGAAGCAAAATGCCCCTCGTTTTGACATCGACGACAAATAAGTGGCCAATATCCACGAGCGGGATATTTTACACCATCGATGAATATATAACATTGATTAATAAACTGCATAGCTTCGTTGTCGGATTTGAAATCGACTCGAATCACAGCAATCGGTTGTCGATCTGGATCAAAACGTCTAGAAACTTTCTCAATACTTAGATTATCAGATGCCAAACTTCGAGCAATAGCATCTTCATCTAAAGCTAACGAAACTTTTGAGACAATGATGGATCGGGTTGTCTCTTGCGATGTGAAATATGATGAATTTTGAGTTTGTTGCGATGATTTTGATCTTGAAGACATGATGTTTAATGAAATATAATTATGATACGTTTTTCAGTCGCTTAAATACTTTTTTTATGATATTAGGAAATAGTCAAGTCTGTATTTATAGGAATAAACTAATGTGCGAATCATGTCATCATATGGTGTAATATTTTTGATGTTATCAATTGTATCGTGGATTATTGAAGTTTGTTTTACCTATTAGGTAGAAGAAAGAAAAATATACTTGCATCATTGTTGTCGTCGAAAAGAAATAGTCGTGATTTTACACAGACCAGAAATATTATGCAACGTCATGTAATGATTCATATGAGATGTTAGACAAATTATTTCTGTGCCGTCTGTAATAACAAAATAGTTGAGATAGTTGTTCTCTAGTAGTTTTTATTTCCATTGAATATCCGAATAGGTTCGAAAACTTTCATTTAGATTATATCTCATAGCTCAAAGTTAGATGAAGTCAAGCCAAAATTTAAAGGAAAATTATTATTTGAGGGCATAGATTCACAGAATATATCTAATTTGAGGGTGTCGATGATATTTTCTTTACCAATCAACTGACGAATCTTTGAAATTCATGTTTATATTTACTTTCCTCTTGGCAATCTCTCAAATACGATATTCTTTTTCTTACATTTCTTTACGTGTTTCTATGCATAAGGTGAAACGACGATTTGCAAAACAAACTTTTAAATTAATTTATTCTCAGAATCCTACGAGATATAGAATTCAAGATTAAATTTCATTATCCATTATTGAAAATGATATGTTAAAGCTCTTTGTCTATTTGTAGAATTCAATTAAAATATTATTAGGCGTTGAAATTGCAACTTTGTATCGTCATCGAAAATCTCTCTGTTTCTCTACAAAGCTTATACATTATAAAACAATAGGGGATGTCTCATCATCAGTAACAACTGAAAAAATTATTTGCGCATGAGACATTGTCTCTTTTTGTATTTTGAGTAAGACATGCATTTTACTACTGTGTAATTATCTCTTCCGATTCTCTGCTTTATGAATTCATAGAAATATTTTGACAACAAAAATCTCGATAAAGTCACACCCTTTGAAAGTCTGTTCATTGTCTTCCACCTTCACATTCCCCGCCTGGCAAATGTTTTATGATATCAATTACTAGTTCAAATACATTTTCTTTGTATATGATCAAAGGTAACCTCAGATTCTTTATTATACGAAAAATACAATTGCAAAAATTTTGTACACGTAAAACATCTCCGCGCTGAAAAACTTAAACCAGCTATTATTTTCTTCGAATAGCACGATTGTCGAAAAATTATTCTTTCTTGGTTCATGCTTATCATGACTGTGCCTATTGATTATTTGACTTAGTTTGTACACCTTGTACTCGGCTGGCCATCGAACCAAGTTGTTGTTGCATTTGTCCATTCTGTTGAAAAAATTGTTGACAAACAGTATTGAGATCTTTAAAAATTGGTACTAGTTTTTCCATGTTACTGTTTGCCGACGAAGTTTTCAAGTTTGATAAACGTGCATTCCATTTTGCTTCAAAGCTATTCATCATACCAGCAAATTGCCTACAGAAATTTAAAAAACAACGATACATGACGAATTGTCCGTTGCAATCAACTTACTCTTGTTGCATTTTGATTAACTCATTAAAACGCTCTTCTGTCAACGGATTTTTTGGGCAATTAGAAGCATAGTGTCCTTCTTGTTGACATCGATGGCAAATAAGTGGCCAAAATCCACGGGCGGGATACTGTTTACCATCGATGAGAATATAACCCTGCTCAATAATCTTCATAGATTGTTGGTCTGATTTGAAATCAACTTGAATGCTACCAATCGGTTGCCCATCTCGAGCATAACGTCGAGAAACTTTATCAATACTTACATAATTATGTCCCAAGCTTCGAAGAATAGTATCTTCATCTAAACCCAATGAAACTTTTGTGACAATAATCGATCGGGTAGTGTCTTGGGATGAAACAGAAGATTTCGATGTTAAAGACATTGTTTGTGTTTAATGAAATATAATTGTGATACGATTTTCAATAGTTTAAATACTTTTTTTCTAGTATGAAGAAAAAGCCTATTTGGCGTTGGTAGAAGTAAACTGATGTTAGAATCATGATGTCATATGGTGTAATATTTCTCAAGTGATCAATTTTATGGTGAAATGTTGACGTGAGCTTTACCAATTTGATAGAGAGAAGAAAAGCAAACTTGCGTCATTGCTAGAAATTTTTGTGAGTGGTGCAAAATTCGACGAATCGAGATTTCGACTCTTATAGAAGTCTTCTGGACGTTATGACAGGTCATCTTCCGAAAAAATCATAAAATAGAAACTCGAAGTACAATCAATAATTCTCGTTGCATGAGAAATTGTGTATCTTATTTGTTTTTTTGTATTTCTGTAATCCGAACAGTAGGGTTTTTCTTTCTTTACCAGCACACGATTTCTTGTTTTTTTTAATACTCTATTCAACATTATGTCATGAGATGTACAGCATTCGATGGACTCAAAAGAAACCGATATTGATCATAACTCAAATTTCTAATTTGATAAGCTTACACTTTCAAATTCGATCATATGACATACATTGAAAATCTAATTATTACTCTAAGTTTTCTTTTTGCATTATAGCAAGATAGATTGTTTATGAGTAATCCTTAGAAAGAAAGAAAAGTATACATATACTATAAGGCAGCAAAGGTGCTGCTGGGTATGAATGGGCGTCGAAAGAAGTTTATTAGATTTTCTTCTTTGCCGTCATAACATAATATTTCGATCTAGAACTTATGTCTACTAAACATAATTAAATAATACAACTGGAGCAGATGTGTTGAAGGCAACAGAATAAGATTTACACTGTACCAAGGTAATTCAGATTAATGAATGATCATATTATGTGAAATGAGAGAAAATAATTCTCCTTCTATTGAGGACCAATTCTATCATCGTCTGAACAGTATGAACATCTGTATGGATTACTGTAAAAAGAAGCGATTTTTTTTTATTCAAACGCTTACATGTTAATATATCATTCAACTTAATATTTGTCCATATTTAGCAATCTTTATACAAATACATAATGCTATTTGAATAAATATGATGAAACTTAACAAGAAAAAAAAATTCTCATCATAGAATTTTTCAATAGACAATTCTTTTTTATGTCTATTTTATTGTACTTTCTTCTTTTCTTGTCTTTTCTACATTAGTCGCAACAGCTAGGTTTCGATTATTGAACATGACATCATTCTTGTTCTTTATGGAACTCGATCGAGTCGAACATAGTCACATGGTGCCATTTACATCTGTGTCCAACAAAATATGCGGTTCGGTCGAGGTCAATCGACATGTAATAATTGTTGGTTATTATTTTGTTTCAATTACTAACTATATACTTCCTTTTATATCGATATGGCGCACTCCAACAATCTGTATCCTATTGCACTTTGTATATACTATGCACTGAAACGGAATGAATGATGTTTATATAAATATATGTTCTTTTACTATTCCTGTTAACTTCATAATAGGTGACGATTGTTCATGGCTCGAACTGTAATGGTTATCAGACATATGTATATCAACAATTCAACAAAATATTATTTATCTAATTGATATTACGTCATCGACATGGATATCTCCCCAATGGAGAAAGAACATGGCAAATAGACAGGAATCAGCTATCATCACCTTTCGTTGTCAAGTCAAAGTTTCTCAGTTGACTGCACAAGATCAGAGAAGTAAAGAACGAAAAGTAAATAATTTAGACATGAGAGCAGCGTTGATTGTCGCCGCAAGCCCACCGACCAAATATATATACGCATGTGATAATGATGAGAGGAAAAGAGAGCGGACAAAACGAGTGGGTGCGATAAGATTGTTTTGAACAAGACATACACATATACAAATGAAATGGACAGCGGGCACACACGTTCCATTTCCGTTTCTACTAGTTCACAGTATGTTCTTAACCATCACTCGATGTGGATCAAGAAATACGCCGCTCTATTCGAAGCCTCAAGGCGCAACGAACCATTCACAGGTTGTTGAAGAAAATAAGAAAGATGGTTCAGATTCTTTTTTTTTTGTTAATCAGATTTACTGTGAGGAAATACATTTTTATACTAGAACGAAAGCTGCACTTCGATAACTTGTATTTTAGAAAAAAAAAAGCAATAATCAATTCATCCATCATCGACTAATAATAATATTTATGTACGTAGCAATCGAATATGTATATGTACATATATATATATATCTGTTCTCTTTATCATTCGATGGCATTCATTATTCTTTCTCTAGTTTGTTTGCTTGATCGTTATCAGCTTTGCACGACTCACAAAATTAAAATCGATCCATCATAAGAAGAGTTCAATCGACATACTTATAACTGCGTCTACATACGTATGTTCGATCCTTGATAGGAGATTCGTCTTATCATATTTAATACTACATATCATTATAGTCGTTAACTGACGGACAAGGTCAGACCGTAACAAGTGCGTGTGCGCGCGCGCGCAAGAGATTTATGACAGATGTCAATTTTCGAATATTTCAGACGTTTCGTCTTAATTTAGCGCGTCAAGTGCTTTTCTATTTTTCCATGCCACTGACATGCTAATCATTCGATCGCTACAATAAATAAGTGGATCACATATAATGAAGACCGAAGAAGAGGGGGAAAATGCATCATACATGTATAAACACATGTGTATGCTAGTGCAATTTTCTTTCTGATTGAGACACGAGATAGTTTTATTTATGGATTGTGTACTCATTGTTGTTGCAATCATTTGTATATGACATTAATTGTATCTATTATCAACGAGACTGTCCATCTGCCTGCCAAGAAAGAAGTTCAGGTCAGTTTGACTTTAATGTACATGAATAAAACTTTTGTATTTTTCAACAGCCGACACTATTTTCATGAATTAAATTTTACGTTTCAGCAATTTTCACATATGTTGTACACGCGCACGCACGCTATTCAACAGGTGCTTTGTTCCAAATTGTTGTTGTTGTTGTTAAAATGAGCTGTTTCTATCATTGTATTTTATTTAACATAGCACGCAAATTATATCCGTTAGAGATAATATTCTTTTGTTCTCACCGAGTAACCAACTCTTGTTCATCAGTTGAATCTCTCTTCTTTCCTTCTTTTTTTTTTGTCGTCGTTATTAATGTAAAACAGAGAGCGAGAAAGAAGTAAAAATATAATATTGCTTTCTCTCTCTCTCTCTCTCTCTCTCCCCTTCTGTTGTTCGTCTTGTCTTCATTTTCCGAACTAAACAGGTAAATGTGTTGTAGAAACGAAGGATGCTCTTCTTTCTTTGATAGCTCATGTTCCATCGTCATCATTAGATTTTTTTCTCTCCTCATCTTAAATATTTGCGGTTTTTGATTCCAAGGTGAATAAATTGATGTTGGCTATTACTACCGGCATTTTTTTTCTCCTATTGCGTAAGTAAATAGTTGAGCACCACTTTATATGTGTGTATATAGTTCTGCCGTGAAATTAGAGTATATGCGCGCCTCTCACAGAGAACAACAATCAATTCAATACATAATAGATCTGCTGTCGCACATTTATGTTCACGATAATTGTTAGTCGTGAGAATGTCTTCCAATTCCTTTTTGCTCCCTCTCTGTTTCTTCGAGAACCGATTTATATATATATATATATTGAAGAATGAGATACTTGAGAAGAGTTGCTCGTCTTTCTAGCAATAACCTTCTTCTATTGTTCGGAGATGTGTAAACGAAAGAAAAAGAAGAAGAAGAAAAAAAAAGAAAACGATCTTTGCCCATTTTGTGTGAACACATACACACATATTAGATGAGTTGCTTGTGTAACCAGTAACATTGATAGATTTTGTGGTTAATGCCTACCGATGAAATAAACACGTTCGAAACTAGAAATGAATAGAATATAATATATGTAAATGACATCGAAGACGAATTGTAATCTTTCGATAAAGTTCAATTTAATTGCATATGTTATTATTATTACTGTTGTTGTTATTCTTACAGGCATTTTGTACATAATGTGTCATTCATCGTTTATGTGAGTATAATGTAAACAGAGAATTTTTCTTTTCTTCTTTTCTTTCTAAAGCAAAGAAGATGTTGATCATCAAGGATCTTGATGAGGCGACATCGTTTATATAAACACTCGAATGTGTTTGAAAACAAAACACGACAAACTGAATAGCGACGAAGAAAATGATGTATCGTTATGATCTATCGCCATATGAAGATAACGTCTCATCATCACCTTGAGAATGTCTGCCTGTCTATACGATCGATAATTGTCATCTATACGCCTCGAGGATCATTCTTTGTTCATGTAGTGATCCTTTTAACTCAATCGATCAATTTTAAAGATTTGAAGTGTACAAACACACACACACACACACACACATATATTTATATTTATATTTATGCGTATCTCATTCATCTTGACTTTATCATCTATCCCACACACACTCCTAAATGTATTATTTTTTTTAATTCTAATCCTTAAACAGACAAGTTCGTTTATTTGTTTTTCCAATGATATATTTCGTTTCGATTGTTTGATGATAGAAAAGAGTGATGAATTAACACACTCGACTTGAAATTATGTCACTCGCACGAAAGCGGATAGTTGAAAGTCGATTGCTTCCGTTTTATTTTTTCTGTCGCTCCATCTCTTGACCTATTCTTTTGTCTCTTCATTGTACAGTCGCCAGCCATAACGCATTTTAAACTCCAGACATGATAATTTCCCTTGCTTGCTGCTGTATCATTACAATGAGAGAGAGAGAGAGAGAGAGAGAAGCGACAGAGGGAGAACAACTCTTATCTATTTTCTAATATTTGTCGCCATTGTCAGCATTGGTTTGACCAAAATCACTAGTATAGGCTATATCTCAATTACATTTTACCATGTTACAACAATATTATTTAAATGTGTAAGTGAAGAGAACGTTTTCCCGCGAGAGAGTGCATGTAACCAACCGCTACTAAATAGAATGGAATGAATATAAGTACATGAAAAAAAACTAAATTTATTATGCAATAAATAATAATAGAGAAAAAGAAACAGACAGTGGCATCATCGCACTCATTCTCGCTTTTTTTTCTGCTTCTTAGACTATTCTATTGCGCATCAGATTTCACTCGTTTTCTTCTATTCGATCTAAATGGACTTTACGTGGATTGATAGTGGACAGGCGATAGTATGCACAAGATATAATTGTTTCCTCCCATTGTCTTTTACAAAGTGACATTAGATATGATGACTACAGTCAGTCAGACAGACAAAGAGTCAGCACAAGTGCTAAACAAATAGACAAACATATACGTAAGCAAGCTTTTATTCCTTCATATTTTTTTCTTGACTGACTTCGAGATTTGAAGAGTCAATCTGTTAAGATTACGTTTCTTTTTTTTTTTCTTCTTTTATTATATTGTTCATCATCCGTCTCGGACATGCACTCTATTCTTTTCTTCTTTTGATTTGGGACACTGACTTCCTTCATTATCATTTTCCCTGTTATTATAATTAGACTGTCATCTGCAGAACATATCATCATTCATAATTTCTATTTATTTATTTTTTGTACTACATGAAGTTTTTTCGTTAAACTAATAAGTTGATGAAAAAGACACAATCTTCATCAAGGCTAATCTTCTCATCAAGCTTATCAAAGATTCATAAGTTAGTATTTCTAATTTTCAATTATCTTTGTCTTTTGCTTAATGTCCTTGATAAGCGTGAGTAATCTGAAAGGTCAGTCAGCACCGAAAAAGGGTCTTTTTCTTCTTCTTCTTCTTCTTCTTTTGTCTAATTATGACGATAGCCAGCCAGCACGCAAAGGCCACTCATGTCAGTGAATGTTTGGGATGGCTCATCGATCATTCGATGCTCTCTTGTCGACACTTGTGTGTGTCGGTCATCAAGGCCATTCATTTATTTTTTTCGTTCAGTGACCATCATCACTATTATTTGATAGACGGCAAAAGGAAAAAGCCGGAAGTAAAAGAGTATGTTCCTGCTAGAATATCAATGAGTACAATGTGTGCATATATATGTATATATATACGAATGAGAACGACGGACACATCTCATTAGAGTGTGGATTGAAATGAATGAACCAAATGACTTCGTTTGACGTGTATGTTTATTAGAAAAGATAAACATTTGGTTTTATTCCTTCTTTCTTTCGTTCTTTCTTCTTTTAGTTGTATCAATCTTTGGATCTTATCGAGAAAAAAAAACAGAAAATGGACGAAACCCACGCTGGCCGGTCAGAGAGTCATCCGTGCGTTGAATAAGACGTTAAGAAAAAAAATGTATACACTTTTTTCTTTTTCTTCTCTCTCTCTCTCTCTCTCTCCCTCTCCTTACCAAATCATCCTTCTAATCTTTGTCGCTTACGTTCGCGCTTACACATGCACACATCTATATTTATGTGTATATTATATGCATATGTATATACATAGGACGTAAATGAAGTCATTTATCAGGACTCTAACAGCCTTGCGCAACACGACTACTAGTTGCTTCTCATAACACATATGTTTGAACATATGAAGCCTAACCATAGACCATAATTTCATTTTAAATGCATCCTTTTCTTGTGTGTATCTTTCTCTCTCTCTCTCTCTCTTCTTGTTTTAATTTAATTTTTTTTGTCTAATCATTTCTGCTTGCTTTCTTACTCAAACTAAATCTAATCATCACGTTGTCGTCGCTCAGCGGGACGAAATCCATGAGCAATGATGATGTCTGACCTAATGTTGTAAACAGACGAAAATTTTTATTCAACTTATAGATATACACATATTATACGTATGTATATGTGTGTGTGTTTCAAGGCTATTCATGCTCATTGAACACATACGGAAGGATCGTTATCAGGATGCCATCAATCGTCACAAATATATTTATATAAACAGGCATGAACAAAATTTCACACTTGATGTAGACAGTGATAAATGGCAAAATAAAATCTTTATCGCATTATTGGATTTTTTTCTCGCACTAACAAACACCTGTCAAGATTGACAATCGATTCTGTTTTTTCTCTTTTCTTTCCCATACGTTTTCTCCTTCTTCTCTTCCACGATTCATATATATATATATATATATCTTTCAGATACATACATTTATATTGCTTCTCTTCGATTCATTAGACAAGTTGAATATGCGGGTAGTCTTATTACTACTCGTATTGTATAATGGAAATATTATAAATTCTATGGAATTGAGTAAGTGTTTTTTTTCTCGCTTTGAAATAATTAAATTAAATTAAAAAATTTCATTCAGAGAGTACAAATTCATGTCAAATACCACTTCTGACAAATTCAAAGATTACAACTAGTAGTAATATTGATCAAGTCGATACTTGGTGTCCATCTATCATTGATATTCAACCTTATATACAAGCTACTTTATCGAATTTAACTTATTTAACATATATCGAAATAAAATCGAAACTATCGTCGGATCTCGATTATCGTCTTGAATACACACGTGAGAATATAATTGATCAGTATACAATATGGCGTTCGTATCGTTTATTAAATAATAAACAAGAAAAAATATTTCTCGATCCACCAATGATTGCAAAACATGTACGATTAACTATAAAACAGCTTAAAAAGAATATTTGTATTCAATTTGAATTATTTGGATGTGCTTTTACCGATGGTGTTATATCCTATAGTATGTTACAAGGCTCGAATAGACTTGAAGATGATACCTATGATGGACATTACGATGAAAAACAACGCTATCTATATGGTAAGAGAAGAAGAGAAGTGAAGTTTAATTTTTTTTTTTCTAAAATTTCTTCCTATTCAAGATGGTCTTGGTCAATTATCAGATGGAAAAACTGGACCTGATAATCATGAAGATGAGCGAGGATTACAATGGGTAAGTGAAAGAAAATAATCTAAAGTAAAATTTTTGAATCTTTTCTTTCAATCTGATGTTCTTCTTCTCTTTTTCTGGCATTGAATTACATGATAATTCATCCGTTCGTTCTTCACATGGGTCATGATGTTAAGTCGTAATCGGACATTGTCCGTCATCTCCTATTTGGATAATTAGTCATTTGAGGATAAACACTGATTGTTGTCCAGATGCTCTATCTTCAAACTTGATATATGGATATTTCTTCTAATGAGACTCGAAATATGTTTGTCGATACAACAGGAAAAAATAATATTGACATAAACCCGTGTAAATCCTAGAAAAGATTAAAACCTATTGTCGATAAACTTTCGTTTATAATTGAATTTTTTTTCTTTGAAAGGTCGGTTGGCGAAAACCACGTTCGATAAAAACGAATAATCATTCGATAACAATTTTATTTTATTTCGATGCCCTACGAAACTTTTCACGTATGACAATACACGCAAATAATTATTATCCAAAAAATATTTACACATTTCGTGCAGTAACAATTGAATTTTTAAATTATAATAATGAATTAATTAATAGTTCATCGTTGATTACATATCATAATCAACATGACGATCAATTCGAAATGGCACGAGCCATAATGATTGATTTAAAAAATCATATTGCTTCAAAATTAAAAATTCGCCTATATTTCGATGGAAATTCAATATTAATTAGTGAAATTACATTCGACTCTTTTATTGTACCTATAATAGCATCGACGACTATTAAAGCGATTACTCCACAGCAGCCATTACAAAAAAAGGCGACACATCATTTTTGGATTTATGTCATTGTATGTTTTTCAACAATGGCAATCGTATTATTGTTAGGAGCGATTATAATACTTCTACGACGAACATTACATGACCATAAAAAGATCAAAAAACATTATTTTACACCAATACATAATCATACGAATTCATCAGCATCAACAACATCAAGTGATATTGATTTTCACTCAACTCAACATCGTTATGCAACCATTGGATCAGCAGCACATCCATATCTACTTTGTACAAATAGTAGTATTAATTCTACAACATCGCCACATTATGCTAAATTAATGCCGACAACAACTTTATTACGAACACCATCATTATATCAGCAGAATCATATTGAAGGCATTTGTGGAAATAGTGCATTTAGCACGCAACGATTATTTACATTTGATATAAATCAAAATCAATTTATACCAATGCATCAAATAAATATTAAACGACGATTAGAATCAAGAAAACAAATCGTTGGAGGCGGAGAGGTAAATTCTTTTTCTTATATATAAACAAGCGAAACAATTATGATTTGAATCGGTCAGTTTCAAATCTATAGAGATATGCATATGCTATATCGACATGCAATAACGAGTGTAGAGGAACATGTACGGAAACCAATCCTTTGGGAAAAGATTTTTCTAAGTTTAATAATTTTCAAAAAAAATGCATTTTTCTGATCACGATTGCTCTCTATCACAGGGTGGTAATGATTGATTCTCATAAAGAATTATATTGACTAAAATCTTTTTTCTTTCCTCTACTTGCAGATTTGTCAAGGTGAATTACAAATCAATCAATCGGTTGTACCGATAACAGTTCGACGCCTTCTACCAAATGCATCTGTACAGTCAAAGTAAATATTGCCAAAGTGTTTTTACTATGATTCAATTCATATTTCTTCTTAGAATATCATTTTTTAACGAACTCAGTCTTTTAACATCGCTTTGCCATCCGAATATCATTCATGCATATGGTTTTTGTTCTGAACCAGCGATGTCCTTATTAACAGAATCATTAGATTTAACAAGTATCGATCTTTATCAATATCTTCAACATTACAAACAAGAACAACAAATGGGCGATAGTCTTTATGCTACCACAGTTTTCTTCGGTTCTCAAATAGCATCAGCATTATCCTATTTAGAATCCTTACATATCTATCATCGTGATATTGCAACAAGAAATTGTTTAGTTACACTTGATTTAACAATAAAATTACATGATTTAGCTATGTGTAATGAAGTCTATACGGATGATTATGTTCTAGTTACTGTTAGTAGTGATATTGAATCTCGACGACCTATTCGTTGGTGTGCATGGGAAACTATTTGTTTGGTAAGTTTAAAGAAAAATATATATTCATTCGTTTTGTATTTCTGTTTTGTTTAATTTTAGAATCGATTTACATCAAAATCAGACGTTTTTTCATTTGGTGTACTTCTTTGGGAAATTTTAACTATGGCTGAACGACCACATAGCCTATTAGACGATAATCAAGTTTTATGTAATCTACGTAATTCAAATCATTATCTATCAATACCATCATGTGGACTAGATTTGATCGATTTAATCTCATCATGTTGGCATAAATGCGATTATGACCGACCTTCATTTTGTCAAATAAATCACATTTTATGCCAAAAACAACAACAATTAATGGCAAAAAATGCAGACACTTATCAACAAATGAATTAAATTGACTATTTATTTGTAATATATAATAGTAGCCCGGTTGTCTATTTCGTTTTTTCCCTTGTGTGTGATTTTCAAATGGAAAGATGAATTTCTTAGATGGACTAGTTTTTCTTTTCTCGTCAATGTTTAAGAATAAATTTTAAAAAAATCAAACAAAGGCTAATATGAATATATAGATATGTGTATTCAGAACATATTTGTCATTCCATCAATCATATACATGTCATCCCTTTTATGATTAGTAGCTGTCAGTAAAGAACCGTTATTCTATGTAAGGGAGAAAAAAATCCAGTTTCGAATGAAATCGTTTTTTATTAAAGTGTTACGTGTACAGCGAACAGGAGGTCCCCGAAGAAAAATATCAAGCATAGAAAATTCATATCATTCAAACGTTAACTAACAATAATATCTTATATAGGATTTCCAAGACATTTAATTGTGCAAGTCAAGGTAATGTATCAGTAGAATGGTAATTATTATTTCGAAAACGGATTTTCCGAAACTGTTTGTGTATTATTCGACTGAAAAATTATAATATCTTTTTTATGTAGGAAATCGTTTCCAGTTCAAACCCATTTCCTGTTTTGTCTGCTATTGTATATATATATATATTTGGCACGAATAAATATTATGGAAAGCTTAATTTTCCAACAGGTTACGTTTTTATAGTTGATGTTCACTCATGAGTATAGAGAGACAAGGTTTTATTCTTTCTGCTTCCTAAATTATAAGTTAAACATTCCCACGCGGTTATTTACGAATCTCCGTAGAGTTACGTGCATCAAAAACCTATAATTTGCGTTGATTTATGTCTTGAAGAATTAATTTTGAATATCAACGATGAGCCATATGAAGTAGAGAAATTAATAACAGTGTCAAGGCTTCACCTCTTTCAATATGGTTCGACGACGACAGCTTGATCATTTTATTGACCATTAGGAGAAGTATGATTTAAAAGAAAAAAATCAATGTCAATAGTTTTTCATGAATCTGGTATTATTCAAGTACATCTCATTTGTTGACTCGATCACTATCCATGAGGAAAACAAACTCCATGTTCGAATTTCGGTACTTGGAAATTTACGATTGTTCGATGTAATAATAAAGAACAAGATTCGAAGAGTCTCGTTAATTCAGCAGTGTTCAGAGTTCCAAAGAAGGAAATTTTGTTATTACGAAAAATTTGATAATGTCCGAAATGGCCAACTTCCGCAATTTCCAGTTTTCGAAATTTCTGTGCCCTTGAAAATACTTTTCTTTGACTTTACTTGATTTTGAAGATAATGGAAATTTCCGTAATTTCCTTTCTCGGAAATCTGAACATACCTCAGAGATTCAAGATATGAAACTAGCTTTTATTTTCTTGCCTTTAATTGGCAGATTTCAGCAATTTGAATATCAATGAAGAAATTCCGAATAGAATTTGATTTCTCGTGAAAGATATTTCTTGAGAATATTTTGCCGCTTCTATCTTACATATTATTGAAAAACGAAATTGTCAAGCATCTTCATTTAATATTGTTTTTTTTGGTCATTCAAGTTAATGTTTCCATTCGATCGAATAGGTGTTGTTCATTTAGTTCGTATTGTTACCGAAGTCTCGCTTATTCTATTCTTATTTATATTTGGTACATGCCGATGTGGTACTTTATTAGGTTTCAATGATACGAATTCTTTATGTTTTTTAATCACAATTATTATCATGGCGTCAACAGATATCTATCATGTTCTTTTAGCATTATTTACGTTAGAAGCATTACGACGTGATACACTATTTCATATGATATTCTATAGTATAATGAGTTTATTAGCTCTAATATGTTGTTTTTTTTCCATCGTGTCCTACACATATTGCACGCAACATCATTTCAATATACTATGCTCTCATTATTCATGTAGAGTTCTATGGATTAGTATTTCTTTAACGTTCATGTTAACATTTATGTATAGTGCTTCAGTAAAATTGATTTGTTGTTTACGTGATCGAAATATGGGTTAGAACAGTTTTGTTGTTCTCGTTACTCTTGTCTCGAAATGAAATATAGTTCAAGATAGAACAAACAAAAACAAAGACACGATCTATTATTTAACTATAACAATATTATCACAGATTTATTTCAAAACGAAAAACAAAAACGAACACCGGAATTAAATGATATCATAATGCAATAGGCTCCTCTTCTTGTGAGAAATATGGATGTTGTAAAGCTTGTTTAGCGGTTAAACGTTGCTCGGGTGGATAAGATAAACAACGCGTTAAAATATCTTCAGCTTTATCATTTGTTAAATGAACATATTTACTAAGTGATGATGTTGCTTGCCATTGAGGAAAATCACAATTATAATTAGACAATGATGAAACACCGGGCCAGAGTTTTTCAGTGGGTGTACCTTGAAAAAATTAGAGATTTTGAGTTATTCTTATGATGTAAAATTTTACCTAAGACTTGAAAAATACAAAATAATTGTGAGATTTCACAATCACCTTTAAATAGAGGTGAATTTCGTAACATTTCAGCAAATATACAACCAGCACTCCCTACAATACAACAGAAGATTTATACAAAGAAAACGAATAAATCGAGCATACAAATATCAACAGAACTTGAGTAGATATCAACTCCAAGTAATACTTCAGGTGGTCGATACCATAGAGTAACAATATCTTTTGAGTAAGCACGTTTTAGTATTGTTGCATCACGAGCAAGACCAAAATCTGCTATTTTCAATGTACCTTTTGTGTCTAGCAATAAATTTTGTGGTCTAACAAGAAAAACAAAAGATTGAATCAAATAATAAAAAATTAAAATTGTCATCATATTATGTATTAATTCACCGTAAGAGTAAATAGCCAAAGTAGAACTTTCTTTTGTCAACTATCACAGTAGCACTTATCAAGGAAATTCTCTTAAATCATAAATTGCTTTTGAGTGGAGACAGTGGTTATAATAAAGAGGCAAGTACACTATAAATACTCTTGAAAGTACTTTCGGCCTTAGCTTATTGCTAAGACTATATTGCGTTGTAAGGGTACTTAAAAAAAGACATGAGTACTAAGCTTCACTCTTATGAACACCAGAAAAGTTCATTTTCCTATCTTAACTTGAAACTTGAACTAGAGATATATTTTAATGAGAAACACTATTTAAGATCTTGTTACTATATGATATTTTTAGATCTTTATAGTTCATGCTCATATTTCAGAGATCTAAAATTTTATTCATAAATGAATTCTTGTGTTATTCCTGATGGATGCACCATGATAGCCATTGCTTAAGAGAACAGAATGCCATAAAAGTGCATTCTTTTCATTGCTATAAGATAATAGTATAAACTTGTTTCAGGACATTCATATCTCATTTGTGTCGACATAATCTCTATTGAAAAGTGATATATTACTTTTGGAGTATATATGAAATATGCTTGACTTAAATTTATTTCTTACTTTCGATCAAAGCAACTAGAAGAATTAAAGCTAAAGATATATGCCTGTTGGTTGGAAAATTTAATTAAAATCTATCTCCTCTAGAATTTACTTTCTTTTTTTGTTCTTCTTACAGCGAGTTAGTCTCATCAATATCCGCTAATTCTTTTAGGACTTTCTCTAACTGCAAGAATGCAACTCTCAATAGAATACAGAAAAACATCATGTTTATCTCATTAGCAATTTGAAGGTCTTTTTTTAATATTTTCAAGCTAACTCTCTGATCAGAATTTTAATTTAATGTAAGACACTTGAAAGTATCATCTCCTATACATCTTGTTCTCATCGTCTTGAAATATATTTCATCCTCTTTTATCAATAACATTCATCGCGCAAATAGACCGATACGACCCTTTGGGAAATTAGCTCGTCTAATAGAAAAAAAGCATCATAGATGTTTCCGTTTCCGAGACAAATTATTTGATGCTATTCTTCTTCTTTGATATATTCATCTTAGTAATGCAAAATCATTCTTTTTTCCATATTTTTACTTACTTTAAATCTCGATGAAAAACTAGAAAGAAAACAAATCATCATTAGTCAACTCATTAGTTTCTATCAAATTTTTTACTTTTATTCGAATGACAAAATTCTAAACCCTTCAATAATTGATAAAAATAAACTTTTACTTGAATATCTGCTAATGGCCGTTGATTATGTATCATATACTGATAGAGATCTGTATTCATACATTCAAATATTAAATAGATTTCATTTTCACGTCGTATGATATCATATAAATGAATAATATTTGGATGTTTTAATTCAAGTAAAAGATTTATTTCACGTATAACAACACAGAGAAGACCATAACGTTCACTATCGAGTAGCATACATTTAATAGCAACTTCTCGTTGACGTTTATAATCAAAAGCTTTATAAACTTTTGCGTATGTACCAGAGCCAATTTGATCGAGTAATTTAAATTCATTTTTATCTAAAACTAATGTACCCGCCATAGATCTATAAAGTACACAAAAAACAAAAATGCCTTTTTGTCATGACCGAATTAAATATTCATTAAAAAAATCTTTTAATCATACGATAGAAAACCGAAGTTTTTATGTGAATATTTATTTTAATAATAATGATATCTATCATGGCCAATGGTTAAATAATCAGAAGCATGGTTATGGTAAATTAATAAATAAATTTAATAGATATTTTTATGAAGGAGAATTTTTTCAAAATAAAAAACATGGCCACGGAAAGTTAACAATTCAATTAAAAGATCGATCTATGCAACGATATTATATTGGTCAATGGAGAAATGATCGAATGAACGGTTACGGAACATTATATGTAAATCAGTCAGCTTATTATGAAGGAGAATTTCGAGATAGCAAAAAATTCGGATGGGGAAAAATGTATTATGAAAATGGCGATATGTAGTGAGTCTAATTAAATATTAGAATTTTTATGTTAGCATATAGACATAGAACTTCTCTTGTTTTCTTTTTGTTATTATCTATGTTTTATGCAAATGTTAACTTTTTTTCGGAAGAGTGGCATGCCCGCCAGATAAAACACTGACCATAGAGTTAAATATCAAGAAAATCATATCAGGCAAACTTCTTATGGGCATGAAACGATTGAGAATAGAGAAAAAATAAATTATCATGTTAATGACTTATTCTCGTTATCGATTCATTAGAATTTTCTTAAGTTATTCATGATAAGATGTAATCATGTTTTCCATATAACGTTGTTTTATCCTCTCGGGACAGCAGATGCATTTGCTTGAATAGTTCAGAACTATTGATGAGCATTATTTATAATTGATTGAACTGGTGTTGCTCTACAAATAGTCAATAGTGAATTTTTACAGAGGAAATAACATCCTTTAAATACTCTTCGATTCGTCACTATGCACAATATACAATCCGTGTGGTATCAGTCGTTGTTTTTTGTTTTTTTTATACATCAATAGGACCGTTGGGAAACGATCATTAGGCATTCCATTTTATGAATAACATAGAGAATCTCGTTATGAAAACAATAAAAATGTCAGATCTTTAGAAAATTCATAATATTTCTCTGTTCTCATATATCATTCAGATATGTAAATACAATTTTATACATCCAATCGAGACATAAAAGTGAAAGGAGAAATACGATATAATCGACTAAGATGAGGTAATTGACTCCACCTGAAAGTAAAGATTAATTTAGTGTCATAAGAAAGTATTAGTCATACGAGATTAAAAATAAAAAAAACTAATTCTTGTTGCATTAAATTTAACAAGTGAAGGTGAATGGTATAACAATAAACGTCATGGTCTTGGTCTATTCCTTACAGGTAAAATATATAAATAATAATAATAATAATGTTAAATTTTATATACATATATTTATTTTCATTAGTCAATGGTGATCGTTATGAAGGGTAAATTTAAAATGTTAAAACAAAAATATCTTATTTTTATTAAATAAGACATTGGTTTGAAGATAATAAACACGGTCATGGCCAATATTACTTTGGAAAACAGAAACGTTTATTTGAAGGCTTGTGGCTTAATAATATGTGTAAATCAGCTGAACAAATCTCTTAAAACACTTAACTGTTAAAAATAAAGAAATAAATGGAACACATTACAAAACATCCGCCTCTGAGAAAAATATGACAACTAGTGACATCACAAATCTTATTCTATTCGTTATTAACATTGACTAGGGATAGAACACGAAGGAAAAAAGAAAAAAGAATGCAGCAAGCAAACGCCAACACTAAATTGAGAATAGATAGAAAAAAAAAATGGAGAAAAGAAGAGAAGACAACTAAATAAATAAATAAATAAATAGTCTTCATCTTCTTCGTTTTTTTTGTCTATTTATCTTTGAATTCATTTTCATCTTTTTTTTGCGTCTTGTGTGTATCTATTCAAGTGATTGTAACTATTGATGAATGACAAATATTGAAACATCCATTTTGATTTAGATCATGATTTAAGAACTATGTATATATATAGATATAACATATATACTTTCGCTATGTAGTTTTATTCATTTGAAAAAACAAAAGAATGAATTTATCGATTTGGAATGATGAATTTTGGTTGCCTCAAAATACAACATGGCAAGATTTTCAGGAACTTGAACAAAATGGTGTACGTTTACCGAAAATTCGAGACCTTCTCTATGTTTATCCATTAGCTGCTCTACTCTATATAACACGTCTTTTATTTGAATATTATATTGCTCAACCGCTTGGTCGCTCTGTCGGTGTACGTGACGATCAACTGAACACGCAACGAATTGATAAAAAATTAATAAATCATTCTAAATCACCCGATAATATACAAAAGCAACAACAACGTCGGACTAAGACACGCATGAGTCCATTAGCTAAATTTAGTGAATCAACCTGGCGTTTTACCTTTTATCTTAGTGTATTTTTGTATGGTGTTCTGATAATGAAAGATGTAACGTATAGAAAAAAATAAAATAACTGTTTGATTATTTTTCAATTTTCAGAAAATATGGTTATGGGATACACGTCATTGTTGGTTAAATTATCCAAATCATGAATTAACTAATGATGTCTATTGGTATTATATGATAGAACTTGCTTTCTATTGGTCCTTAGTCTTTTCACAATTTATTGATGTTAAACGAAAGGATTTTTGGGAAATGTTTCTTCATCATATTGCTACAATATCATTACTGTCATTTTCATATATTGTCAATTTTGTACGTGTTGGATCATTAGTACTTGTTGTACATGATTGTGGAGACTATTGGCTCGAAGTAAGATATCTTGCAAGATTTGTTATCGCACATTGTTGTTTGACTATTTTAGGGTGCCAAAATGGCTAAATATGCGCGAGCACAACGACTCTGTGATACAACTTTCGTGATATTTGCCGTTGTTTGGTTTATAACACGTCTATGTTTTTATCCATATAAGTAAAAAATAGATTAAATTTTTAGTGTTATCAGCATATTATTTTAATCTAATTATAGAGTATTGTACACGACAACATTTGAAGAAATGAATATTCTTGGCTTATTTCCTGCTTATTATATGTTCAATGGACTTTTAATTCTTCTTCAAATTCTTCATTATTTCTGGTTTTATCTTATTTGTCAAGTCGCTATTTCAGCTTGTAAAGCCGGCAAAGTATGATGATTAGTTTTCTTTGATTTTTTCAGAAGAATTACTAGAACCGGCAGTATTGCATTTCAATAGATATGTCGAATCGAATAAAAGAATACGTGTGTGTGTGTGTGTGTGCGTGTATATATACCTTTTCTGTTTGGTTAGAAGAGTGTGTTTATGTCTATATTTGCTCATATTTTCTTCTTTATTGTCATCGAAATCTGAGACGATTGAAACGATAAAGCAATTAGAATAAAGGATACGGATTACTTGTGTCTATAAAAATATAATATACAGATTTTTTTTTGTTTTTTAATTATAGGTAAAAAAAGATGAACGAAGCGACAGTGAAGAAAGTGACGATGAACAAGATACTGTCGACGGTGATGTTGACAAAGACAAGTGATCGTTCTTTCTTATTTTATCAATTCCATCGTCTGATTTATTAATGTTGTTTGCTATTTGATGTTATTGTATATAGTTATTCCGGGAGAATGTTAATTCTATTCATTGTTCTTCAACTATATCTATACAGAACAGGCCTATTCATGCTCTCATGATTTTATAATTCATTTCTTTCGCTTACGTTCTTTCGAGATATTCAAAAAACAAAAAACAAACAAACCTTAAATCAAAACAACGGACATTCATTTTTCATTTTTTTTCTCTTTTGCAATACGCACCTTCCATTCATAACCTTATTTTTCAACATCTGTTCTTTTTCTATTTGTGCTATGTAATTTTTTTTCTCTTCGTCTTAAAAGCAAATAACTACTACCATTATAGATTTAACGATAGAGATAACTGAAATATAGAGAATGAGTTTTTATTAGAACAAAATAAAAACATCCCTAATACTAACAACAATAAGTGACACAATCTATGAATGATGTGCCTTTTGTGTTTTCTTTTTTCTTCATTTTTTTACGTGGAATGCACAAAAAAAACCGAAGCCGGTGTTGATCTTATACATGTGTTCATGAGCACAGTCTATATTATTATTATTATTCTTTTTCTTTCAAAATGATTTGTTTTTTTGTTTTTTTTTCTTTTTTGTTCAGTGGATCAAAATTTACGCATGATGAGGATGATTAAAAAAAAACGAAAATTCAGTAAAATTACCTATGTTTATGTTTTGTTATCGAATCAGGAATTTAGATCAAGATCTTTCCTACTGATAGAAAGGTTAAATCTATTTCAACGCTAGAAAAGAATCATCATTTATTTAGCAGTTCTTGCTTTACGTCAGGAACGATTCAGTTTACTCTGTTGACGTATTCGTCACAATAAATTATTGCATTGATTGATGGCGAGTGGTCATTATCGTTTAGTTTTGATTACATTCAATAAGGTATGAAATAAATCACATGAATGTTGGAAATTGCTCTGACCGCTGCAACATAAATTTCCAAATCATTCGTCTGCTATATAGAAAATATCCCTCAAGGTAAATCAATAATTAAATGAGATACAACCATGAAACGTATTCCTAATTGACATATAGAAGATAAATCTATTCGTTCGAAAGAGATTGTCATTTTTTCTTAAATTTGATTATCCAATTTGCAGAAGACGTCTAGATTTTCGATTGAATGCCAGATAAAAATAGTTAAGCTAATTGAATTAGGACGTTCTGTGTTGTTTGCATGTTGATCGACTAAAAGCTGCATGTTCGATGAGTTGGATATTGGATGTAAATGTTCTCTTTGAAACGTTTCAGTATTGAGGAAAATAAATAAATCATTACCATTCGATATCTTCTATGTGTGTTCCTAATTGAATTTACTAAATAGAAGGCTCCATCGAGCAATTAAATATATATATATTGCAGTTGATAACAAACGATATAGATTTCTTTGTATACGCATAGTTTATGTAAAATCATTGAATGGTAGTATTTTAAGTAGCATTGTGTTATCGATACGCATAATTCGTATATTTAAAATGATTTTAGTTTATTTTGTAATACGAGCAAAATAAATATTTCTTCGTAGTAGTCGCTGTTTGCTACTTTATTATTTTTATTTTATTCAAAATTTTCCTTAAACAATCTACTTTTCACTTATGAAATATAAGCTGCTCTAATGTGTTCTTTTTCTCCAAATTTCATTAGCCATTGAATATGAGATTATATTCTATCAAATTCGGTTCAAAACACAAATAATTAATTATCCTTCTTTTTTCACACATATCATTTTCTACTTTCCTAATTATCAAGCATGTAATAAATTGAAAGGAACTACATGCCACTTCCACTAACACTTCAATTATACAGAATCAAAGGTACTATGATAGTAGAAAGGTGAATCAAGATGCAACAAAAAAAAAAAGTTAACCACATGTGCTATATATTATCGGATGCCGCTGCGCCAGTACCTATGGAAATCTTCGTAACATATGCTACGACAACATCACTGTAATTGTTAAATGTGTTGCTTTAGTATCCGCTAGGTGGAACTCCTATCTTGTTGACGCATCGGTAAACATAGATCACGATCATATGTAGCGTATCTTTAAATTCCTTTGTTATTTGAAATTTAGACTACTCGGTAAATAATCGAGACTCGGAAGAGAAGTTCTGCATTCAAGAACGTCTATATACATAAGACAGGCAGGATAAAATTTTAACAAAAAAGTATTCTTGTCTTGCTCGGTAATAGTCAATGGCGTTTAATTATTGAAGGCGCGTACTCAGATGGCCCGTAACGATGATTTATTATTTTCATGGGAATCGAAAACGAGCATTTCCGTAAAGACGGGAAGAATGAAGTTGATATTTAAAATAGATGTTGCTTTAAAATCTCGATTTCAAATCTATGTTCCGGAGTGATACGTTTCGATATTTGTTGAATTTCGTACCATTTATTCGTTGAAAGAAAACACTTAAAGATAGCTATCAGCTAACATTATAAAAGTTCTTTCATTAAATATTCGGCTTTGAAATATTTTCACTTTTTCTTGAGTATATTCTTTGTTTCATATTGGCGAATATTTCGAAATAATTATATGTTATAACTAGTAAGCATTTTCTAGGAGAATATTTTTATTTTTAACTCAAGGTTATACACGTTGCGTTAAGATACGGCATTGACAGAATATCATGCGTGATAATGAAAGACAAAAAAAAGATAGAATCATAGTAGATATTCCATAATTATTACTGTAGTCGTTCGTGTTAAACACGACTGTAAATTGGAATTCCGTTTCACTGAATCTGTACTTAACTCGTACTAATTTAGGCATTTAAAATTCCACTAAAAAGAAAAAGTTAATCTAAACAAAGTAAATGTGTTTCGTTGACTATTTTCAATTTTTACCAAGGGTACGCCTCGAATGCAATCAAATGAGATCTGAGTCTGTCTTTGAATTCTCATGGTGGTGGAAGCACTTGGATGAGCATTGTATTACGTCATGAGAGAAACATGTGAATCAATCAAACATTAAACTAGCTTCATAAAAGACAATTTTAGGTTTTTCTCCATTAGAGAACAACTATAATTAAGGTACACCAAAGTCAAAAATCAAGCAGAAAAAAAACTGCTTTTATTATATTATATGGTTGGATGGATAGAGCCGAATGAGTAGATCATGAATATCACATTTTAAATGTTTCTAAGCTTATGTTTTGGCTGAGAAATTTTCAAAATACAAAAATGCACCAGAAAAAGTGAATATTTCACTTTTTTCGAGAAAACTCAAAGTCTACCTACTTTAACAATCTTCTAGGTTTCGAAAACTATCATCATCAGATTCAGCATGAAAATCGGAATCTACTGATGTAACTTTGACCAGTAAAAAACATAAATTTCATATTTGCCGAACTCAACTAGGTCTCCATATAGACACCTTAAAATTGATGTCTCGCAAAATCATGAACTTTGTTTTTGAAAGCAACTCTCGGATTTTCTTACATGACTCGAACCGTCAAGCAATAGGGAACAAAATTATGCATTGAGTTTTAAAAATATTGTTCCCTCTCTGACAAAATCGGTTTTTACTAGATCAGCGACTATAGGTTAAACAATTGTCCTCTTGTTTCGAGGTTTTGACTGTCAAAACTTGATTTTCGTGTAAAATACACATCAGAATCAGAATCAGCACGAAAAGCTACATTAACTATTATAAAGTTTATCAAAAACTAATTTTGTTCGCTATTGCTTGACGGTTCGAGTCATGTAAGAAAATCCGAGAATTGCTTTCAAAAAAAAGTTGATAATTTTGCGAGACATTAATTTTAAGGTGTCTATATGGGGACCTAGTTGAACTCGTCAAACATGAAATTTATGTTTTTTACTGGTCAAAGTTACATCAGTAGATTCAGATTTTCATGCTGAATCTGATGATGATAGTTTTCGAAACCTAGAAGATTGTTAAAGTAGGTAGATTTTGAGTTTTCTCGAAAAAAGTGAAATATGCACGTTTTCTGGTGCATTTTGTATTTTGAAAATTTCCCAGTCAAAGCATAAACTTAGAAACATTTAAAATGTGATATTCATGATCTACTCATCCGGCTCTATCCATCCAACCATATAATATAATAAAAGCAGTTTTTTTCTGCTTGATTTTTGACTTTGGCGCACCTTGATTTGGTGTAATAATAACAGCTGCCACTTGTTATGCAAAAAACGAAGCGGAATGTTTCGTTGTTAACTATTGAGTACAATTAACATATAACAAGTCTAATATGTGAATTTAAATTTGCCTGTATCAACAAATATATGCATTTTAATATTTATTTGGAAAAAAATTTCAAACCAGTTATTTACTAATTAGTAAATAATGCTCTATGATTATCTGTACATAAAAATCGTTTAGAGCAATTTTAGATAGCTAATATGAATTTCCATATCAATACGTTGAATGATTTCTTTGAATAATATGTAGAACCAAGGGTTTGATTAAATATAAAAGCAAAACAAAAAAAAAGAAAAGAATCCAATCATAGATTCTGTTCGATTTAATTGAGAATTTTCTTACTGCTTTTAAAAGAGAACTGCATCGGAAATACTTTGTACCTCTTGATTTGTGCCACTAGTTTGAATCGAGCTCAATAATCTAACAGAAAGATGAGCTATTTTCTATTGAAGAACCGTCATTGAGAAGTATTGAATTCGCTCTTTTCCAAAATCAAAGCGAGTATACTAATTGTAAGTTTTGCTATTTCATATAGGGATTGTTTTACTGAACAATCATTCATATGAAGACCGATACTTTAAATATTCTTTGTTTAATAAGAATGAACTGAACATGATACGTTGGATAATACTCCTATTAGAAGATTAGAGAGACAATGAAAGATGCTCTTTTTTTAAAGCATATGGCTTCTATATTTACCCACGCAAACGATTGTACAAAAGTTGACCATCATAATAATAAAATTTTCATTAATTTTAATTAAATTAAAAAAATGCTTTCTTCAGGTGTCAAAGTTCAAAAATTTATACAAAAGAAAACTGCTAGGAAAATCCTTCTGTGTTTATTATCGTTAATAGAATTCTTTAAAAAATCTATGTATTGAATAATTCAATTTTTTAAATTCTATTTGAATAAAATCTGGCGTTGTCCTATTTTTCGTACAGCTAACACATGTAGAGAAATATTAATATTTAATGTAATAATTCAAATCAACCTAGATTAGGGATTAGAGTAGGCGTAAATCACAAAAGATCACCAACTAAATTAGTATGGGTTCTACAATAATAAATTATCTTAGCGAAGGGCATTTCCTTGGGCTTTATCTCTATGTTATGTTATAAAGAATGTCTCAGAAGTTTTGAAACGATTTTAAGAATTCACCGTTCTCTCATTCTATAGATGAGAGTCTAGAACAACACGGTCATGTACTGTTTTCAAAATTTTTCTGTATTCTAGGTCTGCCAAAGTGTCTATGTCCAGGTTAGATAGATGATAAAATCTTGATTATTTTTGAAAAGATGCACTCTCGAAAGCTGTATAAACAGATTCCTATTGGAAAACAAAAAGGTCTTCCAAACCTTTTTTTGATTATGGTAAGAAGTCGTACTACCAAGTAGCTTTTTCGTTTTGAGTATGACAAAGATCATGAACACAAGCCAACAAGGATTTGTTATTACAATTTTTGTAGAGCTTGTCACTGCGCATCTTATTTAGAAAGAATCAAGATTCTATCATCTACCTAGCCTGAGGCATCGAAGAAATAAAGTAAAATGTCCCACGCCCGAAGATGACCAGGAAAATTTTAAAAATAGCACACGTCAGTGTTGTTACAGTTTCTCACCCATGGTACAACGTATTGATCGCAAACTTTGCAGTTATGTAGTGCCACATATGTACAACAATCTACCAAAGTTTCAACGAATTTGCTTTTGTAGAACGCGAGAACGGTGAATTCTTAAAATCGTTTCAGAACTTCTGGGACATCCTTTATCTATAAATAAATATCTGAAACAAAGGAGAGAAGAAAAAAGAGCTCCCATCTAAAAATACAAGTTTTCTCTATCTTGAATAGGAAATGCTGACGTTAGTTGTATGCGTTTCCATTCTAATCAGGAAGTCTTTTCTCATCGCTGTGAAAGAAAATCCAGTATTTAGATTATTTATTATAAGGATCTATACTAATATACATAAACATAAATACATACATGGCAAGTACTTCACATATTTCGATCTTCTCATTGGCGTCTTGTGTATTAATTTTATCTGTATGCTACATGAATTTATCATCTGCATTAGCTCGAAGCACACATGAAAATGATCTACTGCCTAGTGCAAACCAAAACGGACGATTGGCTTTACTCCGTGCAAACATTCAAAAGCGATATCCAGTAAATTATGCGCTTGTATTTTACATTGAATTCTTATATTGAAATTTGTTTTTTTCTGTAGTTTACAACAAACCGACAATCTTTAAACGATAGCGTTGTACTTGATAACGACCAAGAAAAATTATATCTAGACCGACAACTGCCCTATCAACTCGATTGGTCTAAGCGTGATGCACGTGTAAATAAACCGGCCCATGAACGAATGCTTTGTTTTTTTCATGCTGTCAATTGTTTTGGTTAACAGCACTCATACGTGTTATACTGAATATGCGTGCAAAACAAGAAATTAATTTTTTTTTTTGAAAGTAATAATTTTGAAATATTTCAAAACAGACTTTTTAAGTATGACTAATTTAAAAAATTCATCCATTTAAATAAATGAGAAAAAAACCTCAAAGATAAAACAAGTTTTTCTATTACAATCGAATTTTGGTCTATGTATGAACGTAGAGTTAGATAATTAAATATCAACAACTCATGTTGTCAGATTGACAAGTTAAGAAAAACATTTCCTTTTCTGTAAATGGCATATTCTTCTATTAAATCTTTAAATAAATAGAGAATACCCTTATTGAAACTTTCTCGTATCCTTGAAATAGATTGCTTCGCAACAAGTAAGTTTGATATAATACTTCTTCTTCTTGTATTCAATCAATATAGACAATGGTTCAAATACAAATTTGTGTTCATCATTCAACTATGAAGTTTGTTAAATTTTGATGATGACAATAATATTATTGCGAGTATGGTAAATTAAAACTATTCATACTAATTGAAAATGTGATGATTTCACAGCCCGATGGTTTTTTTTAATATGACAAGTCACATGCAGAAGATAAAAAAGAAGCAATCAAGTGCCATGTTTATGTGTTTAATAGGAAGAATTTTTAATTTATCACGTTGACCTCGATCATTCTAGTAAATACTCCTTTCAGAATGATGATGCGAGTCGAGCTGCTATATCCGTTTCGTTTGTGTTTTTATCATCTATGATATATTTTCTTCCAAGTGAGATAACTGAAAGTATTCCGATAAAAATGACGTACGATACGGGTACGTTATGGGTTAAATACAATAGATTTACAATGACGAGAAAGGAGAAAATTTTCATCTAGAATATGTATGCTGGAAAAATCAACTTCTTTTTTTTCTCTTTTACGACGCTAATTTTGATCTCAACTAAAAAGGTTCTGTTGTCCACTGAAACAAATGTACGTATGAACAATTTAAAAGGAGAAAATAAAATTATGTCTAATGTGCTCTTGAACGGAAATGCTTCATATGGTTGCATACGCTTGAAACTTGTAAAAATAGTCATTTACCGATTTTAAACAAGATGCGGAAAAACTAGAATGACAGTATTAATACCAACAGAAACATACAAGAAAACCTATCGGGATGATTGTGCTTACTTAAACTATACGATTCATCTAATAATACCTTGTAGACTATGTTGAGCACTATAAAGGATGTCCTCATAACAAACGTGTTATATTATTTTCTCTAGACATGTTTGCTCCTCCCCCTCCCCACACACACATGTAAAATCAAGCAAATCTGTTGCCGTGAGCGTATAAGCAGATGCTAATTAAAACCGCTTCCATGAGAAGCAATCTATTATGCAAAGAAAAAAGAATTCCTTCAACTATTTCCTTTTGTTAAAAGCATTAGTTAAAAGCATTCAACTAGATATTTCTTATTTTTCCTTTTCATCCTAGGACAATCTTCAGCCAGACATTCTTCTAAACAGATAAAAAACAGACTCCTTCTCAAATTGAAATCCACGCATAATGTGAGAATTAATTTCTTTCGTTAACATGCATGACGTCATCTGAAAGGGAGCATTTCTCCTTAGGGTGATCGTTATTCATTGTAATATTGACCGCGGATAGTTTCACGAAGACTTTCATATGTCACCAAGTAAATGTTTTCGAATAAGAAAACCAAAAATAGGTCTAGTCCGTCAACAATTGAATTTTGCGGTCATTGGGCAATTTTCTGCCTAAAGAGATTTCAACTTCAATTCTGTTGTGTAAGAACTGCTATTTCCATGAAACGTTTTTCTGCTTTGTTAACGCATAGACAACGATGTGTCTTCGATGGAGCTTAGTGACACTATACTACTTTTCAAAATGTACTCTTCAAGTCAACAGGGTCATTCTTTCAAAAGCTAAACAAGTCTGTGTTTTCCAAGTTAAAAAAGAATGTTAAACAGAGCGTTTCTGAGGACCTGATGGCGCATCACTTTAATTAGCATGGAGAAAGCGATGAGCAAGATAGAACAATATTTGTTTTTACAATGAGTCTAAAACAACATGGTTCTCAGAAGAAACCTAAAAATAACTGAGTCTGATGATGCAAAATCAATATATGATATATGAAACTCGAGCAGTAGCGCAATGCTAATTATCACTTTTTGTTTACATTCGTAAAAAATTGATATTCGATCTTGATGGATCGTCCTAAAAATGTCTACAATGAATCATAAAATTTACTGTTAAAATTTCAATATGCATATCGGATGACTGCACTCAATGTATGATTCGATCTGATTAATAACCTATGTTAGTGCAGACATCGTCGTCTTTTGACTCCAAATCTTAATTGTGATTTTAAACAAACAATCAGTCTCGTGATCTTGAGTTCAAACAATGTTCAATTGTCTCTTTTTTCACAAGCGATAGATTGATCACGATTGATCACGTACGCAATCGATTTTATCATTTCCGGAAGGCTTTTCCCTTCATGGCGATTCATCTATGATTTATTTCATGCTCTATTGTCTTTAAACGATTCTATTTTAACTCTGAAAGAAAATTCATAAATACAATTTATAGGCGACAATTAACTTATTATATATTCAAATTCTATATTAAGAAAGCAGACTTTCTGTACTACTACTAGTACTTCGATCTAGTTAATAATAATTATCATCGTCTCGATTACTTGATGAAATTCGATCCAACTATTGTTATTCCGATCATTATTTTAGCTTCATATCAACTGTTTTCGATATTTGATACTGGTTAAAATTATTTTTTCGTTTTCTTGTTAACGGAAATAAAACGAACAGATTACACTTGCATAATTACTTGTTATTTAAAGTAGATTCAAGACAATTTTCTTCTAAGATATCGATAATGTTTGTTTTTGATTCTTTTGTTCTATCTGTAAGAAAAGATTACACGTATGATTTATGGACGGATTAGAAATGAAAGAAATGTCAAAAGAATTTTATTATATAATCAAAACATGTTGCAAAGAGAATAATTGATAAATTGAGCTGATTAGCATTGAATATAAAAATTTGATCATAAAGAAAAAACGTGTCATCATTCAAGACAGTTTTATCTTGTCATAGTTAGCTGGAGACTGATAGAGCATGGCAAGTCAAAAACTAAAGTATGTACGTAGAAAAAAATGGCGCATCGATTCTTAATGGCGTAGTAATTACGAAAATAAAAAATCCTTTGATAGTAGTCGATTGAATGAATAAAACACACACGTACGCAAAAAGAAAAGATGAAGAAGAAATTTGATCATCAACCGTTTTTAACAAAAAAAGAAACTGCCAATGTTCTTATCACTTTCACTGCATTCGTTTTTATTTCTTTGTGTTGTTTGAAACAAAATAGTTGTCATTGACCAGAACATAGATACATGTTTAGAGCGTACGATTGTAATAGTTAGGGTAAAACATTCTATAGATTATTTAGACACAAAAACAAATAAGACAAATAGAAATATTCATACCATTCGTTGGATAATATCATTAATACGATTTGATGAGAGTTCGAAATGCCCTTTGAGTTTTCTTTTGATGCTTACCATTTGAAAGAGTAACTGCTAACCTTGATCTATTCAGATTCTGATATAAAATATACAAAAAGAAACAATTATTATTGATCCATAAACATAAGAAATCAATTCGACCAGTTTATTTCTATTTTTGTATGTCTCATGTAAAATATCCCTATTAATTTAAATCAAAGTGGCACGAATACAAGAAGATTATCATACATTGAATCCCTTATTTCCTTGCAGTGACCCAATACCAGTTGTATCAAAACTGAAAAAGAATGTATTTATTTTATTCGGTGTTTTAATTGGGCTATTACTTCTGTCAACAATTGTATTAGCAATCTTATTTAGTATTGAAAAATCGAAAACAACAATATCAATAAAAGCAGGTAGCAAAAATTCATCTTTCAATTGATCATAGATAAATGATGTGAATCTTTTATTTTCAGTAGAAAATAATTTATGCGTAACTCCATTTTGTATCAAAGCAGGTTCGTCAAAAACAGAATATTAAAGCGCGTCAAAGTATAATTTTTGTTTTAGCCAATTATTTACTTGAAAGTATTGACGAAAGTGTACAACCTTGTGAAGACTTTTTTCAATTCGCTTGTGGAACATGGTTAAAAAATAACCGAATACCTGATGACAGTAAGCTTTTTAGTTTTTAAGAAAGTCTCAAAACATTATTTCTATTTTCAATTTCAAGCCGGTGCTCAAGATACATTCAATATATTACGAACTCAACTAGACAATAACGTTGTCGGTAAATACAATGAAAGCATAGTCGTTTTGTTTCCTTTGGTTTTCATGCACATTCGAGGTTCCACTTAGAAGACAGACACTGGAAGATTTTAGTATCTTCACCTTGACTTTCTTTTATTCTATGTAAGAAAATCAGTTGGTTGATTATATGAGATTCGTCTTGCTTCTCGACTAACTCCAAATAAGCAAAAACAAAAGTTTATCTAGTATAAAAATGTTTTCAAAATTGAAGACGCTTGATTCTCATTTTCTTTTATGATATAAAATTCTTTGAGTACTTTCGAAACAAAACATCAACCAAATAAAAACGTTGTTAGTGCAATCCCTGTGAGATCAAAAAATGTGAAAAACGATGTTACTATTGTTGCTAACCGTCTAATAACTAGGTTTTCTTATGCATAGTAAGACACGTTTATAAATCACGGTTCGTGACAGACAAACTCCATAACGTGTTTGTCATGGCCGATGACGAAAACTTGAGAGTGTGGATGTAGATTTTTTCAGCACTCAAGGTTTTCTTTATTCAACCACGCACTTCACAGTAGAAGGTCATCTTCTACAGATTCATTGAAATTGTTTTTGAATTATATTGAGCATAGCATCGCTATTTCCTATGGAAAAGAAAAGATTTCAATAAATGTTAGTTCGATATTAAAAAAAACTTTATTGTTCGTAGATATTTTAACATCAGAATTACCGAATGATAGTATTAAAATTAAAGCTATTGAAAATGCACGTCTACTATATAATGCGTGTGTCAATGAATCAGCTATTGAAGCTGCAGGCGTCGATACCATACTATCAGTTCTTGAGAATGAACTTGGCGGTTGGCCAATTTTAAATGGTTTATCATGGGATGAAAAAAAATTTAATCTTTCAAATTTACTACTAAAACTACGTGAATATAATAATAATATAATATTTAATTGTGGCACATCAACAGATGATAAAAATTCATCTGCTTATTTTATTCGAGTAAGAAAAGAGAAAAAAATCGTTAGATAAATTACATTTTTTGGTTGTTCTATAAAAAAAAATAACTAGATTTCACAAAGCGATCTTGCTCTTGAACAACGACAATACTATTTAAATGAAACAAAACTCACAAATGCTTATAGACAATTTATGTATGACTTAGCTGTGTCATTAACAAACGATACAACAGCAATCGATAAGGATGTTCAAGATATTTATGAATTCGAAAAGAAGATATCGCTGGTAATGAGTTGTTCTTTTTGTTTTATTTTAAATTTCTAGTTTTTGTTTTTTTTTTTGATAGTTTCATTGGACAGCTGCTGAACAACGTGCAAGACAAAGCGAAATAGTTCGCACAACTATTGGAAATCTCTCACGATTATTCAATACAAGTGTTCGTAGTATTTCGACCTTTTGCATTCTTATGTTTCTTTTTTTTGATAAATTTTAGTTTGATTTTACAAATTATCTTCGCCAAACTTACCGTTTAGCTAATGTTACATTATCAGATAATGATAATGTATCAGTGAGTGAAGTAGAATTTTTACGTAATGTATCATTAATTATTGATCAGCATTCGCCGCGTGTTGTTCAAAATTATCTGATCTGGAGATTTATGATGAATAGAGCAGCTAACATGCCGAAACGTTACCGCACTATAAGAGAACAATTTGATAGAGTGCTTCGTGGCACCAATGCTGAACGTCCACGCTCAATATCATGCGGTTCCTATGTGAATATTAATATGGGCTTTGCTGTAGCAAAGCTTTATATTAAGAAATATTTTGATGAAAATGCTAAAAATCAGGTATCGAATTTTTTTTTAGATAAACTTGCCGTTTGAGTGTAGTACTTGTCTAAATAGTTTAATTTTAATATAGTAGAGATTATAAATTAATATTTCGAAATTCAGAACAGTAGTCCTCTGTTTCCTATTACCTTTGAATTTATATGCTATCAATTATTTTCAGTCACTGGAAATGATTCATAATATTCGAAGTTCGTTTATTGAAATGCTAGAAGAATCTACATGGATGGATGATATCTCGAAACGGAAAGCAATAGAAAAAGTAAGCGATGGTATAATAAATTACTGTACGAATGAAATAAAATTTCTCTTAGGCTTTAGCTATCGATGAAAAAATTGGCTATCCAGATTACTTGAATAGTAATAATGTTACACAATTAGAAGAAGACTATGCTCAAGTAAAACAAAAAACCTAAACATAAAACGTAATTTTTAATGTATGTACATTTTATTTAGTACACTTTCACTGATTCATATATTCATAATACTTTGAAAATATTAAAAATTAAATCTAAAGAAAATTTCAAAATCCTACGCGAAACTGTTGATCGTAAAGCATGGGGTGCTAGTCCGCCAACAGTTGTCAATGCTTTTTATACTCCATCGAAAAATCAAATTGGTAAATAAAATTACAAATACTTGATGCTTTCTCGAAAACAAAAATTAACTCATATTTTCCTTTAGCGTTTCCGGCTGGTATTTTTCAATTACCGTTTTTTAATAAAGATGCACCCAAGTAAGACCTTTTTTATATTTTCTTTATTCGTATTGTTTTTCGAATGAAATTTTTATTCTTTATTTAGATACATTAATTATGGTGGTAAGTTCGTAGTTAGTGAGGAAAAAGTTGGCGAAAAACGAAAAGAAATCTTGTAGGAATAGGAGCCGTCATTGGACATGAAATGACGCATGGCTTTGATGATAATGGTCGTCAATTTGACAAAGATGGAAATCGAATACTTTGGTGGACGACAGAAACAATTGAACGATTTAATAAACGTAAAACATGCATAGTCGATCAATATAGTCAATATATTCTTGAACAACTCAATATCAGCGTAATATTTAACATTAGAGTTTAATTTCTCCGATAATATTCTACTTTAGATAAATGGTAATCAAACTCAAGGTGAAAACATAGCGGATAATGGCGGAATCAAACAAGCATTTTTCGTAAGTTTGATATATACGATTATGTTTGTATTGGTTTAGAAATCCCGATGGGAGAAGAAAAAAATCACTAAATCTTACTCCTACAGATTATATTGCGATAGGCACAACACAATATCTCGGATGTGAAACATAATAAAAGTTTGTCGAGTTCGAAACATGATACTAAATGAATAACTTCTTTTTAATAGGATTATTCAGATACGCGTTTCTATCGCAAACATGATAATTATGAATTCATTTTTTGCATGCTTTCCTCTTTGATTTAATACTGTCACCGTGATTGTTGGATTTACAAGTGTGATAGTTTCACATAGATATGTGTATGTATTTTTAGGCGTATCGAAAATGGGCTCGAAAAAATGGAAATATTGATAAAAAATTACCTGGCTTAATGAAGTATTCATCGGACCAGATGTTTTTTATCAATTATGCACAAGTGTGGTGTTCGAAAATGACTGATTCTTATGCGATGAATAGAGTTTTGACTGGTGTTCATTCGCCTGGGCAATTTAGGTAATTAACAGACCATTTTTCTTTTTTCCAATAAGAAAAAAATTACGATTCAGACATGTTCTGGGATATTTCCTTTTTTCTCGCTTTTGCTAATTTATCCTACATCAAAGATTTGCACTAATTAAAATTCAAAACAATGATTTTCTTACTACAGGGATTATTAGAGACAGATTTATTCTATGTTTTGACCTTCATAGTGCGATGCATATTACTGATTCCTCGGTTTATCTAATAGGAAATTTATGTTAATGAAAATATGCGCTTGTTTTTATGAGAGTTCGACAAATGTACCGCTATGAATCAAGTGCAAAAAAACAGCAACTACCGAGATAAATGGTCGTATTTCTTCGGTTTGATGGTGCCAAAAAATTGAAAACGAACAAATCTTTTTTGAAACCGAATATTTCAGTTCAATCCTTACGCGCGATCATTTTCATTAAAGACGACTCAACTTTGATTGATGCAAAAAGACGTACGTTTAGGTCTGCAAACATGGTTAATAGTGTGCCGATGCAGTCTAGATAATTTTCGAACTTCAGCTTTGATGAATGCCTTGTATAGTAAATCAGGTGACGTCTATACAGCATAACTAAATCATGAGATGTAAGTCGACCACAAAAATCTCGATAAATCTCTTACAAGCAAATAAATTGAGATCAAACTAAAACCAGAGTAGTTTCCTCAAGCATCCTCCTTTCGATCACTAAGCACATCATCATCAACTTTAAGAGTTATATTTGATTTGATTTACAATTATAAATAGTCGTTCCTTTATATTGCTGGTGCGTGATTAGAAGCGCTGCGTTTTCAAAATATCTTCTCATTATCATTCTATTGATTTCTGCATTAGTGCGAACTGTCTCTCTCACTGCTTATGTTTATTTTGTTCTGTTTTTAGAGTACTTGGTCCAACTTCAAATTTTGATGAATTTGATCGAGTATTTGGTTGTAAACCAGGGCACGGCAACAGTCGAGTAAATAAATGTACTGTATGGTAGTTTATGATCCGAAGTCGTTTCTTTTTTTTTTGCAATATCTATTCATGTCAGTTTTAATCATTCACATGTAAAGACAATGGCAACAACAAAACGAAATAATAACAAATTAACGAATAACAAAAAAAAGTGTTTTTCTTTCTTTTTTCAAACATTTAGTTTTTTGTTCTTTTTCTTTCTTTTATCTTGAAACAAAACACAATACTTGGATACTTATTGATATCTATATATTTTAGTCATCTTTCTTTCGTTTTTTCTTTTGTTGTTGAAATTCAGATGCACTGTTATTATTCGAATTACTATTATTCGATCCTAGTTGCTGCTTTTTGGCTTTTTTTGATGCTTTTCCTGTTGAATTCATTTGATTTTTTCTGTCACCAGCACTTTGTTGAATATCTTCATCACTTGTTCCACTCATAACATCAAATTGATCTTCATCATCATCTGATGAATAACCACCAAAATCAAATGGAGGTTCTTCAAAAACAAAAAAATTAACATTTTTTTAAATTATATTTCTAAAGAAATTTTTATTTGTTTACCAAGTATTTTCGATGTAATTAAATGTACTGGACCATCACCTTCAACTAATTTAAAAGTTACTTCAGTTGTCTCAGTCAATAAGATTCGAAGATTAAATGCTGTAATCTATTTGAAACAAACAAGAGAAGTTTAGCACCAAAAAAACGAACAAATGTTTTCATACTGAATCATTTCTATTGAGTGATAATGAGAGAATTGGCTGATCAAGAATTGTTTTGTTGCCTGAGGCATCTTTGATTGTTAAATGTACCAAATTTCGTTGATCAGCTTTTGCTTCAACGCCGAGAACAGCCTGAAATATATTTGTAGAAATTCACTAATTGTTCATTCGATAGTATGATTAAAAGACAAAAAAAGGAAACTATCAGTTTATGAGAACAATGAAGGAAGTCTTACCCAGGGGAAAAAATGATGCATAGATAAGGTTATCTTTTCTTTTTAATATTTCCTAGTATCAAAAATATATCATGCTGGAGGATCTACAAAATGTTTTTAAAAGTCAATTATGTGTTTTCTGTTGAGAAGAGTGTAGCAGCGGTCGTTCGTGTTGTCTATCCATATTTTATAGATTACAAATCGAACATAATTTGATAAGAAACTCGTCATATATAAGAACTTGAATTTATAATCATAGACGATTTTTCATTATTTTCTGTTAACTAGCATCATGAATATTCAACAAGGCAAGATTTGTTTGATGAAAAACAAATCCTTGGATAGATAGACCACGTCTAATCCGAGACTATATCTATAATATAGTCTCGGATAAGCCATTATTACTTTGTAAGGAGTTCATTTCCTATCCCTACTGCTTTAGAGACACTGTATGTTGCCGACTATTGAAACTACAACAAATCTTGAAGGTATTTACTGATTTCAGGATACGCATGTCTCATCTATGTTTATATAATCTCAACTGAAAGTGCTTGCATTTTAATATTTAAAAAAAAAAGACTAAATGAACAAGTGGTTACAAAGACGAAAGGTTCTACTCACGCTGTGAACGACAAATATTGTTTGTAGAGCGGATGTTTCACCTTCGCTTTCATCATCGTCTTCGTCGTGATCTTTTGATTTCTTATCAGTGTCGTGAACGGGCCATTTAAATTGCTTTTTACTGGCACTTAATTCGACACCGATCGTTTTTTCATCCAAAACCATTTGTTCACGCATAGAAAAAAATTTTAAAAAGCAAAGAAAAAAACAAATCTGAAAAGGAAAGAAAAGAAAAAACAAGACTTATATTGGAACCCGCAAATTTTTTTCTCCTACGAAATTCTAAATACGAAAATGAGTCAGCGTTTTACTATACTGCAAAAATGCCTTCGAAAAGATTTTATTTAACATGGAAAATTAGCAAATAAAAACAACTCAATTATTTATTCTTAAAAAGACTAATATCATTTTCTATTGAATTTTTTGTTTTTCTCACTTCAATCAATGATAGACGTCGCTGTAATTCAGTGTTTCGACAAACGAGAAATTAATAGCTTGAATATTTTTCTTTTGTAATGATCGTTATGTGCTTGTCGTTTTCCCATCAAAAACAATTGATATGTAGACATTTTTCAAGAGGAAAAGATCGATTCAAAATGACATCACACTCGATAATCTCACAATGAGAAGTTTTCCTTCTATTCAACTAATGAAGCTTGCCAGTTATATATATACATATACAGTGGAGAAAAAAAAAAGCATGTCGAAATTGATCGATGAGGAAATATTCTCTCCTAGTGTGTGCATTATTACGAAATTGAAGTGTATAAACGCGTGTGACGAACACGGAAAAATTATAATTGTAGACTTATGATGCATATATTTTCTTCTTTTTTCTCATTTCGAAAAGATCAAATTTCGATTTAATCACTCATTCGTTATATATTAAAACCCACTCTAACGTAGGTTTATCTAACTTTGGATTCTAATTAGCATTCATATTATACATATCGAATGATGAACTACTTGAAATGATAGTCCTATGATGAATCGAACATTTATTGTGATAATAAACTTAAGAAAGTTACTTTATTCAAAACAACAGTTTCTATTTGACATATAATAAGCTAAACTTCGCCAAGGGTGGTGATCACCACTTTACCTTTCTCTCTAAATCCGCCACTGGATATCGATGAGAACAAAATAATCATTATGAAAAATACGGAAAGGACAGTTGCCACTTGAATTCTGTCTGTTTTTTTTTGCCATATGAATATTCAATGTAATATCTTTAGAACATTTCCTGTCAGTCTATTATTTAGATGAATACCTCACTTGAATTCTATTTTTTGTCTGTTTCAAACTTCATTATTAAAAAAGGAAATTCCAAAACTTAAATCAATCTAATTTCGTTTTAATGTATTAAATTTCATAGACTAAAGAAAAAAATTATTCAAAGTAAACAAATCCTTTTGCTCTAATTCGATTATGATCATTCCCATATGAAGTTAAAATAAATTATACGAAGATCAAAACCTCCAACTAATGTCACGCCAAATAGAGGCAGCTTATTATCATCAACATATATAATCTAATGTTTCTATTTATAGTAATCGGCTAACTAACAATCGATACCACGGTAATATAACAAAAGCTATGAAGCATATAACAAAAAAACAGATGAATGTCCATGTATACTAATTACTTTTTGCATTCTTTTCTTGTTACAAAAAGAAGAAGAAATTGGCAAGGTGTTTGCAAATCGATACTATTATGAAGGTAGTCACGGTATAGTGAGTCTCCTCATTTCTTCGGCTCATTTATTTAATTTGCCCTCGTCGAGCTAACAGATTGGTAGTCAACAGTAAGAGAGAGAGAAATTTTCCTATTGGTTGATTTTCTTTTTTTTTCTATACGTGCGCACCGCAGTCCGTTTTCACTTGTCTCGTCGTTTCGCATTTTTTTTCTCTTGCGCGCGCGTTCTCTCTCGCTCTCTACTGCACAATAAGAGAAAGAGAAAGCATACATCCGATTTGCTCTTACTGTTGTTCGACATGCATTTTTACATGCAACAAAAAAAACAGAATAGATCCATCTCTTTTCATAGACATTTTTGTTTTAGACTAACTAGAAAGCAAAAAACGAACAATAATGAGTTCAATGACAAATAATGGTGTAGAAATTTCATCATTCTATCCTCATCTATCGATGATGCCTTCATTAATGAATACTGCTCCGAAATTACCACCGAATATTTATCGACCCAATTCATGGATGGATCTATCGATGCAACCGTATTTTTACTACAATATCGCGTAAGTAAAAGAAAAACTAAAAGTAATTCTTAAATCTATTTATCTTCTTGTCGCAGTGTTAATGATCCCAATCATAAACGAAAAAATGCGACACGTGAAACAACGGGTAAGTTAATGACAAACGTGTTTATTCCCATAAGTCAATATCATCATTATTATTTGTTTCTCATCATCATAAAAGTTGAAAAAAAAAGAAGAAGAAGACGACGGGTCCGCTCATTCGCTTGATGACAAAAAAAGACGTGACTAAGCAAAAAATCTCATCTCGTTTGATATGCAGATCGATTGCATACGTTACATTCCTCCAGTGTGTGTGTGTGTGTGTGTGTGTGTCTTGCTTTTCCATAACAAGAAGAAGGAGAAAAAAACGCATTAAAAAACATTGATTAAATTCCTTTGAGCCTCTTTAAGTGGATGGAATCATTTTCTATATTCATCTTTTTCTATATTTTAAAGCTACACTTAAAGCTTGGCTTTATGAACATCGGAAAAATCCATATCCAACAAAGAATGAAAAAATGATCTTAGCGATGGTTACAAAAATGACATTAACACAAGTATCGACATGGTTTGCCAATGCTCGACGACGGTTAAAAAAAGAAAATAAACTTAATCGAACAACAACCAATAGTAAAAGCGAAGAAGAAGAAGACGACGATGAAGATGAAGATGTAGATGACGATGTTGTTGACGATGAAGATGAAAATGAGAATGAAAATGAATCTCATATTAATATCGAACAAGAACGGCCGCCAGTTAAAATTTCAAACACAAATAATAATAATAACAATTTAAAACGTAAACATGACGATAATGATACAAATTCATTGCAGATACCAGCGAAAAATCGGCCGAAAATATGGTCTATTGTTGACGTTGTTCAATCGAATGAAACAAAACAAACAAAATCATCATCATCATCATCACCATTACATATTATACATCCATATATAACACCTTCTATACCCTATTTACTATATCCACCATCATCAACAAGTTCACCACCACACTCATCTGAACATTCAACAAATTCATTATCATCACTGAATTCATCATCAACTAGTTGTTCGCCAACTAAATAACTTGAGAAAAAGCAAAACTGACAAAACCCACATTAACTCTTCTTTTTTTCTTTTTTCTTTTCTTTTTTGTATTTTGTTGTGAAAAAATATAAATGTATATTAAAACGATCTTAAAGTCAAAAGATCATATTGAATAAGTGTCAAGTTAACGTGTGTGCTTCACACACGCACACACATTGGATAAAGATTGTCTCTTCTTATTCTTTTCGTTTTCATTTTTTGACTAGTCAAGTGTCTAATAGCTGTCCATTAGTTTGTTTCATGTCTTTACTCTCTTCATATATGAGAGATTTTCATATTCGATAAGTCGATACACACAACACCTTTTTCATTTTTTCTCTCTCCTTTATTCAATGTTTGTCTTATCATCTATCGATGCGTAAGATCAATGGTGGTAAACAACATTGAAATATATTTATAGAGAAAAGTCAACGCATTCAGACTTCAATGATGAGTTCACTCTTTTGATCTTCGTCTTCATTCTCTTTCATATAATTGATATTTCACACTAACAATTATTCGCTGAATGATATGACTATAACAATCTTACAGCTGCTACATAGAGTTTTTGTGTACATGCATGTTTTTTATACAAGAAAAAAATAATAAATTATAATTTGATCAGACCATAGAAATTTCTTTCTATATTTGCCTACGGCCCAAATACACCTTTTCTTTTTTCTTCTTCTTCTTCTTCTTCTTCTTCATCATTGACATATGTTAAACACGATGTTTAATACACTTTGAATGGCAACAGCAGTAGAAGAAGCAAACAAAAGAAGAAATACTGTCGAGTTGTACCATATTGAAATAAAATATGCTAATCAATCATAGTGATGCTGTAGAAAAAGTCAACACGCATACACACACCAACGTACATTGATCTGACGAGCACATTATATTATGAATAAAAAAAAGAAAAGAACTCAAGTGTGATGATGAAGATGATCATAGACCGTCATTGGTGTTCTTTTACTTGTGTTTGATGTTGATTGGCATGTTTCGCTTTCTTTTTTTGCTTAACACGATAATTATAGAGTATCAGTGAGCATGTCAAATATTTATCGATATTTGCTATTCGAGTAGACAAAATGCATAGTGATCTAACTCATCGTTGAGATGGCGACGCCTATTCGCGTGCTCTTCTGATAACCATCGGTCAATATCTGGTGCGTACCTCACCCCCACCATCTCCCTCTCTCTGTGTGTCGTTTTTGCTCGCGCTTCTTGTCGCATATAAAAGTATTAGTTAGAAGGGCGTGTATAATGATGGATATGTTCAATGAAGAGCGATCTAGTACGAAAGACGATGAGTTGTGACACGCTCAAGTGATAACAATCATTGTCATTATTTCATTCTTTTTCTCGACATAAGATACACGAAAAAAATATATGAGAGTCGTTAAGACGTTGTGATCAAGGAGCATAACCATCCCGCCAAAAAAAATTGATTGATAATGTCGGAAATTTTTGGTTTCTTTTTTGTTCTATGTGTATAAAAATAATTTCATGGAAGAAGAAAATAAAAATGTAACGAATACTATTGACTCTAGGCTACTTATCATAGCAATCATCGATCAATCGTTCGATTAATAGCCGGCAGCATTGGAAAAGATTGCATCTCGGGTTTTTTTCCCCTTTCTATCTTATTGGGACTTGAATGTCTGTCTGTTTTCTAAAGAAGATGCAGAATAACTAACAACAAGTAAAAAAAGAAGGCAGTCTGTTCCATGTCTCGTCTAGGGAAATCAGTCGATAGACATGGCAAGTGGCCTTCCTTCATTTTTATATACACACGCAAAATAACAAACCCTTCTTGCTTTGTTTATTTTTTTTTTCGTTTTTCACCTGTCTGTCGTTCAAAATGAAAAGAAAGAACAATTGAACTTCTAATCGGATTTAAGTTACCCGTGCATGTCAACAAACATTGGTTATACCTACACAAGTGTACATGCACATATAGGAGAAAGTGTACAGGTAAAAATTATACGCCTTTCTCATATCGTACATAAAGATGATGATGATGATTATGTTTTCTTTCTCTCTCTCTCTCTCTCTCTCTCTTTTCTTTATATGAATATACGTGTGCATACATATATATATATATTAAACGACAGGTCTAATCGAGCACGAATCAAGAACGATAGTATGTCGTTTACGATTAATAGCGAATAAGATTTGTATAGAAAATAATCACTTTATATTATGAATGTATAATCAAATTGATGAAGGTTAACTTTTGTCACCTTAAAGACAATAACAATATGTTTTTAGGGTTATCATACAATAACTAAACAAAAGATAAATTACAATTGAAAAAGAAAACGAAAAGTCAAGTAGTTATTACCAGAAAGAATTTAATACGTTTTTGATATCAAAATTGAATTAATCAAAACAATGATCTGCTCGATTCGATGAGGTTCTTCTATGAGAAGAAATTAGACTCGTTTTGAATGTATATCATAAATTGCATTTGGGTTTTTGTGTATATGTCACCGTGTTGATAATGTGTCAAACATTATACGAGTGATCAGTGTTAACATATAAACGATGATTGACTTTTTTGTTCTTTGATCTTCGTGTTTAATTATTTACATTATAGATTTTTAAAACATTGTCTTTTTTTTTGATTTGACGTTTAGAAGAAACGAAAGTCACAAATAAATCGTACGATGTCACTTTTTGTTCAATGAAAAAATAAAAGAAGAAATATTCTTAGATTAGTTTGAAAACAAACACACACACACATTGTGTTTTCTTTTTTCATGTATTGAGTGTTTGTGTATAGATTAAAATGAACAGTTCTAAAGTGTTGATAATGTTCTTAATACAATTGAAAAGTTTATTTATTTTAAATTTAGACGAAAGTCATTTCAGCGACTCAATTTATGATGAGTATATTCGACGCATTGAAAATTATTATTGTACACTTGAAAGAATAGCAAAGATTCGTTTAGTTCATCGTTAATCAATCAACATTGTTAGCATGAAAATATGTTTCAATAGGAAACATATTTAGATGAATACGAAAGAATTTTGTTTCGATTTTGAAACAATTGTTGCACTTGACATTCTATTGAAATTGATTATTAGATATGTTCAATGAATAGTATATACAGTGTCCTAGTGCAGTCAATGAATACAAAGAGATGTTTTCGCCCGGCTCGGATTAAACTTGAGCCTGAAAGTTTTCAACCCGATGTGAACTAGCGAATGGAAATCGAAATTATAATTTGCATAACAAAAAAATGTCTTCCATAAGATGGATGTTATGCATTGGGGTAACATCCGGTGACTGTGCGGACGAGTTTTTTAGGTCTTAACAAACGTAGAAGTTCATTATATTGATAAAATACCAAATGGTGAATAACGCAGTTCGCCACCTAACTTTTTTTTTTCTATTTCAAAACGTAGGACTGCAATGCAACTGAGAATTTGCCCATAGATATGTATTGACTGTTGAAAAAATAGTACGATGTTGCTCTTTTTGCGAGCAGTATTGTATTTGAAGAAAGCTTTAGATAAGTAATATGATAATAGTGATGAGTGATGATATTTATTGAATGTATGACAGTGCATGAATTTTGTCGAGTTATACAAAATAATTATTTTGAATTAAAATGATTAGATATGGTGATTTATCATATTCAATGAGATTAAAGTATCAATCATTCTTATCATATTGATGATTATTTTCAACCTATTTTCGTTCAAAATTAGAAATGAAGTAAGTAATTTACTATTATTCAATCGTGTATATACATTAAATCGAACTCTAAGCCAGGGATTCAAGTGCAGACGTAGCTCTACTCAATTAAATCAGTTGAATTTGGCGATTTACGTGTTCATATATAAAAATAAATCAGTTGAAATATGAAAATCAAAATCTGTACTATTTTAGTACCATTCAAATTTGGTTACGTAGAATTAAAATTCCAAGCAATAAAAGCTTTTATTTATTCATTTTTAGTTACAAAAAAAGAGAAAAAAAATTTCATTTCATCTTATAATTAATATTATCAATAGTTGTTAATCTATAGTCATTCTCGTTGATCCATTGGCCGATTTCTTCCCATATATGAATTAGACTTGCAATCATAATAAGAAGTGCTAATATTAAATCTAATATTAATAAAATTTGAATAGAAAATATAACAGATCGAAAAATTGGTGCACATGATCTAATAGTATTCCATTGATCTTTGTTCATTTCATTTTCTTCAATTACTTTTTGACATGCCGGAAATATAATAAAATAATCTCTTTCATTAACTGAATCAAACAAAATATCTTCTTGAACTCGACAACATCTATAATAATTTAATGTATCTGATAATAAACTTTCAGTTCGATCGTTATTCATTATGTTTATTATTAATAGATTCATTATACGATAATATAAATTATGCATGTAGAGAACATAGATAATAATTGTAGCACATGTTAGCAACGGTAAGAAAATAATTAGAAAATATTTTAGCTTTCGATAATATCCACGATGATTATAAATAGAAAGATTTGCAACCGAATAAATTGTATTAAAAATTACTATAATAATAAAAGCATTCGACCAAGTTTGAATGATGAAATGTGTACGTGTCAATAAACTTGTAACGGCGACAGTATACCAAAAGAAAATTCTCGTATATGTTAAAAATTTAATAGATGGTATATTTGACATTTTGAACAAAAAAAAAACGATTATCACAAAGTACGAACAGTTTGTTTCAATGAGATTCTAGAAAATCATAAAATATTTTATCTCTAGCAAATATTTACTAGTAAGAATAAATAGCTTACATAATACGTTTGTGCGTGGGATTTAATTGATGATTATCGTGATGGGTTTTTCCTAGGAAAAGTTGGTTATTAAGATCAAAAGAAAAACGAAAAACAGATGTGATCAAACTTACAGCTGAGAATATTGTTCAGCTTTTGGATCGAAAACAACAAGAGAAATAGTCGAACCTCGACCGATTGTATCTAAAAACAAAAGCAATATCAGCAATCAGTTAGTTTTTTAGTTAAATACTTTTTCTAAGCCATTATTTCACTCTAGTCAAAAGAATTATTTATACAAATGTGTCTTACAACAGTTATATTTAGTAACGAATTGAAGGAGTCACTCAGAACTCACAGTGTGTTAAACAAAGTGCGAAAGATGAAAATTCACTCTACTTTGCAAAATATTAAGTTTGCTTCAATTTACACATGGTAAAATACCATCTGAATATGTGTACAACAATACAATCGTGTGCTAATTAAAAAAAACGTGCTATTGAAGTTACCTATCTAATGCAACTATCAGAAATCCAATATAACAAGAATGTTATATAGCATTAATTGCATTCGACAGAAAACTCGTGAGAGATCATTTTCATTTATTGATTGAATATTTCTTTTAACTTATTAATAGATTCAATTACACTATGAACGGTACTGTTCTCTTGTTTTTATATTTAGTATATCAAAATTGACATGCAATATTTGTTTATGGTAGGAATGATTCGTATGCAAAACAGAAACAGAATTGTTAGTTGAATGTAAATAAAGAATGTGTGCCTATTTGAACTAGTCAAAGCAAAATACATAATCGCAAAATGTTTCTTTTTATGCCATAAATGTTCCTTTTTTTTGCAGCGATTGATGTCTCATGATTTCATAATCTATTCATATAAAAGTTAATTATAAATAACAATATGCATGGATTCATTTTGTTTGGCATCTGATTTAAATAATTTATGACATGTGTATTTTTTACGTTCTCTTCTCTCAGACTGAAATTCATCGAACAAGTCAATTTATTAAAAAAGAATATTTTTCTGTCAACAGTAAACTGATGACATACGGTTTTAGTCATTAATATTATAAATTTGTTTTACGTACCCACTATAAATATGTTAGGTACATCAGGTATCGTATCGATTGCAGATGGTGGTGTGCCAGGGTGTAACGCACGTTTTATTGGTCCATATGTTACTTCCCACGTGTCCAAATTACCGATTCTCTGTGGAATATATAATGGAAAACGACAGAAGCCGAGCGTTTTCTGAGTATTACCTATGAGATAAACGATAAGTAATCTCTAAGGAAATAGTATTTTTCGTACCATCCAATCGTTGATGAACAAGAACAAGAGCTTGAATACGAGTTGGTATAGATGAATGTCGAACTTGTTGAATTGATACAATTAATTTATCATTTGGTATGTCAATTTTAAGTTTCTGAGTGGTCGGCGATGAATTTTCTTGATTTTTTAAATGAATATTTTGAGAAGGTTAGAAAAAAACAAAAAGAATTTTTACATACGAGTTACAGGAACTGATTTTGTTGAAACAACTCCTAGAATTTCGCCATCGTCATGCACTTGGATTTCAACTATTAATGATTTATATTTAAATTCTTCTTGAGGATCTAGATTCTAAATAAATAAATAAATAAAATAAATAAAATAAAACAATATTTCATACTGGGACTATAATTAGATTTAATGAAATGTTTCTGATGCCAATGGTTTCTAAATATGTTTTATGTTTTTTTGAATCAGATTGATTAGTACTGATTGATTTCGATGGATAGAAACGTTGGTTCATAGCTGGAATACATTTTGGATCTTCGTTTCTAACCGCAAGATGAATAAAAGCTGCTTGAACATCCGACGTATACAAAAGACAAGGTTCGTCTAAAAGCATTTTTCTCATGTCATTGTAATCAGTTGCATACATCAGACGATCTCGTAATAAATAGAGTATTGCTTTGGCTGCATGTTTAATATAAACTGTATCCCATTTAATCATGAAAAATTGATCCCACAAATAAAGTACAGCATTCGAATTCAGTATACCAACAAACATCTGATGAAATAAAAGAGAAAAACTTATTCGGAGAATCATAAGATGTAAAGTTTAGAGACGAAGTCTTTTAGACTAACTGTAAATCGTCAAAGTTCCATTAATAGGTTTATGTAAAAGGTCTTTGCAAAAAAACAAGTTTTCTAACAGGAAAGTTCAACTGACGGAGAAAGCATTTTTGATGCTGTTGATTTCTTCAAGGTCGATCTTTAATGAACTAAACTGGTCCTATGAAACGCAACAAAAGCAATAATTTTGAGACCTATCGCAAAAAGGATTGTCATTCGTTTATAACAAGCTGCAAAGAGCTCGATGCACTAGAAATATTTTCTCTATCACAGTAATTTGAGTTTAGGAAAATCTGGACTTGACAGTCTTGATTGTCCCCAACCAAAATGCATCTATGGCTACTTAATAATACTCACTTGTCCTATCCATTTTCGAAGAAATAAAACTGGATTCGACATCGATTCATCGTTATATTGTAGTGCACTACTAGCTTCTTTACTTTCTAACGATATAATTTCTTTAGTAAAATCCTATAAGAAAAAAAATGAATCATTAGTAATTTATTTTCAATTAAAATCGTTACTTGGGTATTAATATTTCTGCGTATAGTTGATATTGCTTTTAAATGTTCATAAAAATTTTGATCACTTTTAGATAAATCCAACAAAATATCATTCGCAATGGTAAACACATTTGGCCATGTAGGAAAACAATGGCGAATAAATAAATTCAGATGCATAGCGATCACATAAATTGATTCATCTATATAAATGAATTTCAAGATAAAGCAATGATAAAAAACAACTACAACTAAAATACTTTTATTTTCATCATCGCCATAGGATAATTGACATGGTAACAGCCAATATATAAAATACGATTCATATTCTTTTTTATATGTATAAAGAACATTTAAAATTTTTATTGTAAGTCGTAAATGATGTTCTTCAAGATATGGATGTAGTGCAAGAGTTTTACTATATGTCTAAATTCGTAAACGATCATATCAGACGAAATCAAATTTTGTATTTTATTTTTCAATATTGAAAACGAACAGTAAGTCCGAAGATAGTTCGCCACTAGATTTGGTCAACTCTAACATTTTCCTGATACTATTCGAAGCGTAAAGGTAGATCCTAACACCTCTGTCTTTCGGAAATGCGAAGTTTTACCTGAGGAAGTATTTCCTGATAATTGCGTCTTGTAGACTTTTGAACCTGAACTAATGAAAGTACTTACTTCTATAACAGCGTTTTCAATTAAATTTGCTACTGGAGTATACGATGGATGTTTCAACTGAAGTTCATTTTTTCCTCGTGTTACACCTGCAGCAAAATCTCGTCGTGTTTGATATTCAACGAAATTCTGATAATACAAAAGGTTAAATAAATTTTTTCTTTTGCTGAATCCAAAGGTGAACTTACAAGATCATCATCAATAGGTTCCTTTTCAAATCGAAGTAAACATTCTGTCCAAATCAATTGTCTTAGTGCTCTCGGTAATTGTTGACCAAATACTTTTTCTTTCAGAATTACTACACGACGTAGATCACGTTTAAGTATTGCAATAATTGAACTCGATAGTGTATCACTATAGTGAAATGCTATTGATTTAGATGTTGAAATTAATTCTAACCAACAAAGAAAACAATAGCATTGATTTATGGCTCCTTCTCAGTTTTAAGAACAATAAACGAGGAAACATCGGATTCGCATTCGATTGCTATGTGTACTGCAAAAATTGAGTCGATTTATATATGTTTTGAATAGTTCTGAGAAAAAATCCCTGTAACCGCCCCCCCTCCTCGCCCTCATGGATGGTCGGGTCAATACTGACAATTTTTTCGGTAACTCCGCCATCTCTTGACGGATCCTTCTCATCTTCGAACTCGACTGAGATGTTGATGAGATCATTCTGGATACAAAATTTCAAGACAAATGGATGAGGCACTGACCGAATCTAGAGTGTACTCGCTTTTTGAGTACACAATAAAGATTTTGAGCTGGTCAGTAGAGAAAGTCTATCGTTAAATTCTAATTTTAATACTTTATTCGATTACAACTAACCATTGATCATCGGTAATTGTTTTGAATTAGCTTGTAAACCTCGAAGAATAGGTCGAAATTTTGAAGAACCAATTATTTCATTTTGATTTTTTACGTTATTTATTTCTTGCAATTTTTGTTGTTCTTGTTTCATAATTTCTCTTTGTTTTATTTCATTTAAGTAACATTCAAATGATTTACATACTATTTGATATGTATATTCAAGAAAATCTCTCATGCCATTTGATAATTGATCAATACTAAAACATCAAGTGAACGATACTATATCATTTTTTTTTCTGTATCAAATATTTACTCGTTATCTTCGGTTACAGCTAGACAAAATTGACAAGAAAAGGGATTATAAAATACACATAGAAAAAAAATGAAATATAAGCCGATATATACTTGCGCCTATTTCAACTGCTGCTTTGAAGGTTTCTATTTGTAACCATGATTTTGCTTCATTTTCAAGTTTACGTCGATGCTCTTCAGACATAAAAGGAGGAGTCTAGATCGACAAAAAAAAAAATGAGAGATCGATTTGCATGAATTGAAAATAAAATACTAACCAATAAGTGAGGCATATCAGGTTGAGACGAAAATAATTTCAATTGAAATTGAGTGCCAAGTAATTCAATAAGTATTTGACGACGTTGCTGATTGTCAAGTTGTTGACTTGCTCTATTCGCTAAAATTGGTTCGAGTTGCTCGAGAATCTAATGAATGTAAATTGTTATAAGAAAATATTGCAGACAATAAAGCGAACCTTTTGCCACGGACTATCCGGTAAACATGTTTGTTGATAACTGGAATCGAGCCAATAAATGTTAAATGGTAAATAGTTTGAATTGCTTATTATTTGGTTAGTCTCATTGTTAGTATGATTAATGTTCATCATGTCTGTTTTATTTATTTTTTATTTGAAATGGATGAAAAACAATATTTGTGAGCTATGTCAATATATTCATTCTCATGTATAACACTATTACTATGTGTTCGACATCGTGATAAGCAAACATCAAATGGTGTCGATAAATGCGAAAGAAGTAATTTTGTTTTTAAATCTCGAGAACGAATATAATTTTGAAGATGAATTCTCTAGATGAAAGAAAATTGTATCATCGATTGATTAGAGAATCTAGAGCGATACGCACATGATCAGCTTTAAGACAACAAGATGTACAATCTTCAAATGATGTACAACAATGTGAAATCAATGAACAACTATCACAGATATGTGGACCGCGAGTAGACGGAGACAGTATTTGACAGCAGCCGGTTGTCTTTTCTAAATGATGGCGTTCACACAGATAACCTAAATGTATTGTTAAGAGTGATTTAGAATGCAAGAGGAAAAAAGTCTATTTTTTTCTCGTTTCTCTAATGAATATTTCATGAATTTGTTTAGTGTTTGCCTTCTATTGGTAACTTTCTCAACCAACAACGTTTATTTCCGAGTCAATTTTGAAATTAACCGATACCGTTACTATCAGCAACCAACAATTGTTTGCCTTGAGCAAAATGTTGACATTTAGTTATATCTTTATTATCCAATAGAATAGCTTTTTCTAAGTCGTCTAGGTCTGTTTTCGGTGTTGGATGAATAAAATGATTGGTAGTTAAATTCTAAATAATTAAATTTCAAATCTATGCATATATCCTTAGATGAGTCCAAATCGATAATTGATTTTCATACATATTTTTGCCACCATTGCCAAGAATAAATTCCAATAGTTAAACATATCAAACAAACAATAACGAGAGCACTTTGATTGAAATGTATGCTCATTTAAATTCTTCTAAAGTTAAAACAGACATTATTGTTTCTTCTGAGATATTATATTGCATTGTTTAGTTTCAGTTTATTCATATAATGATGGTGATCATAAAAGAATAAATAGTTATATATATATACGTATATGTAATCGAACACAGTGAGAAGAAAAAGAATTGATTTTTGTTTTCTATCCACATAAACAAATGCGCCGAAAGAAAAAACAGAGACATTCATGGAATTACCAAAAAAGAAAAACAGAAAAACGAAAAGGATATGGAATGGTACAACGCTCACAAGATAAGACAAGGTTATAGGATTCAAAAGTCACCGGAAAACGACCATTTTCTATTAATCAAAGTAATTCGTCGACTATAGCATCATTAAAAGATAAATTCGCGTATGCATGTTGTTGTGAATCATGTCCGGCGTTATTTGAAGATTTCTTTTTTTGATTTCGTTTTCGTAACGATGATGACGATGTTAATTCTTCACTCGATGAATGTCCATCATTATTGATATGTTCAGAGTGAAAGTAACATTTATCATTTGTTGAATTTATTGTTTTAAATGTACTAAAATTAGTTGCTAAACCAGCTGAACCAACATCTCGACGTGTCGGTGAGATTGGCAATTGTTCTTTGGATGTCGAATCGGCAACGCGTTGTACTGGAATAGTAAAATCAATTAGCTGAGAATTAGACGATGAAGTTGAATGAGATGAAGTCGGCGATATAGCATTGACTTTATTTGATGCCATTGGTCGATGTTGTTTAGGTGTTAGCTTGGGTTTAAATGGTGCATTTGTAAAAACATCTTTAGATATTGATGATTGATTATTTGAATTCGTACTGGTATTATTAATACCAGGTGGATAAGACTCTGAATGTGGAATTTTTTGTTTTGAGACACAGAAACTATAGGCTGATGATGTGGAGTCAACAACTAGAAAATAAAAATAGAATTTATAATATGTTTACAATGAACTAGCGGAAAAAACACTTTTTAATAATTACCTATTCTTTTCTTTTTATAACGTAGAGTAACTTTTTTTCTCTCTTCCATGTCACGTTTGTCTCATATTTACGCATAACTAACATAAAATATTTCTCTCGCTACTCGTATTTCTAATAAATATATGTGCTTTTATATCATGCTATTCAACCAGGAAGCTTCAGTGATATAAAAGCCTTGTATTTTCAATCCAAATAAATCATAAATTTCTTCCTACTTGAGTTTTAGAAAGATGATGATTCATTCTCAATATTACTCGGTAGAACAAGAGAAAGAAAAAATGTTCGCGTTTTAGATAGAAGATTTTATGTAATATTTCGTATACTAATCATATTCATTTTCCATTGAAAGCTTATTTTCATTACGTCAAATTAAAAGAAGGAAAAAGAATTATATTAATTCTGTCAGGAAACTTGTGCGAATTTGTAGCTACGTAAATAGAATGAAAATATGATGACATTAGACTGACCGGATATTCGCTGTAATTTATTTGATCAGGGAAAAATGTAATTAGAGAAAATAGCTGAATATAGTAAATATTAACTAATCGTTTTCGGGATTAAAAAATCTGAATATAAAAGCTGTTAGCGCAGTCCGTGTGGGGTTAAAATGTGAAACACGATGAAACTCCTTTTCTGGAATCCGTGTACCCTGGTCAGTGATGGTCTGTGGAGCTTCTCTGTTACTGTCAGTATTATGATGTATGGAGTCTCTAGAAATTATCACAGACCGTTACAGAAAAAAAGAATTAATTAATTAATTAGCCAATTATCTAATTTCTCTGTCACGGCCTGTGGGCGAATGGGTCCAAGTGTCTACCCTATATACTTCTACACTCTTTTCAGATCATGTTTCATAAAAACGGCCTTTTGTTACGATTTGAAAATAAATATCAGATTATCGCTGAGCATGACTATGGCTAAGCGGGAGAAAAAAGCTGCATGTCAATGAAAAATTTCGCTTATGAAATGATTTAATAATATGTGATGTACGCCTACATCTTTAATCAAAATAGATGTGTCCCTATTGAGCTAATCAATTTATAGAACAGCTCTACTATTTAGACCCGCTTGTCATAAAAACAAACGACATGCTTTTCTGCATAGTAAATATCCTGAGGAAGGAAAACAATTGTCAGTCTTTTGTGTCATACCAAATTATAATCTATAGAAATTATATCTACCAAAGAACACAATTTGTGTAAACTGATTATTCCAATGATTCATACATTATGAATTTGACTACACCGACTAGTTTATCGTATGATATATTATTAGTCATTCAAGTGGATCTGACAAATTTTAGCATTGCTACTGAATAAGAAAAGAAGATGCTTTTAAAATTTACCACTGATCGTAGAATTTGGTTCTTGTCTATGATAAGGAGCAAATGCACTAAGTCTTGTTCCGGTAACAATACTAGTCGGATCAAATGAAATAACATTCGACGTTGTGATTGCATCAACCTTTGTAGACGAAGATGAGGATTGTGCGACTTGTTTATGTGTAGGTGAACGATGGGCATGATGAAAAGGTGCATGAAGAAATGGATTATCATTATCAATAAAAGAAGAGTTTGTTTGATTATTATGCTCATTTAAACTACGTTTTGTATCATTTGATGGGTTTGTTTTTGAGTTCGTTGAAAAGAGATTAAATAATTTTGTGGTTGGATCTAAATGAGAAGAACAAAAACAGACAATAAATAAAATCTAAGTGCATCTATCAGCATTTTTATGTAATAAATAAAAGCCAAGGGTGTAAGAATCAATAGTACAGTAAATAGTGGCAAAGATTTACTTATGTTTTTATTGATTCTTTTAAAACCAAGTTATTTTTTCTATAAAATTTCTTTATGAAATTCAACGAAAATCATTTGTTTGTGTTTGTAACTTACTAGAAGATTTTGCTGTTGAATAACTTGTTTCATTATCATCATCATCGGAATCTTCAAAATGTTCGTATTGTTGTTCTTTATGGCGTGATGTCATGAAACGGCTATTTGCAACATTAGTTTTACTGGTATTTGTTGATTGAATAGGCGCATCATCATCGTCAGAATCTTCATTGATCAATTGGTCGAATCCAACATTATTACCATCAGTATGATTAGCATCATGTTTTTCATTATGATTATTACCATCGGAATCGCTTCCTTTATCCGAATGGTCGCCCATTGGAATAGGATGTTCATTCGAAAGTGTAATCGAATCCTTACGTTTATAAGGTGTGGAAGCGGCGGTAGGGTCATCTTGTTGTTGTTGAAGAGAACAGCGTTCAATTAAACGTTTCACAAGATTTTTATTTGCTGTACTAGGAGACGAAGTACTTTTTTCAGTCTCCTCCGCTGATGGATGATGACTTGAACGGATGGGTGTTATTTGTACTTGAGATTTTTTCTTATTTTTCTGAAAGAAAAATAATATATATGTATATCTAATATATAAATTGAGAGATATAAAAGATGTATATACTTTAGTTGTTTTATCATGACTTTCGGTATCGTGTGACGATGATGATGATGTTGATTGTTCATCATCAGATTTTAATTGTGAATTGATGGTATATGTTTTAGCAAATAAACGATCGTCTTCATTTAAAATTAGACTTTCTCGTGATTTAACATTTTCTGTAGAATGATTATGAACTTTTAATTTATTTAAATTTGTTCCTAATGCATCATCATCGTCATCGTCAGATGCTTCACCAATAAAAAGTACTTGTTGTTGTTGCTGCTGCTGCTGCTGTTGTTCCTGTTTCGCTGATGAATCAACGGAAGATCGACGATCAAATGATAGATTAGATTCAATAGAGGAAGCATGCTGAAAAGATGACGAATTATTTGTTGGACTCATCGTTTGAGATGCACTCCTTCGATGTTGATGATGATGATTATTAGTAGTTGATGGTGTTGTTAATTGCGTATTACTTGACGAAATTGTAGTAGCAGGTGGAGGAGGAAATAATTGCTGTTGAAAAGCACAACCTGTTGCTGAAGATATTGATGCTGGCGGAGAGGGTCTTGCACGGGAAACATTTCGCTCAAGTGTTGTTGTACTTTTCGGTGTCGTAGACATGTTGGGAATACTATTTAAACTAAGAGCATGACTTGGAAATTGTGAGAAATCATCGTCAAACATCAATTGAGCAGCTGAACCTGATCGTTGATGAGATGGTCGCGAAGGAGTAGTCACAGATGGAGGAACCGGAACTGGAGGCGGCGGCGGCGGTGGAACAACAACATTGGCTGATCTTTGTGCTGATTGGTTAAAACTAATTAAAGAACCAGGCGGTGCTATCATACCCCGAGGACGTTCACGTGGGTTAACTGCTGTTCCAAGAGTAGATGTATCATCAGAAAGATTGCTTGCTGTAGATTTTGCACTGGCTGCAGCTATCAGTCGTTGATGACGAGATTCAATCTCTGTTAATGGCATTGGGACTGTGTGTAGATCGGGAATTTTTGATAGAAATCGATTTGAAATTGGACATTCCGTACCAAGTAATTTATACGTTATATATGAGACCTGAAATGCGAAAAAACGAAATCATATTTTTAAGTTAAAACTTATCCTCTGCTAAGTAAAAGAATTTTTACAATGAAAGAAAAAGGCATATCTTTCCGATGAACACAATACAAAAGGAATTCAAAATTATTTTACTGTAAATTTGAACTTTTCTTTTCATCTCAGGCATGATATTACAGAAAAACCCGTTATACGAGAGGATCAGCACATTGCACTCTTCGAAAGACGTTACAGGAAGCATTGTTGATATATTATCTTAGACAGTGCATGAATAATCTCTGGTTACAATATATCTCAACTACTTCCGTCTTGCATGTCTAGTGGGTTAAGTGAAAGAATGATGAGAAAAAAACTGCTCGGAAATAGAAAGAATCAAGCGACCTTCCTGTGCCGAACATGAGCAGCTAGCTCCTATTGTACGCTTTCATTGAAGAACGATTGACCTAACAACTTTTCGTTATTTTCATGATGATTTTCTGTGTTAAAATTTCTACTCAAATTATAGAAAACTCAATCTGTGTACTATTTTGTTCATACCTGCCAAATATCTGGTCGTTTGTTAGTATCTATTTCTAACATAAATCGAACGAATTTATATAAATCTCGAGTATAAATTTGTGACATATCATCTGGTATAACAAATGTTCCATTTTGTATTGCTAAAATACTATCCCCAAATGGCATTGTATTAAACATAAGTTTATATAAAAGACATCCCATTGCCCATATGTCAGCTTTTAATGTTATCGGTAAACGACTATATAGATCGATCATTTCCGGTGCACGATAACATAATGTCGTATAACGTTGAATTTCTTCTTCAAGATGTTGTATGGTAGTCGTTGTTAATTGATTCGATTGATACTGTTGATGATTATTTGTTGGTGAAGGTGGTAGCATGATAGCAGAACCAAAATCACATAGCACAAATGATTGATGAAAGTCAATAAGAATATTTTCCAATTTAATATCTCGATGTAATATAGGTTGAGGACGACGATAATGACATGCGCTTACAGCATTGCAAACATCAGCAAATATACGTAGAATTTGACGTTCATTCAATGGTATGCCATTACTACGTTGTTCATTAAGGCGAGTCTAAATTAGACATTGACATGTTCATAAAACGAAGGATTTTAATATCGAATAGGAGATTATTCACACAAAAAAGAAATTTAATAAAATGTAACTAACGTATAGAATTACTTGATTTCCTTGAATTTCATCGGTACACTTGACTTCAATGAGTAGAAAATATTCATATGCTCGTCAATGAAATTAAGATGCTAATTGTGCAAGTCAAGGAAATGAAATGATTCTGTAAAAGAATCATAGTGTACGCTGTTCGAGAAGAACACATATTTACACGGACTATTCACAATCAAGTCGATCCGATAATGCAATAGAATCTTTCTTTCGATGTTTATGGTTCAACTCATAAATCTTAATAATCTATTCATTAGATCATTTTCTTAGACAAACGAAAGTGTTTTGGTTAATAATAAAAATCCCGATAAAAAAAAAGATCTCAGTCTGATTGATATTTAAATAAATGGATCATTTTTTTTCCATTAAGTAATGATTCAGAGTATTAATATATGGAAACTGATTTAATATTCTTGTATCGCTAGTTAGGCATTCGCTTTTCCCTCTAGAGACAATATTAATGATTTTTAATCATGCGGAAAACAATTTTAATGGATCATCAAATTAATCAGATGAACTATTACGACATAGAATACAACAATAAATCAACGTTATTCGTATGGAAAACTAAATATTTCTCGCTATTTTTTTAAATAATTGTCTCGGGAAAAAAAAGATAGAGATAGTCCAAAGTTCCATAAACAATATATTAGACACCTTGTTTTGTTTTCCTCTTAAACTTTAGATTGATTTCTGTAATTTGAGAATACCCAAAGGAATTTCATGGTAACCAATTTCTTGTTGTTTTCTTCAACGAGTGCATGAACCTTATACAAACAAGTAATGAAATTCTGAGGTTGATTCCATACGTTGAAGTTTTCATTCGTCCCTTAGGAATTTCATAAAAGTTATATACCGAAGAATCAGAGCGAAACGAGCGTACTCTTCTCTTGTTGTTTAATATAGCTCGTAAAAACATAATGGCATAGAATTAAAAGTCTCATTCAATTGAAATAGAAGTGACTCAAAATCAATATAGTCGTCAACTACTTTTTTATATAACTTACAATTAATGATCCATTTGAACAATATTCTGTTAGCAACAGTATTTCATAAATAGCATCTTGTTCATTCTCATCGTCATCGTCATCATCGTCGTCATCATCATTTGTTAAATGTTTCCGTTGAATATTTGATTGCGATGGTGGCGATAAACGTTGTATAGATGAATCAATGTATTTAACAATATTTGTATGCAATGAAAATTCTTTTAATATAGATATTTCCCGTTGACATACAGTTAAATCTCGTTCATTATTAACATACATTCGTTTAAGCGCATAACGTTGTTGATTTGATGATCGAACAAGAAAGACAAATGCAAAACCACCTTGACCGAGTATATCTTCAACAATAACTTGATGTTGATTTATATTTAAAACTTTTCCTACATAAGATGTTATGTCAACATTTGTGTTCATAATTGATATTTGATTTAAATTGTTATTATTGTTAGTGTTTATTATTGGATGATTTGCTGACGATTGATTATAATTCGAACGAGTTGGCATAATGATTTTGTTGTACGTTGATTAAACAAAAAGAAAAAAGAATAATGAAAAATATTTTATTTATAATCAACGAGCGGGCAGTGCTTAAATGAGCACGCTCGCACGTTTTTTACATCTAGAATAAAAATGATAATTTGCTTGTCTATACATTATTAATATAGCAGAGAAAAAAGTAGGGAGAAAAGAAAAGATTTAATAACAATCAAAAAAAAAAGTAAGTAAGTTGAAAACGACTGTAAAATGTACTACACGATAATATTCATTCATAAGATGCTGTTCTTCCATCCGTTAACCCGTAGTTTGTCGGTGACCATCACTAATTTATTTTAATCAGTATTTACTTGATCAGCTATAATTGATTCTTCAACTAATTTACGAACTTTCGATTCGTATAAACGACGATTTTCTAGAAACAATTTTGCCGCTTCATTATTAGCTGGCGAGTTCGGATTTGGATCATTTAATAATGAACGAATAGACGTGAGCACAGCACATACATCATAAGTTGGACTCCAATTTCGTTGTAATATATCTAAGCATATGCTACCATCGGCATAAACTAAATAGGGAGAATAGGAAAATTTTCTTTTGTTTTTTAAAGAAAATAAATTCACCCACCATTTGGATGAAACATTTTACATGTAAATCGAACATTAGGCGGTGTCAACGGATAAGTATCTATAAAAAAAGGATTGTTAAAAACAAAACGAATGAAGTTTTTCATTGTAAAATACCCGAAAATTCTAGTCTCAATGTAAACAAACCATCTTCATAACACGTATCAGCTGGCCCATCAATCAAAGCATTCCACACCCGCATATCATTGCCAATTGGTGTAGCATTAATACCTGAAAAAATAAATATATACATACATATAATTAATAGCGATGTAATCATTTAATAAAATGAATTAGTAGGCCAACCTGGTAATTCTTCACTTCGAATTTTTTGTAAATCTTTATATAAACGTCTTTGACTGGTATTTGAATTTGACATAATTGCTCGTGTATAATTGATTAATTATTGCATCGCTTGTTTGCTGCTGCTTCGTTGTTTTGTATTTGTAAATTCGAAAATCTAGAAAGATCTCAATATATAAGAGGCATGTGTAGGCGAAAGAAAAGGAAAAATAGTCTTGCTACGAAGAAAAAAAAATGGCCGTTTAGTACTGCAACCAGCTGACAAATGTCATTAGATTGCTCATCAAAAATGAGATGAAATGATATAAAAGAGTTGAGAAAAAATAACAAAAATACATTTTCATTTTGATAAGAAACGCTTTCTTGAAAAAAAAAGAATAAAAAAATTGTTTATACACTCGAAGATAGAGCCCGCCACGTATCATGATAGAATTTGAATGGACCAAATGAAACAAGCAATCAAAGATTGGAATAACCAAATAAATAAATAAACAAGGAAAAATTCAATTGAATTTATAAGTGTAGAGCGCTATCTATAATTACTCTCTATTATCCAATTGGTTTCATGACTGCCATATTGTTTACAAGCGACCACAGTTGAAAACACGACATTCAAAAAAACATAGTAATAAACGAGTTATTCTAATTTATTTTTTGTGAATTTCAGATTTATTTAAGTCGATTCCTATTTAAATCAGACATGTTAGCACGCATCGTAAAACCAAGTGCAACAGCTGTTGTGAAACGTGCTCTTACTGCAAATAATGTTCGTATGATTGATTCTCGTCGATTTAAGAGTCATGGCGGTGAAGTACAACATGGTCATCATGGCGAAGTTGAACATCATGGTCATCATGATAATTACCAAACAATGTACGAACGTTTATGGCAACACAAAGCAACGCTCGATTGGTTACCAAAGCCAGAAGGCAATTGGGAAGAAATCAATGGGAAAACGCAAGCCTATTATAACAAAGTACTCGGCGGTGGCATTATTGCTTTCACTTTAGCAGTAATTTATTTCCGAGTCATCGTAATAGGTGACTCTGGTGCATTAACAAGTCCACCATATCATCTTATTGGAAAGGAAGACTTTCCTGGTTCAAAATATCAAGATGCAGTTGGAGAAACCAAAAAATAAAACTCTAGATATAATCCTCAAACGATACGAATGTACATTTTCGTTTCGTTTATCTTCTTTGATCATACCTATCCAGCCCGTTTGTCCTTTGATTACGTTTTTTTTGTTCTGTTTCTTTCTACATAAAACAACTAATACAAGAAGTAGTGATACATAACTTTCTCGTCCATGAAATAAAATGAAAATGAATTATTAAACGATTAATGACAGGAATGTTTTGTCATACTTAATATGAGTATTTGTGAAAAAGGAAGACAAAGTAAACATCATAGTGAGTCTCCTTTATGTCATTCTGTGTAATATCTTTCTTTGGAATTGTGCGAATGATTTGTTTTCTAAACGTTGAACTAAGCAAAACTTAATACATACTGTAAGATTTCCTCCTGACATTTAAAATGCTTTCATCCGCAAATATTTGTAGCTATATGTTTACTTCTATAGTCAATCGAAAGAAAGAACCATCCAATAGAACGCATGGGAATTGCTGTCGGATAAGATAATGTTGTAAATTACAAAAAAGTAAAAGCACTTTGTGAACATACTCCCTCTAGACCTACAGTACGAAAGTCACATTTAGTATTATATTCATGAAAAATATTCTGCGAGAAAATCTATAGGAGACTAAAATGGTTTTTCCATTTTATTCTCGAATAAATAGGTTGAAAATATTCGTGGTATCTACCGAGTCGCTTAATACATTATCGTGCATCTAGTTGTAGTTTACGGATTTTGTATATGGACTAAATAATACTTTTGGTAAGTAAGACTATTGCTGCTAATCATTATTGAATATCAAATTTTATCTATGCACGAATGCAAAAAAATTTGTTCAGCGATGGAAAGGTAAGAATTGAAAATTTGACGTCTATTATTTACTACGAAAACGCATGTAATGGCATTGCTCTTCCAATTGCGACGGAAGGCATAGACTAAAGAGAATCATGGCATCGGAATAGAACCTATTTTCGCCATCATTATTAGCTCGAAAACATTCGAGACAGTGGAATTACACTTACGACGGTAGGTCACCAAGTGTTCAATCGCTTTCAAGTCACAACTATGTGTGTCATGTAGACCCCAGTGAGGTATGAAAAACTCCAAAAGGATAAGAGCGGATAGGCCTTCTGTCCAGAGTTATAGTCATTTTACTGAAATTTTAGCCTCTGACATAGTATATATATCAACAAATCGAATGTCAGTATTTTGACCTGAAATTTTGCCCATTGACAGATCTCTTTGTGAATAGAATGCTCTGAAATTTTCAGCTCAAAAGAATGTTTCGTTTCCGAAATATTAAAGTCTCAAAAATCAGAACATTTTAGTATCTGCCGTGAAATATGAGTGCTTTTTGAACTTTAATATCTCGGAAACGAAACATTCTTTTGAGCTGAAAATTTCAGAGCATTCTATTCACAAAGAGATCTGTCAATGGGTAAAATTTCAGGCCAAAATACTGACATTCGATTTGTTGATATATATACTATGTCAGAGGCTAAAATTTCAGTAAAATGACTATAACTCTGGACAGAACGCCTATCCGCTCTTATCCTTTTGGAGTTTTTCATACCTCACTGGGATCTACATGACACACATAGTTCTGGCTTGAAAGCGATTGAACACTTGGTGACCTTCCCTCGTTAGCAATATAATTGGGAGAGATTTATTGAATTAATATGATAGAATTCTTCTATAAATGATCGTAAGTTGTAACAGATGAATATCATGGTGAAGCCTTACTGTTAAAACGTAATGAGGCAATATTTCACGTTGAAAATCAGTATTTTCTCCCTTAATCTATGTAAATGTTGGTAAGTCACTCGTTCATTGTGTTTACACAATTGTTTGTTTGAACATCTTTAATTCCTTTCGTTGTTATCGAAAATGTGTATCGTAATGAACTTCTCATCATCAACGCAGGATGTTATTCAAAAAATGCTTTCAATCTTATCCTCATCATTTTTTGTTAAATACTCAATCGCAATATAAATTCTTGTCAGATCACCATATGTTTTCCTAAGGATCTCTGAGTTATGACGTTTTCGATAATGACTAGAACATGTTTAAAAAAAGCTTGTTGACGCCCACACGCTTTGCTATTTCGATAGAAAATGTTATTTGTAAACTACTTTGTTTTTGTGTAACAGCAGTGTTACCATAAAACATATTACAATGAAATTACATATAATTTAATACAAAAACGAAAATACACTGAACGAATGAAAGCGCTAAACCATTTGTAAGGTACCATTGGAACTTGAATTGACGAAGGGATTCCAGTAAGACTAGAAAAGTGTCGTTCTTCTAGAAAAACGAATGAATGTTTTGTTGAATATTCCATTACTTTTCGCTCATTGATTGTTAATATGGTATTTTGCAAGGGGAAAACGGTGGGTTGCGGATTTTCGGATTGTTCATGGATTGGCAATCTCGAAAATCCGCCATTTCGTCCTTGGAAATCTGAGCATTTTTTGCAATCGCATTATCTTCAGAAGAAAACATCCGTTTGAGCAGAAACTTTAAGGATATTCTAAGAACCACGAAACCTACATATGATAAAAATTTCAGCTCAAAATGCCTTCATTTACAAGAGGAGACTGCTGGTAAATTTGTGATTTTTTTCGGATTGCTCATGGATTGGCAATCCCGAAAATCCGCCGTTTCCCCCTTGGTATTTTGCTTATCAAAATTTAAACACATAAAGCTTTTCTCTTCGTCAAGAAATTACATTTTCAAGTCAACTTTAATTTTGTCTCATTGTTATGATAGATGAAGGAAAACCATTACATTTCATAGTGAATTTAAAAATATACTAATTATTGTAGATGGTATCTATTGAAAATGTCGAAAGCGAGATATCGAAAAAAAGATGTCCAGCAGATATAACGTCGAAAATTGTGAAATATCTTCATACGATATTAATGATTTTTTTAAATTTAATTTTCGATTTTTCATTAGACCTTCGATGATTATCCAATACTTTCCTCAATAAGTAATTCTGTGAGCCAAAGTTCTAGAACGTAGCACAGATCAGAACTACCAAGGAACAAAGAACACAATCGCAGCATTTTTACATGGCCTTCTACACATTTTGCTTGCATTTAGATATTGCAGTACACATTTTCGCAGTTTCATCACTTAGTTCTTTCGCCTGTGTAATGCCCACCAATACAAGTTCTATATCTTTTCTTGGTTCCAACAAAGGTTATTCACAAATTCAATAAACAAACATCTTCGCAGATATATTGGATCTGTAAAACTAAGAATTGCAAAGTCAAAGTTCATGCTAATTCAAATAATAATTTTTTTAACTTGAAAAGTCAATGTAATCATCTATTTGAACCAAAAGGTCTTGAAGTCCAATGCTTTCGAAATATTCTCAAGGGTCGCCTTTCTTCGACATTTATTTTTCGACGTTTTCACACCCATTCACAATATCCGCTATGGCAAAGGCATTATCTAATCACTGGTTAAATTTCCCTAAATATACTTAGTCATTTATTTTCTTGTCTCGATTATCGTTCACTCACGCGACAAGTTTTACTTCAATTATATTTGATATACATCACACTTACCGATAAAAGGCTCCCGGAAGAGATATTACTGAAAATTTTGTTCGAATATGTTGAAACGTTTTTGTTGTTGTAAGCATGCGTATTGTTTCCAATGAATGTATAATATATATCTATCTATTCGAATCATTCCAGGTAACGTTTATTGGCCATGCCACCCGAGATCAATCGATAGCGCAGAACGAGAGTGTGGGGTCTTCTCGTCCCATTCACATTGATAAAGCACAGAAAATGGTTGAGCAGAAACAAGAACAACAAATCTGTTCAGTTGAAACAACAAAAATCAACTCAACTAGAACATGGAAAAAACAGTTAAGCTGAAGAAGAAAAATTCCAGTAGAACAATGAACATAACACGTTAAATATAGGTGTTCGATTGAATATATCATCATTAAATGTCACCATCTAACGTCATCAAAGCGTACAGTCCAAGCAGACGAACTTTTGGAGAAGCGCGTTTAAACTCTCAATCGCGAACCGCGACTGTAAGTCAGTAACGAAACGCAAGAAACGCGTTTTTTACTCAGAATTCTCACTTGCAGAGCGTCAAAACTTCAATTCTGAGAGTTTAAACGCTGAGGATTGGAGTTTTGACGCTCTGCAAGTGAGAATTCTGCGTAAAAAACGCGTTCCTTACGTTTCGTTACTGACTCATAATCGCGGTTCCCGATTGAGTGTCTAAGCGCGTTCCCCCAAAAATTTGTCTGGTTGCGAGCTGTCGAGCATAACAGCTCCTTTTTGCTTTTATTTCGGCATATTGATCATTGCAAGTGTATTTGACTACTCGCATACTATCCATAAGAAATGGCAATCTCATTATTTCGAGGGTCAAATCTTCCTTCTAAAATAAAAACAGTTGTTTAAAACTTTTCACGATGAGAAGAATATACCCAGCTTACATTTTGACCCGATATCGCCATTTGTTAGGAAGCTAAAGAATGAATTTGAGTTCAAGAAAAAGACGAAGAGTGAACACTGAATTAGTCGTCAATATCGGCTATTTATAGAATGGATGTTTTTGTTAATCGAAACAAAGGTGGCCAACGACTAACAAACACGAATAGAGCGCTCATGAAAAGAATATCAAGGAAACGAAATTCAATTGTTTTATATCTTCAAGCAGTTTTTTTTTGTTAAAAATATATTAAACATTGAGAGCTGTTCAAACGCTGTAATTGAGAATAAAAAGTAAAAACGAAAATCCATTTGAAAGCACTGTGACGAAACCTGTCCTTTAAGCAATCAATTCATTCAGCAAAAAAAAATAAAATAAAGTCTTTTTTAATCAAGCCTCTAGATAGATTATTGCCGGACATATCGAATAATCGATTGTTTTACATTCGCAAGTTTACTATCGAAATCCAATAGCAGTGTTTCCGAACATGCGAAGCACGAGTTAGTTATTCAACTCTTTGTAAGGAGCTTCAGATCAAATCGTTCGAGTACGATCATGCGTTCACAGTCAGAGCGTCTCTTAACCAAGAAAAGCAAATCACATAATGTTGTCCTAAAATCGTTTAGGTCCATCAAGACTGTCGCACTTATTTCTCGATTACATCCAACATACACTTCTATTGACTTTAAATATAATTATCTCTTATTATTATTATTATTTTTTTATTACTGTTAAAATCAATTTCAAGATTTGACTTTGTGAACGAAAAAGACTCGATTAGCGCCCCAATCGCACTAATCACATCATACGAGCTTTTCTTTCTGTCACTTTTACGATGCGTAGCTCTACGGACTAGTGACTACGTATAAGCGTTCTACTTTCGCATCATGATAACTACATGGATTCGTTCGTATTTTGCTTTTAATAAGAAAATTATTCACGCACGAACTTGATTTCACCTATTTAAAAGCTAATCAAATAGTCACTTGGATTTCTATGTGACTACAGTCGCTGTACAGTAGATACAATGAAATAAACTATATTACATAAAATACAATCACTGCTATAATATTTTGATAAAGAATATCACTACTGAGTCAAACAAATGAACTGTTCTATACCTACCAATATACAATCATTAATGTAGTTTTCTTCGTATTCACTTTCTTCTGAAACTGATTTTCATGTTACACATCGTCAACTGATATTCAGGTCTTTTTTTAAATAAATGAGTGTCAAACGTAGGATGTACGCGAAAAGACTTTAAAAAATATAGTAATTTTCTATTAAGTTTTATTTAAATCCAACATAACTTGTACTTCTATTTAGAACACCAGCTTAAGTGCTGACATGGACAAATCACACTGGAAAGTAGAACACACAGCGAGATTTTGAATACACATACTACAGATTATACATTTAGTTAGCATAATAGCACAGTAATATAAAAAGAGAGGAAAATATATAGAATGTCTATTGACGAGCTGATGGTCCAACGCCACCAGTGCCACGTCCAGCTGGTCCTCCTCTTGCACCGCTACCGCCGCCACTGCCGCCACCACCAATTCCACCTCGGGTTGACCATGGTCGGCGAGTGCCCGAAACTGAAAGCAATCAATTAAAATAGTTTGAACACTTTGCATAATCGACTTACTAGTAATAAAAGGACGTGTTCGACCCGTAGTACCACGAGCTATTTGAGCTGATCCACCAGCACCAAGCGTTGTAATTGATTGCACATCGTAAACTATTGGTAAAATATCACGTCGCTGATCAGCTGTTTGCTCAGCAGTAGTTATATTAGTTGATTCGGTTATTGTTGTTGTTCCAGCCGTTGTATCAGCATTGGTAACAACATTTATTAATGGTGCACCTGCATTATTCGATGAAACTCCACCATCTACTGTTTAGAACAAAATAGGATAAAAATTTTCAACGAAGCAAAAACAAGCACATCAACTTACATTGGCCCGTCGAGGTTGTTTCTTCCATAGATGTATTCATTGCGTCATTCTCAGCAGATATCTAAATAAGATTTTCGTTTTGGTTTAATAATCAAACACGAAATTTTATATTATACCATTATTGTATCTGTTCGTGTCGTACTCATGACATCTAAGAGAGAAAGTTTATTTTTGCTGTTTGAGTATTACTCATTAGAATACTCACTTGTTTCAATAATTTCTTGTTGCTCCTTAAATATATATATAGATTATAGAAAGTCGAAATTTATGTTTAAAACAAAGATTTACTTGAATGGGAATCGAGTGTTGTTGTTGTTGTTGTTCTCGTACTTGCGGTTCAACATGAGCAATCAATGGAGAAGTCTATAGAAATTTACAAGATTGAAACGACACTGTTCTTATTCAATCAATAATAGTGGAAAAAAATCAAACACCATTCCAATCAAGAGAGAGAGTATCAGTCATTTATGGACTCTGATGAAAGTCAGACAAAAATGAAAAACCTTCAAATTCGATATTGAATTGAGATATTCTTGTCTTAAACCTATTTGTGGACAGCATATGATATTCAAAAGAAGATTTACACAACTGAAATGATCTATAGAGAAAACTATCTTCGGATATATTCGTATATAGTTCGCTAATGTTTTTTTAAAAGAATTCTAACGTTTTTCTTACATTATTGTTCTCATGTCTAGTGATTAGTCGTTGATGCTATTATTTAGAATTTATTCTATTTATAGAATTAACATAGAAATCGATATTTACTTCGGTTTCTGGTTTCGATCGTTTAAGTGTAGATTCGGTTGGCCTAAAATAGACGTTTAAATAATTATTCTAGTTGAAAATTGTGATTTATAATTACTTATGATCATTATCATCAGGTCTTGTACGTTTCATTAATAGATTAACACCAGCTGCTGTTGTTAATTGAGTTGTTGTTGGATGTTCAACTGGAGTTGTTACTTCTATTTCAATTAGATAAAAAAAGAAAATAATTCGATTGAAAAATAATTTTCTTTAACATACGTGTAGTAGTTGTTTCTGTTGTAGTTGTACCCGTCCAAAGCGACGCACTTGTAGTTGTTGATGTAGCTGATGCTGTCATTGGTATTGCTACACCAATTTGACGACCACTGGATGGAGCCATTGGAGCAACACGAGAAATAACTGGTTCTCTAGTTAACAAAAAATATTTCATTAGAAATAAACATAACAAAACGGCAGGAAGAAAAACGAACTGTGTCATCGGAGAAGCAAATGCTTGAGGTCGAGCTGCTTTCGATGAAACATCTTCTGACTGTTTGCTTGTTGATATAGTAATTGTGCTCATTATTGTTGAGGACTAAAAAAGAAAAATTTACTTGAAAGAAAAGTTTCCTATGAAAATTTCATACTTTATTTGGTGCCGTTAATTCGTCGATTTTTTTTCGTAAACGTACTATTTCTGCCATATGTTCATTAGAATCAATATTATCAAATAATTGTATAATATGTTTAAGATCATTGATTTCAGTTTCATAAGCTTGCCGAATATTATCAACCATTGAGTGAATCTCTAGAAAAATAAAAACGAATATTCTTTTTTTTATAGAAAATTTCAAACTAATATTCAAACCATTGAGATCATTTGATATACGGGCTTGTTTTGCACGTGTTAATTCCGTGGTCATTTGAGACATGCGTTTTTGTTGAGATGTTATTGTCGTACGTGCCATGACAAGAGCATCACGAAGTTTATTCATTTTTTCAGATAATTCAGCTGATAATGAACGATTCTGAATTAAATTTAACGTGTTTTAAGTTAGAAAACAAAAGAGCGATGTTTGTTTTTTGAACAATACTTTATTGACTTCTGGTGCAACTTCAGTTGTAGGTGGAACCTCTGTTGTGCCTGCGCTCATCAGTTCATCGGCATCGGTTGCGGGCGTTGTTGTCGTTGTGGCAGGAGCCGATGGGTTTGTTGCAGCTGCAGCTACAGCACTTGATCGATATTTAATCGCAATATTTCTTAACTAATAGAAGAAAAGAGATATGAAAGTTTGATGAAGTTGTTTTCATTGAGAAACAAACTTTAGCATTGTTTTGTTTCAATGCTTGATTGTCGAATTCAATTTGTTTTAAACTTCCTTTGAGATCATCGATTTCAGCTCCTTGCCGTTCTCTTTAAATTAAAAAAGAAAAGACAACGATTCTAGATATTTCAATAATACAATAAAGAATGTTTTAGACGATGGATGATATCGAAGGGGATGCAACAAAACGCTCGTATTCCGAAAGTCCAGCGGGAGTAAAGCCGAAAAGTACTATTTTGGTTTTACGTAGGGAAATTGATTCTCCACTTCGAAAAGAACGTTTACTTCATATATCCTATCGTTTTTTAACTGTAATAAAAGCGAATCTTTTAACGTACAATTCCGCTGTTTTGAGAGTTAATTTGTTTTGGTTTGCAGATGCTTGTTCTTCGGATTCTTTAATTTGATTATTTAACAGTTGTTTTTCTTGATTGAGCTGTTCAATAGTTGTTTGAAATAGTTGATTTTTTTGTTGAATATTTTCTTTTTCTTGTTCGCATAAATTGCATTTCTCTTGTAGATCACTTATTTGCTGTTGATCATTGTCAAAGCGTTCTTGTAACGTTTGTAATGATTGATTTTTTAATTTAAGTTCGTCGATCATCTGTTGATCATTTATATATGATTGTTCTAATTTATTACTACGTTCAGTTAAATGGCTAATTTCCAATCGAATACGTTCGAGATCATCGGTTAAACGAGTATTTTCAACACGAAGATAGCTAGAAAAAAAGAGAACTCGATGATCTTCAGACTTCCGATTTTTTCAATTGTTTTTACTTGTTCATTGACAGTATTGTATTCCATGTTTCATTCACTGTCGAATCAGTTGTTGAGGCATTGGCTTCACTTTCTTTGGCAGCTAAATGTGTTGATAACTGAAATAAAAAGGAAACGATTGGTTAGATTAGTTTGGTCGTTGTTGTATTGTTATACTTTAATCATTAGAGAATGCTGTTCAGTATGTTTTTGTTCGAGTTCAGCAAAGCGTTGCTCGAGTTGTTGAGTTATGTCTTGTTGAACTTTTAGCATGTCATCCTTTTGCATGATGGTTGTTTCATACTGTTGAATTTGTTCGAGAAATCGTTCATTGTCAGTTTGTAACGACATCATTGTTTGTGAAAGTTCATTATGTTGTCTTTCTAATTCACTATAGTTTGCTTGTTGCTGTTCAATGGTTGATGTCAACTGAAAATGATTTCATTGATTTTATTTATTTGAAGAAAAAAAATGAGAAAATTACCTGAATAATGTTTTCTTTTAATTGTTCATTTTCATCGCGTGCTACTTCGATATTTTGTATTTGTTGTAGAAGTTCATTTTTTTCGTTGCCTATCTGTTCATTGCGTTCATTTGATTGTAACAACTAGAATGAAGTTTACGCTGAATTTATCCGTAGGCAGAGGACTGATATTCTTACTTCAGCTTGATGTTGCTCATTTATTGTTTGAATGCGTTCGTTTAATGAACGAATATTTTCTTCATTTTGAGTAACAATGGATTGATGATTAACAATATCTAAATATGATTTCAAAATGTTCAATTATGAACATGCTAGAAATAGCTTTTGCTAATTTATCGAAAGGATGCGACAAGTGGGTGTAACTTCACTGCGTGGACCCAACGAAATACCGAGAGAATTCAAAATTTCTATCTGCATCAAACAGGTGTTAACAAGCGAGTGAATACACCGAGTTATGGCTGAGAGCTCGGTTATTCAAATAATCGCCGTGCGAGCTTTTCGTGTTTTCTTAAACATTTCTTATGTCAAATCATCGAAAACTCCTAATTCTTTACCTTGTTTAAGTCGTTCGATTTCGTTTTCATAATTATTCGATTTTTCTACAAACTCCTAAAGAATAAATTCTTCACAATACAAAAAAGAACCAGAAATCTCCAATCGAATCATACTTGTTTGACTTTTTCAAGTTCATCGATTGCCTTTTGTCCGTTAGCATTCAATTGATTGACATTATCAGCACTGGACTGAATTAATGTTTGTTTTACTAGAAGAGAAGTTTTTTAAAAGAATCAAAATGAAATGTTTTTTTTTTGCTATTCCTACATTCTAATTCATTATTAGCTGCATCAAGTTTAACTCTAAGCATTTTCAATTCTTTTTCATAATCACCCAGTTGTTGTTCAAAATCTATTCAAAAACGAGAATTCACTCGACAAAAAACAAAATCTTCTTTTTTTTAAACAAACCAGTCTTTTGATATGTATTCGAATTTAGTTTTGTTTCTATATCGCTAAGCTAAAAACAATGAGAACAGTTAAAATATTTTAATTAAACGATAATTTTTTTACCTGTTTTTGTACTTGCTCAGCTTTTTCTTTTTCTGCAGCAAATTTCGTTCGTGTTTCTGCATGATTTGATTTTTCTTGTTGTAAGTTTTGTATTACTTCATCTAATCGCGATTGATATGTACGCTCGACTAGTTCTTTTTCATGTTCATTTTGACGAAGTCTTTCGTTTAATTCGTCATTTTGTTTTGTAAGATCATTTATTTTAGCTTGAAACATAGCTTTAGTTCTTTCTTTTGTAAATTCAGCTAAATTCTATTGGAAGGAAAATTTAAATTCAATTATAATTTCTTAGAAAAAAAACTATTGTTTTGCATCTATTCTTACTTGAAGTTTTTCAATAACCGGCTGAATTTGTTCATTTTTGACGATTTCACTTTTTAATAACATGCATTCATTTTCAATTTGTTCCTGTTTTATTGAATCAAATTTACGTTCGTTTTCCAATGTGTTTAAACGGCATTCTAATGAAGATTTTTCGTCTTTCAATTGGCGTAATTCCTAGGGCAATATCAATTGTTTTAATTTAGAGATTCAAGAAAACACAATAATATGTACTAAACTAGGACTAAGTGAATATAATATCCGATTTCGATTACTTTCCATGAAATTCATTTTCATAGAAAACAAATTTCAACGAAGATAATTAATATCTGATGCTATTTTTCAAAGACGAGGGCTATCTTCAGATACGAAACATCACGAATAGAAGTGTCAGGGTTCCCAGGAGCGGACACTCTTAAATCTTAATCGCCAAGGAAATCTGGTGAAAACTGTTCAATGAGTATTTCTGTCAAGTTTGAAACTAATCACGCGAGAAAATTGGCTATCATATAGTCTCGTGGCATGATTTTGGGTTATGCGTCCAGTAACATACGGACCAATTTCATTTGTCGAAGTCGAATTACGATTGCTGTAGAGAATTCCCCTCCATAGTAACTATTCGCCAAAAAATCAAATAATAGAAAAGCTTCCTCTTAGACAGCATCTTTCAGAATCTTCTTTGCCAAGGACTTTTCTTCGGTTTGGCCTTTGATCTAAAACTAAGTAAACTGAATCTGAGCAAGTATTATCTATAGAATACGACAGTGAAAATCCGAGCGCCCTTTGCACTACATATTGAAACGCTTTTGAATATTACTGTTAAAACACTGAAATATTGTTGTTCTTGTTTATTTCTAATTTGAGCCAACATGGTATGTCTTTCTTGCCAACCGTTAATTTCCGTTCTCAAAGAAGCAATTGTTAATCTATTTGTGGCTTGTTCATCATTGATTAGACTTAGCTAAAACACAATGATAAAATTTATCTACGAACGACAATAAATAATTGCAAAATACTTTTTCATTTGTTTGTTCAACTTCAGTTCGTGCTGTTAAAAGTTCATATTGAATCGAACGCACTTTTTCATTTGATGTTCTACGAAAAACAATTATCTTTTTAATTAAAATTTAAATGCAGATTATTCTAACCTGATAAGATCATCTTTTTCATTAGCTAATTGTGTATTTTTCTTTGTTAGAGCATCGATTTTTTCTTGTAAACGATTCACTTGATCTCGTAGATTTTCTACTTGATGACAATCAACTATTGGGTTCGTTGATGAAGTCTAAAAGAGAATGAATGATTTATCGAAAAATAAGAAATTTCAATATACAGATTGTGATGATGATGAACGAGAAACTAATAAACGGAGAAAATCTCGTTCTTGAATTAGTGATGCCGTCTAAGAAAAAACAAGAAGAAAAAAACATTTTCTTTTGTGAAATTTAATGCAAACTTGTGTTTCTAATGAATCGAACTGATTTTTTGTTTCTTTTAATTTTTGTTGTTGTTGTTGATGTTCTTTTTTGAGTTCATCAAATCTTGTTCGATTTAGATCCTCATCGTCATTATTGTGTTGTGCACGCATTTCACGCACAAGTTTATCTAATTTTTGATTTACATGTTGAAGTTCAGCCACATTTCTAATTAAAGATAAAAATTAAATTAAAGAAAGCTCGATACGAAAAACAAAACTGAACTATTCACCTAAATGTTAATGGTACTTCCTGATTTGGATCATATTCGGCAGACGTTTCACGTTCTGATGGACGATTTCCAGTACGTAATTCTTCGATTTCAGCAAGAAGTACTTGAATCTATTGATTATAAAGAAATGTATCAACCGAAGTTACTCTAGCAACAGTTTCGAAAATCTAAAGCGACTCCTCGTCTCCGGTGGTTAGTGTAGAAAAGAATACTCGCGTTCAATGAAAGAAAATCATTACTAGCGGGTAAAAAGCCTAGAGTAGATCTCACCTGTCGGAAATCTAGTAGAAAAACGTTTTTGGAAATCTCTCGCACGATTATAGTGAACTCGTACGGATTAAATTCAAGAAATCGAGATTTCTCTAACCTTTGTAGCCAATGATTTATTATCATTAATTAAGAATTGATTTTCGCGTTGTATATATCGATAATTTTCAATGCTTTCACCTGATAAATGTTGTAATTCGGACAATTCCTTAATGAAAAAAAGACAAACAATAACGACAATTAGTTATCTTCTTTTATCGTACTTTTCTAGCTTCGTTTAATTCACTGGTTAATTTAGCAATGACTTCAAATGATGCTTCATAATCTTGTTTTTGTCTTCGAAGTATTGGCGCTGCTTCTTTAATCATCTAAATAAGAATTTCAATTAAATTTTTCAATTAAATTTTCACTCTATTTACAGATGAAAGTTGTTCATAACCAAAACGAAAACGTTCTTTGCCTGTTAGTTCCAATACAAGTGCACTTTTCAATTGACGACATTCCGAACAATTCTAATAGAATAAAAGAAAGTACACATCTTCATCCTTGGTCCCTATTACCGTTGTTGACGTTGGAGTTAGTGTTGAATCACTGGAACGAATATGACTTAGTGTTCCATCAAGAAAATTTGTCAATTGAGTTAGATCAGCACCTAAAAATATAAATTTTCTGTTAGCTTTATCTCTGAACCTATTAGAGATGAACGTTTATAAGTAGATTAGAAAATATGTTTTATTGTAAAACGGACTTTTTGCAGAATAATTGCAACTTATGAGACAGAGAGAAGACAGGACAGTATTTTTTAAAGACTGAGATCGAGATTATAGTTGTCCAGAGGTTACTTGATCCTATTCTCTGAAACTACTTACCTTTACTACGAATGGATTCGAGTAATTGTGTTGTATTATCTAGTTCATCTTGTAATCGACGGATTGTTTGTTCTAAATAAATGAAAGTAAATCTTCTTTCAAATCAGTACTCAACCAAATAGAAGTTTTTTTTTGTGTACTCAAAAAGTGAGTACACTCTAGAATCGGTCAGTGTGCCCGTCCGTCCGTTTACACGATAACTTTCGAAAGGAGAGTTAGATCATGATGAAATTTTCTACACAGTTCAACCTTATCAATGTCTCAGTCGAGTTCGAAGATGAGAAGGATCCGTCAAGAAATGGTTGAGTTATCGAAAAAATTGTCATTATTGACAAGGCCATCCCTGAGGAGGAGTACAGGAATTTTTCAAAAAAACTTTTTTTCCTCAGAATTATCCACAACATATATAAATCGACTCAGTTTTTAACGCTGATTTTGAATCGGATATTAGTTTTGAAAAAAATCGTAGTTTTTTAACGAAACATTGACTGAAAAAGGTCTCAAAATACACAAAAACTGCATCTAGAAACCAAATTGCCTAGATATGTTTCAGATGACCAGCAGTTTGGGAGTTTCTCAAATGCCTAGTTTTGTAGCTAGTCAAAAAGACTATAGAAAGGTAAAAAGCCGAACTCGATAGCTATTACTATTGATGATTGATTATGAAAATACTGATGCCTGTACCTATCATATATCTCTTATAAATTCATGAGGTTGCTTACGATCGTAATCCTGCTAGATACAAACACAAAAACATTCAAAAATAACTGTTCTTATCCAGTTTTCGAAGCTGAACACGAATCTGAGCTCACTTTCTGTGATCTCTAAAGATATTATATCACGCTGAGAGTAGAGTCAGTGATCAGTGGATAGAGTTGCATACAGTGTGGTCCATGCTAACGTAGCATGCCTGTATTTTCTCCTTGTAATTTAGTGAGAAGGGGTGTATCTTGATGAGATCTATGCCTTATAGAAAAAAATGGATGTACATTTTCGCTTTTTGAAGTACACATAACAATCGGATGCAAATCCGATGTTTCCGCATTTATTAATGATAGGCTTGATCGTCCTTCAGATAAGCAAAAATATCTTGCTATCTTGAAAAAATTTTAATTTTACAGATGCCAATCGGAGCAATAAAAATACATATATATATATATATATATATAGAAAAAATATAGTAAAAATTATTTTAATCAAGAAAAACTATTCAATCAATATTCTCGTCCATGTAGGAGTACTTTTAATATTCTAACGTGATTGACTAATTACACATATTATAGATCTATCCGAACATTAACACTTATAGAAATTAATAATCAAAATTAATGTGAAAACATTATAAAATAATGATACAAAAAATTGCTTTTTGTCAAATAGACTATTAATATTATTGGGAGGCACAATGTACAGAGGCGAGGCCGCCTGTTTATATCTAATACGAAATATTCAATTTTAAAAGTCAGCTTTTTCAAGTTTATTGACCATATTTGATATTAAAAATGAAATTTTCCCAGTGATGAATTAGTAATTGAAAATAAAAATTCAGTCATTTTCTGCTTAATGATATTCAGAGAAGTAACATAGTGTGATAGAAAAGATGTAATAGTAAATATTTATTAGTAGTTGATATTTTGAAGAGATTGACGATCGTAAAAATAGAATTTATTTTTCAATTTCTAAACACTCGATTGATTTTACTTTCACATTGCAGAATTCAATTCGTAAGATAAATATTTGCTAATAAACTAACTACGAATTAAGATATGTGTTGTGATATTAACACATTCATAGTTTTTGTTTTGCAATGAATCAAACCACAACAGCAAAAAATCGGATTCTTTCCTGTGTTCTTTTATGATTTAGTCAAAAAATGGTAAGTCAAGGTAAATGAACGATGTCCACCGCTGATAACATCAATCGCCATTACACGCTTCAAAGTAAGGAAAACCTTGAATTAACTTAGAACTTGTTTATAATAGCGTAATATTCGAGCTTCGACTAACATTGGCTCGCTCTTCAATATTTTAGTTGAAATAAATCTTTTTATTTCAATATTGACTGTGAAGTCATCTCTGATGTTCATTACAATATTCAATCAAGCCTAATAACATCTACAAATTCTGTAGTATCCACTACACATTTATCGAACTGTATTTCTAATTTTCGAAAAGCAATTAAAAAATGGTTCACATACGATCAAAACAAATACTAGTCGTATAAGAGCAGTTCGCCTTTGTTTTATTCGATAAAATTGTCATAGTTTAATGGATGAATGCCTAAATTCAGATATAGCCCTGAATGTCCTAAGCAGTCCCTATTATGACAATCCTTTTCTATTGATTGTTAGTACATTCAGTACACCTATATATCTATTCTTAACCGCTTCTATGGGCCCATGAAGGAAAATTTGGCTAAGCCAACGTCATTATTATCAAAAGAGACCTTGATGATATTTGCCTTATTTAGCTTCTATTATTCATAATCCAAATAGTCATGTTATTAAACATTACTGAATAATACAAAAGCAAGATAAAAATCAGTGACTCAGAACAAAAAAGTGCAATGTTTTCGGGCCAGAACTAGTATATATTTACCTAAGGGGATAAAAAAACGCTTTAAGGCTATGTCATTTGATTGAGATAAACAGAAATATTTTCATATATTGTTATTCGAAGTAATGAGACTAATCTCTAAATTGTTTGATTTCCTATTGACTTTATAATAACGAAGCAACTTTTTTTATGAATAGTATCGTCAACACGTTGATTTTATACAAATACAACGAATCATGAAACTCTTATGCTTGCTTGCTTAATTAATCATTTTTGGGTTAAATCAAATATAGATAAATCAAACTTCATACTATCAGCAATTCCGATCTGTGGTTTTCATCAATCGAAAAAGAAGAACCTCGGTCGTATTTCGCAGTGAAATGTTCTTGGAATGAAGCGTCTTTTTTAAGAGATGATGAATTTCGAACACTTTTGTCTCATTTTAAATCAAGAGAAACAGTCATCTGCAGTTCTTCTCGTTCAATAATGCTTTTATAAAATACCCCTGCATAGCTAAGCTATTCAAAATAAGGTTTTGATTGAATAGAACATATTTCCAATCAATGGAAACGAATTGTAAGTCTGCAAAGTAATATGTGCCTATATTTTCACCTATTTAAATTGTGAAAAATTCAATATCGTAACTGATAAAAGAAATATTTCAAAGTTAAGAAGAATATATTAATTATAACGAGGCTGTTCTATGTTTTGTTGATTTATAATTTCATCATGTACATTAAGGTAACTTCAAGGTTGGATGAGCACGTCATCATATATTTTTCAAACATTTAATCAAAAATTTCTCAATGATGAATCTTCAATATGGACTGCGATCTATCTGTCAATCAGAAAACAAAACTATGCGCACTTCATATCAAATAAATCAATTTTTCTTCAATAACATCGAGTGTGTAATATTCATCTACACATGTTGTATTACATAGAAATTTCCAATTTAATTATTTTAAGTTATCTACAAAATATTTTTCAGTGTAAAGATAAACATTACCGAGTAGCAAGATTGGATTGTTTTTGTTTCTAAAATTCATCATTCTAGAGGGTGTGTAATATAAATCTCCTATGAATTTCGCAGACCGTTAAATGATACAAAGACAAAAAGATATGATTCATGCAAAAATTTCAAAACGATTAGATGAAATCAAAACTATAAAAGAGTTAAATGAATCTAGAATATGTTTTCTTTTATTAATACATTAATTATTGCAAATGTTGATTTTTTACTTCGCTTATTTTGAAAAATATCTTTAATGAAATGCAGTTCATTATCATTTCGATTCATCTGTTGGTCTAATTAAAAACGAAATGACAAGTAAAATTATTCTTCCAAATTTTACCTTCAGTAGTATATATATATTCGTTTCAACTTATGTGCTCTGTGTTATCTATTATTTATGTCATTTTTTATTACACGCGTCTTGCCATGAAGACAACATTTTTATTTCTCACCATTGATCAAGTGTACGGAATCCTTGATGAAAAAAGCGCCGAGAAAAATTAAACTGTGATTTTTATAGTTAATGACGGTGCATTTCAAGCGTGGCCAATTTCGAGACGACCAAGGCTCTCAAGGCACATAACGAAGCTGACTAAAATCATCAAAGATATCATAGATATTGATGACATGTAATATACAAGATGAATCCTGCCAAATAAGTGTGTAGGCAGCCAAGCAGCCGAATAAAAATTATTTTTCTATTCTAAAATATTGTACCTTACCTAGTGATAGTTAACAATCAATTTCTTTTTCTCCGTCTTAATGAGAAAGTTGTCCTTGAGAGTGTAATATAATGCGATAAAGCGACAAAAAAATTCTCTCTATTTGATAAGATCACTGTATCTATGCACAAATACGTCCTTATTTAATAGAATTTTGCCTATACTCTGTATTGTTTTCTATACAGTTTCTGTGATGCTGATTACAAAAAATAATATCAATTATCATAAGAGAACAACAATAAATTCAATGGCTATAAGTTGAGTTCACAAAAAGAGATCGATCGCCGATTTGACAAATCAATTTACTTATTATGAATAAATTCTTACGCACAGACTAATGTAAACGTGATTCATACTAAAATAGGTCGATTTTGATCAAATTATAAACAGTATTGAAATTTTCATTTCATGAGACTTATTAATAAATTCGAGTTGACTTTGATAGATAAAATAACGCATGTATCATAAAGCCTTCGCAATGATGTATCAACTAACAAGGTATTTTCTTGCGTACGAATAGACAAATTCGGTTTATTTCAATAACATGATACGCTCGATAGATAAATTTGATCGCTTATTAAATTTGCTACTGAATTTATACATACAGAAAAAAAATATATAATTGAGAGAGAAAAAAAGGTGCTTTTTTTCATTTAAAAAAACGATGACGATCATCAAAAGTAATGTTGACTACCAACTGGACTTCCTACTTTTTTCCTATTGGTTTTTAGATTTCATGGCCATGCATCGTCACGTAATTAATTTCACTCTTGATGATTATACACGAAATACTGATACATAGCTGCGCGCCATATCACTATCAAAACATGTTTTTCGAAGGTAAAATTTTTCTTTTTTTTTGCGCCAATGGGCATGCCTGAATACATATACGGACGGGTCTGACTTTAACCTACGCAACTCTCTGATAGTGCTACGCTTTTCAACCATGAAACGAGTAAAAGAAGATATAAAAGCAAGAGCTACTCTCATTTTTCGTCAGTCGTATAACAAAACAGTGTAGTGAAGTACACTTTTATTAATCCCAATCAAAAGATGTATTCAGGACCTAATATCGCACAACCATCTGGGTAAATTAGTCACTTTAATAGAAATATTCTTTTTGTATCTAAAAATTATCATTCAAATTTGCAGAGGAGCAGCTCGAACTACATTACCAGTAATCGGAGCTATTGTATGTGGTGGCCTACTTTTACTTTTACTGGCTGCTACAATAATTCTAGCCTTGATTCCAATTTATTTAGCATCAAAATCGGTTACATTAAACACCAGTAAGTTATTGGTTTATGCGGATATTATCTAATCATACTGTATTGTAGACTCAAAAAGTTCATTGGTAACAACGTATCTCAACACTGACGCTGGAAGTGGACGACGACGACGAGATACTGATAATGGTGGAAATATTGGAAGCTACGCTGGTGGTAAATTTGATACTACCTCTAACACAATGGTTCAAGAGAAAGTACGCTCTTAAGATTACTTTTTATATTCAGACATTGAACCATATCAAAATGATGATGTTAGTGAAAAATAAGTTAGCCCTTAACAAGAAAATCTCGAATTAATTAAACAGATTATTATTTTTCAAATCTAAATTTGCAATTTATATTCATTGATTCTTTATCAGCTTAGAACTTTCTTAAAAATAAGATCGATAGATTTCCTTCGAGTTTCTCTTTTATTTCATACACTTATTTCTAGATTAACCTATAATTTTTTTTATTTTAGTTCAAAAATATTTTATTGTCAAATAAGAAAGTCTCTGATATATTGAGCTTTGCCTGCCTGGTTGTTAATATAAATGCTAAAAAACGTCGTTAGTAAGTTATTAGTATATTATTCAAATCAGTTCCTCAGTAAAATATATCTTTCTAGCGCATTTGCGAAACGTGCAACAACAACTGTCATAGCGTGCTCATTTTACATCCAATATATCAGTAGTTGCATCTCTACTAGCTGTCAAACAGGCGCTGGTACTGCCTGTACATCGTTGCTTCAGAACGGTTTAACACCAAGCAAATTTGACTTTTCTAATATTAACATCCTTAAATCGGACGGATCACTGTGGATAACAATTAATAGACTTCGATTTACTGGCTTTCAATTTCCTCCCCAAATCCGTAAGATAACTTCATTTTCGATAACTAATATTTTATCCATTGCTATGTTCCCTTTAGTTCCCGGAAGAGGAGGAGGCAATCCTACAACACCGCCAACCGTCCCTGTAACGCCAACAACTACTTCACCTACACCTACATCGAACACGGGTTAATATTTTCACTACTTACCACTATCAATTGACTGCTTATCGAACGTTTCGGATAATGTCCGGATTTCTGTTTTAACCACATCCCTTTCTATTTTAACACAAAAAAATATCATTCTTTTAATATCAAAGTACATCACACTAACCCGAAATAACTTTAGCTAACAATTCATTTTTTTCATCATATTTCTCAGTAATTGATAAGTTCTTTTTTAATAGTTCATCTATCTGATTCTATTTAAAAAATAAAGAAAAAAAATAAAACTTGATTCTGTTTTATCGCACAAGACTACTTTTAATGATTGGATCGTTTTATTTGATAATAATTGTTGATTTTCCATTTGACGTACAATTCGCTGAAGATCAATTTGAAGCTAAATCAAATATTTCAAAAGCAAAAATCTCTGATAGGCACATTCCTTTCTGGTTCCACTATACTTGTTCGATTCGTTGTGTTTTTTCACGTAATTGACGATCAAGATTCAGTATTGACTCATTTTTCTCATCAATACCCATGTCTAATGAGCGTTTCTGCATAGAATAAAAAAATGTTTAAATTTCACACGCATATTTGTTTTTCATTTGCGAAACAGGAACTACATACTTGTGCTTCTAATTGTCCCTCGGTTGATTCGTATTGTACAGTCAATTGCATTATTTTGGTTTGTTGATCAATAGCTAATTTTTTACTTTCAATCAATGATTGTTCTAATGTTAGTAATTGTTCACTATACAATTGTCGTTCTTTATTCCATAGTAATTCTAAACTCTAGAAAGAAAAAGAGAATAAATTGTACGTATGAAAAATTTTGTTTATTATTTTACTTGGAGTTGAGAGCTAGTATTTTCAAGTTCTTGTAAACGAGCAATTGTAGAACTATTTGTTTCATGTACTTGACGATTTTCTTCATCTAATGATTCACGTTGTTCTATGACGGAAAGAAAATTAATTTAATTGAGGCATCAAAAGTTTCTCGACGATGATAATTAGGAATAATAGTGTAAAACATTGAAATAGTAAAAAGGATTCTGTATCGATACTGTGAGTTTATCTAGTGGAACAAATAATGTTAAGTCAAGTGGACTGATGATCGAAAGAATATGTTTGCCTTTGTTTTGTATAAAAACTGGCTTTATAGTAGAGCATAGCTTATCGGGCATTCATTAAGTTCGATATACAAAATATCGTTTACCTATTTCTATTGAGAAGAAAGATATAAAGAAAAATAAGATCAAGCTGATTCACCGGGCCAGTGATGTGCCATTGGTACACAGCTAAACATTATTGACAACGATATCATTATCTTAAATGAATTTCGGAATTTTCCGATTCGAGAAATCAATTTAGGGAAATAGCTGGATTTTGTGGAAAAAAATAAGCTAGTAATTTTCAGAAAACTGAATCTAGAGGAGTTTTTAAAACACGATAGTCGATTGTTTTGAAAAGTGGGAGGCCTTAAAAATTTGACAGAAAGTATCTCATCTTATTTTTCGACAGAACCTGAACGATCAACATTAAATTTATGGATTTACTGCCAGGAAGTAGTGCAAAACTCTGGCAGAAAACCTCACAGATTTTCAATTTTTGGGAGGAATAGTCCTCTCCGTAATTGACAAGATTGTTCTCAAAATTTGTTTTCTTACAGATAATGTATTTTACAGTGTACAATTATTCTAGCTTGATCGGTAAATTCGAAAACACCACCATCCAATAGACACATGTCTATAGCGGTAATGCGCTCTACTAAAGGCCAATGCACTATTGATCACCGTGACATCACTATTCATAAATTCTTCTTTTCTCTCGCTGTAGTTTCGATGGTCTATCGCAACCTATGACGACGAAAAAAGCTTTAAAAACTGCTCACTGACAAATGCATACAGATAGTATTGTGACTAGAATATTCAATGGTGTTCACAGGACTGAAAAAACAACACTGTCGGAAACGATGTTTACTCTAATGAGGAAATATCGATTAGTTTTCAACAACACCCTAATCTGTTAATAGTCTTCAAAAATTAAAAGCTTTTAAAACAATGAACTGATTTCATCTAAAGTACTTCCACGAATTTTTTCAAGTTATAACTTCATCTTATTTACCTATGCAGCTTTTCTTCTTACTTCAAGTAATGAAAACGTACGATAATACGCGTAACCTTTATATTAAGATCGGACTATGAATGATTCCAATCATAATATTCTTCCGAGTAGGAACAAAAGGTCTCTATCAACAAAATAAATGACTCACTTCTCAATTCAAAATTTTCTTGCTCTTTTTCACTGATAGAATTTTTCAGTTGTTCGCGTTCTGTTGCTAATTGTCGAACTTGCTCCATTGTCGTTTCCTATTCAAAACATAAAAATTAATTAAATCCTTAAACTAAAATCTAAACAAACCAATTTTGTATTAAGTTGTTGTTCATCTTTTCGAATAGTTGATAATTGTTGTTCAATATCATGCGATGTTTTTTCTATTTAAAATAAAAAATTTATTTTCTATTTAATATTGAAAATTTACACGAACGTAATTGCTCATTTTCTGAACGTAATTGACTTTCGATTTCGCGTTGTTTAACTACTTCACTATGTACAACATCATATTCACGTGCTAGTTCATGAAATCGTTGTTCTAAATGAAACCAAATGAAATCATCAAAACAAGCTCAACATGAAATATATATGAATAAAGAAGAAATATGTTAAAGCGAACGAACGAAAGAACGAATGAATTAACAAGCAAGATAAACACGTGATTTAAAGAACATACATAGTTAGAAACAAAACAAACAAGAAATCATATTCAAAGAGTTATTAAAGATGAAAAGATGTATCTATGTCAATCAAAATCTCAATATATTATCTATATTAATTATCAGATGATGTGTCCATTTTGTATGGTAAACCTAAAAAAAGAAAAGATTAGAGGCTATATTTTGTCCTTTAAAAATTTTATAGCATCCTACGAATACAATCGAGACGGATGGTTAATCTTTCAGTAAGTTGTAGAAGAATCATTTAAATGATTTGAAAACTAACTTTTCGATTATCAATATAGGTTAAAAATTTTTCAAAGGTTAGCAGAAATTTATCATTTCAGTCTTTGAAAAAAAATCATAGAATTATTTTCATGTGCAGTGTCAAATCGAAGTGCAATTTATCTTTATCTAGTGATATCGGCGAACCTGGTCTACTTCTTTTCTCGATGACTTTTGCTGCGGCTGGCATTGAACCTCGAAATAAAGGAAATTCAATTGCGCTGGATATAGTCAATTGGCGAATACTATCATTTCTTTAGTTTTCTCTCCGCAATTCATACCCATAGGTACAATTGGCTAAAATATTTAACTACAATTCTACTCTTGTTTTATTTTTTCGCTCCTATCAGCAAATCTCCCAAAGTAAACTATACACCGCATATTCTTACCATTTGCTTGAATAAATAATTCTTCCTGAAATGATTCATATTCATCATATTGCTTATCTTCAACAGTATCGTTTTGATTTAGCGTTGAATTATTTATTTCAGTTTTAATCTTTGAATTACTATTATCGAAAAAATGCTTCGGATTTCTAGCATGTCGACAAACAACATTGACTTGTTCAGCACAATCTTTTGTTATGCGATATAAATTATAGTCCATACCAAAAATCGATTTTAAATGTTTGTCGATAATAGACATACGATCTTTTGCTAGTGCTTGCGTATTACGTACACGACCGTCCAATGATGCATTACGAAGTTCTTCATTAGAGAAAAATTGTCGAATTAAAAATGTTAATAAACGACCAATAGCACGTTTTTCACCGTGTATGTATGCTAATTCAGTACGACGACGTACTTGATCGTATTTACGTTTTAATACAAGACAAGATAAATCAATTGAAGGATCACCAAGTTCAATATATTCCTAAAGAAAAATATACACTTTTAGACAATCGCAGTTATCGATTGAAAATCAAAAGGAAGCAAGAGCATCTTCTGAATTCTCTCCTGATTTTAGTCTGAGTATTTCTATTGCGTTGAGAATACACATTTAAGATATTATTCATAGAGAGTCTAGAGAAAAGTTAGTCTGGTGAAACAATAAAACACGGTCATATGCCTTGCTGTTGAAACAAAATTCTAAGGCGTTGGTGATGAGAAACTCTCAAAACGGAAAGCCATTTTATTGTGTATTACTATATCGAAACGCACAATTTTTTATATTTTCAGTAGAGAAACTATGAAAAATACATCTAAATTTTGAGATATTAATAGAAACCAAGCGATCGGTTACAAATTTGAGAGCGAAAAAATAAAGTTTTAAAATTGATAATAATTCGCTAATGAATATTCACTATTCTATTTTATCAAAAATTGTATTTACTTTATTGACTAAAGATTTGCCCGTTGTCTTTGTTGTATTGTCGAGTGAATTGAAATTATTTCCTGTTGTACTCATATCAATTGGTTGTTGATAATTATTATTATCAATGACTGATGATGACGATGATGATTTAGGTAATTCAATTGGATCTACTTCAAATTCTGAATATTGTTTACTCTTAAAATAAAACTTTTATTTCCGACATTGAAATTTCATTATCCTACCTGATATTGTTCATATAAAGTTTCAACATTAATATTCAGTTGATTTAAATATAATTCATTTTGATTAATTCTTTTTATTAACTGATTAATAATTGTTGATAATTTAACTTGTTCAAGATTAATTTCGTGTACGATATAAATTAATGTTTCTAGCATTGTTTGTAAATTATTCGTTTGATCATTATTAATCATTGGTAAGGATATAGAATTAGATAATACTTGTCGTTTAGTACGTCGTCTTTTAACTTGACCTTAAGAAATAATTGATTTTTAAGAAATTAATTTTCCCAAACGATGATTAAGCATAAACAACATGCAGAAAATGAATACTTACATGATTATTCATATTGAATATTGAGTTTTTTTTCTGCGAAGAATACACGACGATTCATATGTGATAGAATACAAATAGCAAAAAAAACAAGAAAAAGAAAAGAAACAAACAAACAAACAAGAATATTCGTTCATCCGTTCGCTTTGGTAATAGACAGAAAAAAAAACGAAATAATAATTTTGCAAAATTATGAAGCAAGATGAGGAGAATTTTCGATTGTTATACTACCTGTTGACAATTTGAATTGATTTAATTCATCATGAATTGAACGCTTTTGAGTTTTAATTTGATTGATATAATCAACTAAATTTTGTTTTTGATTATCGCTTATTAAAGTATCATCTAATTGCGAAAAATCAAAATCGACATCATCATTATTTGTTGTTGTCGTCATTGTTGGTGCTTTTTCTGATTTTATTATTAACGACGATCAACGGACATCTAGAACTTAGAAGAAATAATAGATAGCCTATTTCTAATTACTGGAGACAAGCGCCAACGGTCGTTCCGCGGTGCGTTTAAATGAGAGAGGGAATTTGTTTGCTTCCCCATATGGATTCAAATGGATAAAACGTGGATTTTTGATTAAGAAAATTTTCTAATTAAAATATAGAACATATTGATCTAGTAGATATTTTTCGAATATGAAAAATAAATATAGATAAAAATAAATTTCTGCTAAAATTTATTGGTGTGAGGCAATGGACCAATGAACAGTCTCTCTTATGAAACTTATGTTCATTCAGATCTTTATCGAGTTTGATAGTTCCTTGTAAGTGGATTTTAGCGCGTTATTACTATTTTAATTTATGATTGTTAAAAGAAAAAGTACAACAAGATTTTATTCAATTCACTATCTAGCTATAAAAGAAAAATATGCTTTGTAAATGATACAGATTAATTATTTTACATGGTAACTGATCGAACAAATATTAATCAAAGTTGAAAGTTATTTTGTATAACATGAATAATGATGAAAATATTTACTTTGTAGTCTAATGTATAAGCTGCTTTGTATTAGTTTTTCGACATCAGAGTATTTAATTCCAATATTCAACAGTGATTGTACCTATTAGTCTGAATTCAAAAAGATCTCTTTCTTTTTTTAATTTTAAAAATCCAATAAACTTGAGTGAAACTTCTCTGGAAGAGTTCGAAAGACTGCAGGACGTTGTTGATAAATTTCCTCATACGATCTATCGTTTAAAATTGAGTCTTTTTTTCTAATGGGAATTTCTTGATAGTATCCTCTGATAACTCTTCACTCGCATATGGAACAAAATGACTAGAAAGAGCTAAATATTAAAATGGATAATCATTTTTTTAGAACAATAAAAGATGATGAATGACGATGAAGCTCCTCCATCATTTCTTGTTCAACGTCGATCAAAGAAAAATCGTCAAACAAAAACTCAACTTGTTTTTGACGAACAAGCCCGAAAGTACAATTATTTTCCCTTCACTATGTTTTGAATTTTATAATTCATTTTTTCTATTTATTAGAGATTATCTTAAAGGTTTTCACAAGCGTAAAATTGAACGACGTGAACGAGCACAAAAAGATCTTGAAGATGAAATAAAAACTGATTTGAAAAATTTAAGACAAAAAGTAATTTGAAAAAATCTAAACAAAATTATAAAATTATTTCTGTTTTTCTTATTTAGCGACGTGACGAAATGAAAAAACGACACCAGGAATTAGGTTTACTCGATACTGTTGAAAATAATACAAAAAAACGAACGATTGAACTAAAAGATCATACTATTGAAATAGCTGAAATGGATGATCAATTAATTTCCAATACAGGATTATATATGGGCAACAATCAAATCAATAATCCTGAAGCAAATGTAAATGGAATATTTGATTTATTTTTCATATTTCAATCGCTCTTTTTCTTCAATCTTTAGAATGATGAAGAATCAACAACAAAAAAGAAAAAGTAAGGAAAACTAAAGTTACAAAGAATACTGATTCTAGTTTTAATTCCTAGGAGTAAAACACCGTTATCGAAAAAAATGTCCATACTACAAAATTTGAAAGCGCCTGGCGGGTTGAAAAAAGGACATATTAATAAACCAAAACCAAGACGTACATCAACAAAATTGGGTAAAAAGGGCGGAATTCAAACGCCATCGAAAAAGAAAAGAACCCGCCAATAGTATTATTTGTTACTTATTGTTTTTGTTTTGTTTCAATAAAAGCGAATATTGAAGTTTAAAAAAACAATACTAAGTTTGTATGAATAAACATGGATATGCAGGGTGTCTATAAGACAGCAGATCTTCTCGTAATTCTTATGGTCAATGGGCCGATGACGTAAATTGTGTTATCCTTGAGTTAGCACTTGAGCATAAGCACGAAAGAAGCTTATTTTTTCAACAAACTAAAAAAAATAAGGTACGTTTTCACTTGTAACAAATGTTGATTTTCTCAATAAAATCTATATTCTCAGTAAACCGCATCTGACAGTATCGGATCTAACGGAATGAATCTTTCTGAGTTACATGTTGCCCGGGCATTTTAATCAAAATTCTCGAAAAAATACCGTTATATGGCATAGCAAGAAATGCATAGAGTATCAATTAGTAACTTCAATTAGCTAAGCCAAAATAGTACATATTGTGACAGTCGATATGTATGTTTTCTAGCGTTGTAATTTTTATTTTTATTTAAAAGCGTCTTTCATCTGCAGTATACTGCTTCCTCTCGATTTTGTCATAAGTGTTTTACAGAAGAGAATATAAAATTTAGCATTTTAATGCATTATCGTGAACAATAAAATAAACATTTATATCATGTTTTGAATCACCTGAATGACTACTAAAAAAAACATTGCGTAGTGCTTATTTGAGGATTGTATTGGTAATTAATGAATGACAAGCAACCAATCTACCATTAAACGCATAGTAATATAATCATAATGGTATCTGAAAATTGCTTTTTTACGTCAACATAAAAGTACTAAATAATATCATGCCTATACAAATACTATTCATCCTCGGCTAAATATATACTTTCGCATAGTAGGTATTAGGTAAAGCAAAATTTCTACTGTATGGTAATGGAGTACGACATATCTTCAGTCAAGGAACATCCTCAATTTGCTATTAAATTGCCTTATATTGTTTTATTGTATACTGATGCCAATTTTATTCAGGCATTCCTAGAGAAAATCACATTTTGTTGGTTCTTATCTGAAGAAAACATCTCAGATGTTACTCGTAGAAGCGAAAAAGGTTTGCCAATTAAATTGATTGAATTTTTTTTAAATGACCTATTTGATAAACGAACAACTCAATCATTCTTTCTAACAAGATAATATCTATTAATAATCTCTAAAATTATCAAAGTTCAAATAGCATACTTTTGCGACGGTAAATTTATTTCGATCTACTTTCTTATCAGTCATTTTACACCAATGATTTCAAATCAGATACGTCGAGCAAGATACTTTTCTTCTTCTTTTGCATAGTCACGTATTGACTGAAAATGAACAGCATGTTCAACGATGAAGTTTTTATCTTAAAAACATTTTTGAAAGTTCTCAATTATCATCGTCAATGATCGAGTCCACAGCTCGTAGCTCTAAATGCGGTTTACCCTACTTTGGTCGAAAGGTAGAAATGTCGAAAGTAAAAATGTCGAAAGTAGATATATCGAACGAGAAAAATGTCGACAAGAAAAATTTTCTAAGTTTAAAAACAACGAAAATAGTTGTATCAAACGATTAGTAGATACATTTATATAATGATTATAGTTATTGGTTGATTACGCTACCCATTCATTTCTGCACTTGAATTCCTGTCTTTGTCGGCTAAAATTTAACAAAGACGCCTTTGTCGTAAGGATTATAGAAAAAATATTCAACAGTAAAACTTTGCTAAACAGTATGTCGATTTCTCCGGATTCAAGTTTTGATGCAGTTGAAAATTTATCCTTCATTACATCAAATAAAGGTCACCCATTATTAGTTATGAAAGAACAATTATACAAATGTAATAAGAAGACGGCCCGTAAAAAAGATTGGATTTGTATTGTTAGTGGATGCTCAAATGGTAGTTCACACGGATGAAAATGATGTTTATTTATACGGAGGTAAATGTGATCATCATCATCAATCAAATTCAAACGTCATTCAACTCATCAGATCTAGCTACTTACTGGTTTATCATTAGTTGTTGGAGCAAAAAAGAAACATATAGAAACCCAATCTACGGCTGAAGAATAGTTATCGTCGAGCATCATTCCGCATTTTTAAACAAAAATTTTGCTCCGAACGTTTTTTCGATAAATAAAACTTTTTAAACAAAAAATCTTTTTATCTTTTTACGCGCACAGAACTAAAATAAGAAATTTTTTAACATTATCAGTCGAAATTTTTACCTTTCGACATTTTTATTTTCGACATTTTTATTTTCAACATTTTTACCTTTCGACATTTTTATCTTTCGACCAAAGTAGGGTTAACCCTAAATGCGGAATCAGTCAAGATACTCGGCATGCCAATATTGATCATTTCACGGATGCTTGATGTGTGCTATTTCTCGTTTTATCTTGCCACATTATTTTGCTGAAAAATCACAAAATACAGCGCGAAGATTAATAGTTAAAATCACTCATGATATAAATATTGCATATGCAAAAAATAGAAAGCAAAACTAAGCATTCAAATTTCTTTTTCTGATCTAAGACAACAATTTTGCATGTTTTATCATGATACAAAAACAAGGTGCTAGCGTCTTAAAATAGAAAATGGAAGATTTTCTAAATAAAAACTTTGTAATTTACAAAGTATTTCAAAATTTCAAACAAAATACTAGTTCACTGTTTCTTCATGATGAGCGGCAGGCTTTTTCCAGGATGTACCTTCAGCAAGACAAGCAACCAAAGCAGCACCCTTACCACTTCCTGAAATAGTTTGATAAAACATTTTGTATGAAGAAGCAATTATTTTCAAACACTTACCATCATCGGATAAAGCAATTTTGAACTGAAACAGAAAAAAATCGTTAATAAATAATTTCAAATTCTGCCATGAATGAAGTGACTAAACACCTATACCGAGTCAGTGATACGACGGAAGAAAGATGAAAATTTTAATACGATTTACTAAATTATGTTTCACCTAATATTTTTCATTCAGGCCAGAAGAGGATCAGACACTCCAATCTCAGTTAGAAATTTCATTTAAAACTTTTCAATTGAGATTTTTATATCGTTTCTGGCTGATGTACTGTTAGATGTGAACAAGATGAGTAATTGCTAATGAAATTTTTGTCTAAATGATGACTAATTTTCATATGAATTATCAATACTATTCTCAGTTCTAAACGTCCAAGAAGTGCATTGGCCTAAGAGCTATACTACATATCTATAATATGTTCTCTAATCAAGTTTGAATAAATAAAAATAAAATCATATCGTACTTGAATCGATTTATTTACTAACATGTCCATACATCTTTCCATATTGGTTTTAAAACGTGGATGATATCGATACAGTGATCCATCTACACCAACAGTAACATTAGGTCTTCCAATGCGATTAATCAATACTGACAAACCTTGAAAGAGAAACGAGAGAGAGGAAAAAATAGATTTATAGTAAAGAAGTTATTTTATTCAACACGCTCACCAGCAGCAGCTAGTTTAGCCGCTCGTTTTGAAACTTGCCGACAAATATGTTGAACAATAGCGCAATCGTCAAATGTAGGATTTTGTATACCAATATCTTCGAGTACACGACGTGTATTTGAAAATTTGATGCCTTTGAAAAAGACGTTTCATAGAAATAGAAAAAATCAAAAATGTTTTATATACCTTCATCAGTTTCAACAGTCGATACAAATTTTGTATAGAAACCACCACGATTATAGAGTGGTGTTTTATAATCTCCGTATGTGTCACGATGACCAAGAAAAAGTAATTCACGCTGCAGTAAATCAAGTATAATCAAACGAACAATTTCGCCCATATACAGTCCAGAAATCATTTTTTCAAAACTATAAACAAAGCAAAGAAAATGATTTTGAAAATTTTCAAAGCTAATTTATACATTTGTCTGCCAGGATTCGTGGATGAAAGGTCAACTTCTTCATCGTATCGCGTTCGAATGAAATCTAAACGATGATTGTCACCAAACGCACCCCATTCCATATTAATAATAACTTGTTTTGGTTCGTCATAATCGCCTTTCCATGTACCAACTTTATCTAACTGTTCAATATAACATGCATTTGTTCCAGTTCCTAGGATAAGACCAACAGCTGTCGCTGGATCTTTGTATGCACAAGCCATCAATGTGCCAACTGTATCGTTGATTAGGGCGACACATTTCGCATTGATACCCTAAAAAAAGAACACAATCATCAATGGAATTAGTTTTTCTTGTCATCAATGTTTTACTGCGAGAAAATAAAATTTTCAACAAACACACTATTGAATATAACTTTCAGTCTGTACAACGGAGATATTCTGAATTTTTCATAATTGATATTGGGATCCTGCTAGTGCTAGTGATGGAATGGGAGTGTCTCATCCCATGCAGAACCATGATTGATATTATGATAAGAAAGGCAAATTCAAAATTTTACTAAAGATCATATCGAATCAAAGCTTTCAATAAAATCGAAATTTTCACTCAGATACACGTCATACAACTCTCGTCAAGTGTATCCAGTACGCCAGTCATTTTTTTCTCGCACATTAAAGCAAAAAACAAATGCCTCCATTTTTATTTTCTTGCGTGTCTTGCCATAAGAAAACTCAAAGAATATAAAACGATCTAAGCACAATTAGGTGGCTATTAAAATTTATTACTTGGTATTAACGTTTTCTTTATTTTTTCAATGCATAATAGAGCATTCTTGTTTGTGTTAGCAAAACGTAGGTATTTGATGTGGGTGTGAATGGGTGTGCTTATGCATATGGGCCTTCGTTGCTGTCACACCCACATTGAGAAGAAGAAAAGAAAAAGAAAAAAATACATAATAGCAGGGTAAACTATTGACATGCAAATCACGTCTATGATTATCCTCTGAAGAGGTTACTGAAAACTTTCTATAATTATAGCAATAGGAACTCAGATAGCAGTACTTCTTCCAAGAGAGCTCTAAAAATAAATCAGTTTCCTGGGATCAATCAGTTTTTTACAAGAATTTATTTTCGGACAGCTAGATCTAACGTTGACATAATGTTTTAGTATGACAGCGGATATATAATTGAATATTAAAGTATTGCTAATTATCTATAACCAGTAATGGTATTGGGACACTGTCCTGGATAAATTCTTTTTATATTATCTTATTTACAATACGGGCGAAATCGATCTAGTTATTCTTGCTAATGACAAGACAAATTTCCTTCTTATTTTAATATTTTGTCCTCTAGAAATGCATTAAGGCCATCGTTCATGTATGTCAAAATGAGATTTTAATGACATACAGTCTATGACGATATATCAGTAATGTCTGTAAAAATTGATAGGAAGAAAGTCCAACTTTTTACTTTTGTACTCAACTAAGCCGGTTCGGATAATGTCTAGGCAAATGCATGAGTCTCATTATAGAAAATTATGATGAACGTTCTGAATTTTGATTAACGAAGACTGATTTTTTATTGTGCAACGGGGAAAATATTTATTTTTGTCTAAGTTTAAACTTTTCTTGATACATATATTAAAATAGTGAATTCTAGTTGACACAAATTAATCATTATCGACCGCACATATAACTAAATAAGCACCAGAGTTATTTGTGATCAAAGTGGAAAACATGAAAATTCATTGAATTTGAAATTGCCACGTTTTACTCGTACTAATCCAATCATACGTTGAATTATTGGACCACACCTTCTGTCTCTTATTTGAATACGCTTCTTGCCTTTATAATTCAATCAGGTCACTTTAACTTATACCGGTAGCAAAACAAACATTAGATAACTCAACCCATCGTGCTTATAAAATACTGTATTATTATTCATGCAGTTTCATCGCAACAATTACCTTTTCATTAATTGCATTTTGAAATAGTTTGACAACATCTTCGTTCACAACACCTGAACAACTGAAACCTTTTGTCCATGATGTTAATCGCGCTGATGCAAGACCCTCTTGAGAACAAGGAAATGAGAATGTGAAACCTAAATAGAATAAAAATTTTCAAACTATTGATTGTCGAACTAACACAATCATTCTTACCTATCGGATAACATACGTCTGTATTTAATATATGTTCTTTTAACATAAACTCATGTAAACACTCAGATAAGTGGCGAAACAACTAAATTTAAATGAACAAACAAACAAACAAAAATACAATTTCTGTTTCAAAAACGAAACTAAAAAAAATACCGAAAGAATGAATCGAGCATACATACTTGTTTTCCATCACCCATCATAATTGATTGTGGAATAAGGAAAATTTTTGATGTTAATTCTATTCTTGAATTTCCACGTAAATCAATTAAAAGTACACGAAAATTGGTTCCACCTAAATCAAGTGCAAGAACTTGGCCAACCTCTGTTCCCGTTGGGATATTTTTTACGTATGTTGGAAACATTTTAACTACGGCTTGATCGTGTGTTGACGGTGATAGACCAGCATTCATTTCGGCTTCTAATAAATGCATTATGTGCACAAGCTGATCGTCAGCTATTTTTAACGAATCGAGAACTGTTTCTATCTAATGAATAAAATAAAATTTTGAACTATACAAAAAATTATATTCTTAATATCAATTTTCAATGTTTTGCATTGTAAAAAAAGGGAAGATAAAGTTTTCTTAGAATTTTCTGGCAATCTCTCTGATGAAAACTGTTGCATCAATATCGACATTATAAAGAAAACATTGAATCCTCATTTTGATCGATGGCAAATTGATTCCTGTCAAAATTCTTTCGAATATATTCCACTATAAGGACTCTGTATCTACCATCTGCCGGCCTAATATATTTTTTATTATGATAAACTACATAGGAATGCTGTTTTCATTCAGTTCTCACAAAAGAAAAACAAACTGTACTCTGGAATAAAATAAAGAAAATTGTTTTGCTTTTTGATTAAAAAATAATATCTTGAAGGATCCATCTAAGATACATTTCACAAAGATCAATTTATTAATCTGACTCATGAGAAATAGATAATAAATTTTTCTTTTATAATACCTACGAAGTGTTAAGGCTGTTTTCTGCTTCTGTCTAAAATAACTTACTTGGTCATTAAGTTCTGGCTGTCGATAATGCCTTGTTTGTTGTTGTGCAGGTGCCGCGACGCGATACCCAGCATAAACAGCGCCGCCAAGGATACATGTTGTTGCAAGTCCATATGCAACTTTCTTAATGATAGGTGCAATTAAATCATCTTCGAGTATTTGGACAACACTGAATCGCATGTTTTCTGGATTAGTTAAAATAATTATATATATTTATGTCTTCTTTACCGAGTTACAAACGCGTATCTAGTTATTTTGATAATGGAAAGAAAAGAAAAGAATTAAATATACACTATTTATGCCTATGTAGCACTAGAGACTAAGATAAATTGGAGAGGGAAAAGAGCATAGAACGCATGTGTGTCTGAAAAAGACTGCAAACGGTCGAATGATTCATAAGGTGGTAAAATATTCAATAGAATAGGAAAAAGAAAGGCCGTCTATTTCAACCAAGACAGTCTTCATCATCATGATATGACAATGCTGTCTTTCGTATCGATATACTTGACGAAGAAGAAGAAGAGAAAAGAAAACAGAAGGTTCACAAAACGATCTATCTAGAGATATATTATAATGATTGATCGCATGTTATCCCTAATATTGTGTTAAAACACTATGACAGAATGAATATTTCTCAGAAAAATATTTGACACCAAAACAAAATTATAATATATAAAACGAGGAAAAGTATTTTTTTCATTTTTTCTTCAATGTAAAACGGCGCATCTCCACTATATTATTAGACTTTTTTTCTATCTATTCATCACGTCATGAGTGACCCATCGATTCAAACTGAAAATATGTCATCAACAATCATCGATGATCATACGAGTGTTATGGGACATGATTTATCGGATACAACAGTCACTACTCGAACAAGTGCTTCGTGGCATTCTGTCGTGTCTGATACACATTTAAATATTAATTTATTCGTTCGTTCATATTCAATAAATACTTGGCTAAAAAATTGTTTCATCGAACCAGATATTCGATTAACGACAGCACAGGAATGGAAATTACGTACTTGTGTAAGACGTTTACTTTCATTAAGTGATATTCCTCTTAAAATTTCTTGTATAAAAAAAAATGAATTACTTACGATGTCGAAAGAAAATGTATCAATACCATTTATGGATCAGGTTTAGTTTAGTTAGTAAAGTAAATCTTTCGTTCACACATCCTCTTTTTTTATATCGTGTTTTGCGGATCAAGGCGCAGCAATCGTTGTCTATCACCGACGCTTCGTCACAAATATTGATCATTCAACCGTGCGATGAGCAACGACAGCGGATAAATGATCAATTACATCAATTAGGATTATACTTTCATATTTTATCAACATCAGACGTAAATAATAGATTATTAGACGTTCAATTATTTGAATTTTACTCGAAAGGATTAAAAAATAAAACAATTATTCCTATTCTACTTATTAAACCACCAAAATTTGTATTTCATATTCCATCAAATACATTTAAAATAAGCTTACGCAGTTGCAATTCATTACTTGAACTACAATTATCAACAAGAGAAAATGAACCAATCCGAGGATATTATTATAGATGGAATGAAACCAATAGTAATGAGCAGATGAAATTTCAAATTACTCTTGAGATTGATCATAGTCTAATGAATCAATTTAATATTATATAAATAATAATACTATGTTTTTTTTTTATATTTATCATTATTCGATAAAAAAAAGTGTGTCTTTTTATCACTTCGATGTAACAAATTTTGCCTTTGAACAGCAGTAATAAATGCATTGTGGGTCATTCATACGAGACATCTAGGGAATTTGTCGCTTTATTGAAGATGCAGTTTTTTCTAGACCGCACTTCTAACAAGATCAAATTAGAGACAAGCAATTCCTAACTGGACGGTTTTTTTATCTACGACTTGATCATGTAATATTCTCTAGTTGATTTCAATTGACCTCGTACAATTTTTGTCCCTTTTTCGAATGACTAAAACTGATCGATATTTTTTATTAGTAACCATAGCTCAATTTAAAATGTGTGCGTCTCTAAATGGAATCATGTTATTTCATGTTTCTTTTGACCGGAGATTCAATATTAAATTTGGAACTGAAAATTTTCATTCTCTTGTGATAGAACATTAAATTGTTGGCTTCAGTTATTAACATTGAAGGATTCGATGATAAACATTTCTCCTATATATAATTAGTTGATGATAGGGATGCTATATTCTTGTAGCCGATCAGTAAGGGAAGTTTCATAAAATATGATCTGTTGATGTCAAACGTTCTATCATCATGTCTATGTTTATTGTAAGCAGAAGAAAATTGCGTATCGTTTCTTTCTTTCTTTCTGTATCCGACCATCAATAGTTGTATGATTGAAAATTAAATATTCTTTTCGAGTAAAACATGCAACGCTACTCTTCACACTCGACAAATATGTCGAATCATGTTAGTGTTCTTCATTTACAAGCTGCTGCCACTTAGTTATCATATAGCGTCATGAAATTTTTATTGATTTATTGACATAAGTGATCATCGTTCTATTCAAATAGAATAAGTTGAAACTGCGTAATACGTTCCAAAAACAAATACGAGAATAGAGCATCATTAACGGTTTCTGTTTGGCTTCTTTTTGTACTTTCAACTGTCGTCTATTTTTATATGAATATCGTAGTTACTTGAATGAGAGATGATCGATTTGTACAATGCAATCCAATTTTATCGGTTGAAAATGCGAAGGAAGCCATCATAGGAAAAATAGTGAAACAGACTTAAATTTTTTACTTGAATTCGCGAAAATATTGTAAATAAACAACAACAACAAAAAGAAAGCAGAACTAATTTTTCTTGATGAAAGTGAACGTGAAATAAAAATTTCATCTTTATAGAAATCTAAAACCAAACAGTTCAACATTTTCCGAATGCGCCGACTCATGTCATTTTCTGCTTAGATAGTCCACTTGTTTTTTTTTACAGACAGGCAGAAAATATTATTTGCCATTTATTTTTATGGCGTCTTGCTATTTTTTTAATTGCACAATTCCGAACTTTCATTTTCTTTTAAATGTTATGTTAAGAGATAGAACGTGAGTGAGTACCTATTCCAGGTTTTCTACTTCTACGCAGCAGAATCAACTGATAATTAGAGTAGTACTTTTTGTTTTGAGAACTTTTCGGGACATTGAACCCTTGTCTTTTTAAATCGTAAATAGATGGAAAAAAAGGTTTCTGTCATGCCTAATATATCAATCTGCTATTTCAAACAAAACCATAGGTGCATAAAATGAACACCTGTAGACAATGTTGACGCATACAGTTTTCTTGTAAATATATATTTATCGTCTTCCTTAGAGAGAATATTTTGGTTTTGTTTTTTAATGATTTGAAATTCAATTAATTGATAAATTAGAAAACGAAGAGACGATAGGAGTAGACGAAGCTGGATTATGTTGAACAAGTGGATTTCGATCATTATTCATTGATGTGGCTAATGGCATATATGTTTGGTTTAGTCCTAGCAAACCGTCTGGACGGTAAATATCTTGATATTGAATAAGAGACGGCGGTTGCAACGTTGTTTGTTGTGTTGTTGGAATGTCATATGCACCAATGGGCTGCGGACGATAGGGGTCGAATTTAGTTGGCAACGGTGGTAAAGGTTGTTGAATAGTACGATTGGAATCACTGAAATTTCGGCTCTGATAAGTGGATGGATATTGCGAATCTGCGCGATGAATTGAGAAATTTTGTAGTGTTGGCTGTTGATTTAAGAACGGTTGATAAACTGGCTGTTGAAGTTGAAATGCTTGCGAAGAATAAAATCGCTGTTGTTGTTGTTGTTGAGGAAATGGTTGAGTATTAACATTGCTATAAGACATGGGAGGTCGAGCATTGAAATTTTGAGCAAATAAAGTGGAATTCTGATTGAATGTATTCGATTGATTATGAGACAGTTTTTGATATGATATCAAATTTGCATTTGGCAAAGGTAATAATGATTGTACTTGATGATGTGTATTCGAATTAAATGTTGGCTGATTTGTGTATGTTTGTTCTGGCAGATTTGAATATAGAGGACCGGCTGACGGTGATGATATTCGATCAGGATAAAAACTATTGTTCGCATTGAGAGTTGGCGCTGTCGGTTGTATAAACTTAGTTTCTTCAATTTTTATTGATGACCGATTTGTTGTTCGTGGGCTCCATGTTTCAGATTTCATAGCATCTAAATAATCCTTAAGACGTAGTCGATCAGGAATAGCAGGCGAATTGACATCTTGGCTGAATGTATTGTATTCAGATGTTACTTTCGTGTTCAATTGAGTTTTCGGTAATGGTTGCGATTCTAAAGTTTTAAGACGTTCGTTTAGTGAATTTAATTTTTCATTTTGCTAAAGAAAACCAAACAGATGAAAGTCCGAATAAATACATTAAATGTTGAATACCTTTTTATAGAATTCAATTCCTTCATTAGATTTTGATAAAGTTTCGTCAAATAATTTAAATGAATTTATATATTCTTGAATCAATCGATGACGACTAAAAAAAATGATATATCGATAAATATTGTGGAAATGCTGGTACACAAGTAACTCATGAAAATTTCAAGGCGTGTGAAAGCTTTCAAGTAAATACACATTTCTGTTAGCATTATTATCGAAAAGTATCTCATCAGAACTATTCATCATTATTAACAGCCCCAAGTTGCGATCCCTGGATTTCAAGAAAAATTATGCTATACGATTATTTTTCTTCCTATTAATTATTTAGTTGAAGATGGAAAGGAAGTTTACGACATCGCTCATTATACAAAAAATGTTCGCAGCTTTTGTATATTTAGATCAAAGGTCATACTATTTATAGGATAAGTGACTCTATTGTATGACTAAATAGTGACAAGAATTATTATAGATGACAACTCTTCTTGAATTCAGTAGATCGATATCGAATTGATCTAGATTTCAAATTTTTGAGCTTTAGAAGTTCTCGAGATACATGTTCAAACTTCGCCGAATTCACCCTCACGAAGAAAAATGATTACTCTGATTTACTTTTCCAATGTAGTTGAAAGTTTTGTTCGTATGCCAGCAATGTTTGCATTGGCTCCTGTTAATGAATGTAAAATATTATCTTGTGCTGCACAATTTTGTTTGATAATTTTAACGAATTCTTCATGTTTTTTTAATTGTTCAGAAAATAAATTCTAAGAAACAACACAAACATATTTCATTCAAACCGAAGACAAATTCTTCATTACTTTATAATTTTCTTGTCGTCGCATGAGAACAAATGTTGTTATATCGTCATCCTGAATTTTTTTACGAAAATCGTTTAGTAATGATTCACGTTGTTTTTTCATTGTTTCAACTTTTTCAATCAATAGCGCCAGTGATGCAAGTTTTGGTTTGTTTATTTCATCTAAATTAAGATTAATCGAATTTGAGAAAAATAAAACCAACCGATTTCTATACCATCGAGTTCAGCTATCGTCGGCAGAGTTTTTTCTATTTGTTCAAGTGGTGAATTCAGAATTTTCAAATGTTCGATGATTGTTGTCATATGTTGTTGCAAGTCGGTATTACTTTCGTTTGCTTGTAACAGCATTTCGCGAATAGTTCTAAGATTTGCTTGTAAATCTTGATATTCTTTGTTGGATTTTATTGAATCATTATCTTGTTCGAGCGTTTCAAGTAATTGCTCGAACTCATTGATCTGTTCGGTTACTGCATGGTGTTGACTATCAAGTTCTAAATACAGATAAAAAGAGCAACTTGAGATCTCCTTCTTGTAGGAAAACTAGAGAAGAACGACATTAACTTAAGATTCTAATTTCATTATTAGAAATGAGATATTCCATTGATGATCATCATTCGTATACGAGTGAAGAAGAAAGTTGCCAGGTTTTCGGCTCATGGATTTAGTTAAAGAGGTTAGAGAATAGACTTTAGCAGAAAAAAACCGAGCGCAATTGCCTTTCAGATTTAAGATAACCTCTTTGAAAATGTGTTTTTGCGAATGTTATTTGAAAGAGTGCATGACTTTGAATAGAGTCATGGGGCGCTATATTTGTTGTAAAGACTAGGAAAACAGCAGAAAAAATTCTTCTGTTCAATTTTGAAATACAATTCTTTTCCGTATTTGTGATATTTGGTTTTGAGGAAAAGTCATGGCGAATAACTCAGATGAGAAGTGTTTTTAGTAAACCCTGATTGTAAGATTATCATTCATAAAATTAGAAATCCGAGATAAATGATACTCAAAAACCAATATAAAACTATCAAGTGAGTATAACTGTGTGTATAATTCGACAAGGGTGAAATTCAATCTGTTTACAACTTTCAAATGATAAACAATTCTTCTATAATTCGACAAAACATTTAGAAAAAAAAGATTGATTTTAGCTCATCTTCTTAACATATAATATTCATGCCAAAACATTCTTCATTGGAGAAAAGTTCAGAGATCAATGAAACTATAGCTAGTTGTTTTATTCGAGCTGTTTACCAGACATACCAACTATTTTCTTCTTGAATTTCTTACTAACTACTTAATTAAGTTTTCTCGTTAATAATCTTAATCTACATACGTTGCATTGCTGAAACCAAATCTTTAGGCATACTTGAGCGGCTAGCAACAGTAGCACAACAATCGAGTAATTCACGTGGTAAACGAAGATACTCATAATTTAGCGGAATACGATCCAATTGTAAGCAATTCATAAATTTTCTTGAATTACAAAAAATAAAAAATGTAAATATATATATATATTGATTTTTATTTTCTTACTCGAGTTCTTGACTTTTATTATCTGTTAGTTCAACTATTTCACGTAAAAGATTTGCTTTTTCTTCACTATATTCCGATACGACTAAATGTATAGCCTAAAAATAAATAATAAGTTACAATTCAATATCTAAAAAAAAGAAGGCGATTTTTATTTACCATTGGTATTAATTTTCGAAAGATATCCGGCCCAGATACATCCGGATCATGACAATCGAAGGCTTGCGATTTAGCAACAATGGCGCCTGTGATAAATATTTTATTACAAACTAGTTCTTTTTCGAGCTCGGTTCAATTACCTTGTACGCTTGGTAGACTTGATAATGCAGGTATTTTTTCAAAATAAACATTATCATTATCACGTTTGGCTATTTTATATCTATGCGAAAAAGATCGATTTAACAAAGAAGAAGAAAAAGTTTCGTTATACTTTCTCATGATCATATCATTGGTAAACGTATTTGCTTCTTTATATGCGTTTGTTTTATCTGTTGAAATTTTCTCCGCCGTTTTCCATCCATTGGTAAGTCGTTCAATAGAATTTTCATAGTAGCAAACGCATTCACCATGTTTTCTATTGTCTTCTGCTATTAGACCATTGCAATAATATGTTATTGCGAGATAATATGATGATTTATATATTAGAGTAACACGCCATTCCTTAAGGAAAACAAAGTTCCGATAAAATTTTTAATCCGACTCGTCAAAAGTAAAGATAGAAGCTACCGGATAGTAGACTATCACAATTTCCTTTAAGAAGATATAACAATTATTTTTTATTTTAAAATTTGATTGACTAATACTGAATTATGTCATGACATTTTTCAAGGGTAAATTAATACCTGACAATTATGTATATAAACCATAAATCTCAAGCAGCTTTTAGACAATCCTAATTTTAATAATAAACTAGATAGAATTTAATGAAAATTCATAGGCCGTTTTCAACTATGACAAGCATAGAAAAGCTTACAAGCCGCTAAATCATCACAGATCAAGTTCAAATTTCTTGGTTTCAAAGGTTTTTTTCGAGTGCGTCTCTTCCGAAAGAAAGTCATCGGATTGAAAGCGTTCTACGACCATGTAAGTCGTGCGAAAATTCGAATTTTCTCATGCGATAGCGTGACTATCAATAGAACTCTGTGATAGATTATCCTTAATGAATCGGATTTAGAATCACAGCACGATTCTTTCCTGTATTGCATAAAAAAAGATTTGCCAGTACTGATCATGTTCAAAAATTCACACTCACCCACATGCAGCGTCGTATGTCGTTGACATATGACTAATAATAAACTACAAACTACTATAATTCTACGGTGCCGAGACAATTTTCTTATAGGTCTTCGCTCTAAAAGTTCATTAGGGAAATTTTCAAAGCGAACGTTTGAAAATAATTGAAATTATAGGATACTGTTTTAACGCATTGTATCAACTAACACATTTAACAGCAAAATACCTGGTGACAATAAATTACAATCATTGGACATGAAATTCTTATTAGTCGTTAATTTTGCAGTGGCACCTTGCTCGTAGGAAGTGAGCCTAAAACGTGTCGTCACGTTGATAGTAGCGCACTTAGGTTTAAAAAATTAGGCTCACTTCAGTTGACCTGGCACCTTACGACTGATTTAGTTTGTATCAACCTACGCGAAATCTTTTCGATACAATGGAAGCGATTTCTGTTTTCATGAGATTCAAAAGTGCCATTTGATAATAATCTGAGATTTTCATTGCTACATGCGCATTAACTGAATGTGGTCGTTGATCCAAAAAAGATTTTTCAAGAACAGCTTCATGTGCTTGACCCTTGAAACAAATCAATTTTTCGATGGAAAATATCGGAAAAAGAAAACAAACATTACCAAAAGAATGTCAACTTGACATGTTAACAAGGCCGGAGTAAAATCTACCGAATACGGCGTATATTGATCACGTAGTTTTTCAAAACATGCAGCAGCATAACGAAAATAAGTGCAAGCATTTTTCAAACTCTGAAAAAATGTCACAAAATAATATTATTATTCTGCCTTACTTTTCTCTCCGTAAATATACTTCGTGAGTTTTTCTTGTTTCATTGGCACCTAGTCTTGAATATATTGCTCCAATATTATATAAAATAGAAGCTTCTTCAAACCGAATATCATTACATGTACTTTCATCTTTTTGAAATCCGTCTTCCCTATTAGAAAACAAAAATGATCCAGAAACAAACTATATACATATATGTTTCTCAATTTTACCATGTAAATCGAACACAACATTCTGTATCAGGTAGCATAGGAAAACGATTCCGTAGTAATTGCAATTGGCAAAAATAACGTTTAAGACAACGTACGCTAGATTCGTCTATTGAACAGTTAATGGCATGCTTCAATAGACGAAAAACAAAAGAAGCGCAATTCGAATATGAAATGTTTTTATTCCGTTTCTTAATTTACTTCACGCAGATGATTTATTTGTTCACATTCACTAGAAAAATTGGCACCGTTTTCCTGATAGTTAGCCGTAATGTACTAAATAGAATAGCATGGATTTGAGTTTTTAGAAAATACAGGATTTTACATTCGGAATCTTTTCGCATAAGTCAACTGATTCTAGAGATAATTTTAAATCAAAATATATAGCAGGAAGACGTGGACAACCTTTGAACGAAGGAACTATATGCAAGCAACAGAAGTAATCTTTTATCTTTACGCTTACCTTCCATATTCATGACGAAGAAAAAGAATCTGAATGAGAAAATGAAAGAATCTTTGGCTAGAACATTTACTTAGCGAGAAAAAGAAAGACGTAGTATGGATAAATTTAAAAGGAATAAAAGACAACGATAACTAGTGGTTGGTTGATTGTATCAAATGAAAATGAATGAAGAATGGCGGAAGTCGATGAGTCATTTTGCTCTATATCTACGTTCTTATTTGTTTGATGTGAGAAGTTTTCTCTTTTCTTTTTAACGATGAATGAAGAGAAATAAATATTCCGCCAAGATTCTTATTATATTTTTCTTCATATGAAACAATAATTATGTCAGCGAACAGAATCGCTGTTATGATATGTTTGTCACAACATCATTTATCGTTGTTAATTTATCGGGAATTTAGCTGACAAGTTACATTAATTGAATTATCATTGCTTTCAAAAGCAGCGATCATATTGCGTTAATTTTATTTTAGAAAATGTATTCCAAGCATGCCAATAACTAAACGTGAATCATATACATGAACGAATTTTCACAATGCAAGTGAATTAGAATAGTGAAAAGGAGATGAGAAATCATACAAATATATTCATTGACGTCAAAGATGAGCTGTGAAGGTTGCCGAATATTGTTCCAACTTGTCTAAGCAAACCAAGAAAAAAAGATGAACTATCTTGATTATAGCCGAATGAAAATAAAACGATTGTTTTGGTTGTCAGACTTCTATTTGAGTGTTTTCTATCTTTCCAATAGATCTCTTGATAGAGTATTTACGAAAATAACTGAAATATTTATTATAACCAATTTGAGTTGAAATAAAATTTCTCTACAGACGAAAAACATAATATTAATGAGCTTATGAAAAGAATGTAAAAGCACATGTGTTAAATAGAAATACTAGAAAATAAATTCTTTCCCAAAAGTGATCAGATAAAGGAAAATATTCTTATTTTAGATTAATACAATTCTTTATTAATCAAATATTTTCTTATTTCCCTTGATAGAGGAAAAAGAAAAAGAAATATTTTTTCATATTTAAAATATATCAAGTATTATTTATAGCCAAAGTTTTTCCAAATTGTTGTCAAAAAAATGCACGAAAAATGAAGCATCTCATAGGTTTATAAGTATAACATACATATCTTGTCTTCCATTAGCCACAGGATGGTTCGAATGCAACCCAGTCGATATTTTTCTCCTATGAGAAATTCTCAAAACTGGAAAAAGAATTTTGAATCATGAAATAAATTTTTATATCTATCATTGACATTTATTTTCTAAACTATACAGAGGCTCATTGTCTCACTCTGCGATGTTTCTTATTGTTAATCAATTCAATTAGCTTAGGATGCCGTTGTTCAGCAAAGCGTAGTGTACTAAAATGAAAAATATTTGTAGATTATTAAATCGCTATATAGTTGTTGTTGTTTTTTTCTGTTTTACAGATGCGCACGGCTCATTTTCTAATTAGCTCAATCAAACACTAATGACTTTGATCATTCATTAATCGTTTCGATCTTTAAAATGAAAAGCTTTGAAAATAAATGAGCAATTATGTGTATCGCGTAGAAGCACCCCGAGAGGAGATAATGAGAAATCACAAATCAACAACGGCTTATATTCGTACAACAACAGCAACAAAAAATGTTTTATGTCTATGGAAAATGTAAAAAAAACTTCGGCATAACATTTATTTTCTATCATAATTGTTAAAATCGATAAATACCTAAGTTATTGCACACGTCGTGAAAATTCTGCTTAACACTCCATTTGTTCATTCGAGCGTGTTTCGAATTCGGGTGTCATATGAATAGACGTAAATTATTAGTTCGCAAAATCGCTTGGAAAATAAGTATTGATTAAAAACTTAAGCTCATTCGATCTTTATTTGATCATTTTAATGTTCACACACTTCCAACATCGGTACCACGATGTACAACTATAAAGAAATATATATCTATTTTGGCACCTTGTTCACATTCTCACAGTTAACTCGAGGAATTTAGTATTATTTTTATGAATCAACTGTATCTTCTGATGATTATGTCATGCACATCTATAGATCGAAGTCGGTTTAGTTATTTTTTTGATGACATCACATATCTATTTATTTTATAATAGACATCGAAAAACAAAAATATATGTACAGAAAAACAAAACGAAACACCGGTATACTAAAAAATAGAAATAGAAATTTTTGCTCTATTCAATAAACTCATTTTCATAAATATGAGAATCATCTTGAGGAAAAGCAATCCATTGTAATGTTTCGCCACCGAAAACAAATGGAGATTTATGTTCGGAATATTGTTTGTTAATCGTATTTTCATCGTTTGATTTCGTTTTAATTGTTCGTAGATTTTTTAATAATTTCGTAATTTGTTTAAATGTAAAAAAACATGATGGTGTTGATGCTGGCGTTGTTCGATGATGGACAACTTGTTCATATTGTTTTTGTATAGTTTCAACATTATTAAGTATTTGTTCAAGTGTGTAATGTTTTTTATCTATTGGACGAACATAATCCTTTCGGTTTTTAACAATTTTCGATTGTCGTGGCGTACACGTTGCCGTATCAAATAAACGATCGTATACATTTTCATTAGTACGATAATCACTTATAGGAATTGGTGATGAAGTCGTAATCGTATTCTTAGGAGATATGTTAACATAAATATCAACCGCCGTTGAGTTTTGATTGTCAATACGTACATGAATCATTTTATGAAATGAATGAACGAGCATTAGAGACAGGTGTGTGTCGATTCATTTTCTATCGATTGACATAATTGAACCAGGAAGGAAGTGAGAGAGAGAGAGAGAAAACGAAAGAAAGAATTCATCGTCAGATGCTCAACTAATGTTTCGTTTTTATTCGCCCATCATATTTAGAACGAAAAGGTGTCATAACGAGCGAGTGAGAATACAACTAAACATTGCGATGATGTACCGTGCAATGCAAGCAGATGGAGATATTCGTTAAAACAAAAAGAAACATGCATATTATCGATTTTTTTTGTTTTTTTATTCGATTGCATCCGGTTTCTCATAATGACACATTCGAATAGGAAATAGCTGCATCTAGTGATGATTAACAATTGAAAGAAAACAAAATTTTAACATGAACTTTCACACAATGATCTCCGACTGGTGATGTGTAAGACGTAATTGAGTTTTACTCTCAATGGAATAAAGGTGTTAAAAGGCAATTGTGTGTATGTTACAAGAACGTATTGAATGAACATTCGATCGAATCATAATCTTCTTCATTTCGGAAAAAATTTGAAGTAAATCTTTAACTGAGGGTCAATAGTATTGTTTCACTTGTTATTTGTGGCCATCGGAGTATTTTTTTGTTTTAAACAAACCTGTGATTTTGATAATCGGTACATTTATCTCATTTGTATTTGATTGCTCTTCTCCTTCTTCTTCGTCATTTTTTTTCTCACCTGCCACTGTGAAGATGAAAGGAGAGAGAAAAATAATTGGTTAAAACAGGTGTGCAAACTTTTGTTTCAATAAAATGGCTTAGATAGTGAAAGTATTCATAATGAAATAAATTTATATTTTAAATGTATAAACTTATTTTCTCCTGTTCGATTATTTAAATGTTTCATGGAACTATTTTATGACTAAACAGATTATTTATGAGTTTTGATAGTATGAAAATTATTGTACTCCTATGCTCTTCTTTTGTAGAGAGAAACAGATAGAGATTATCTTGTGTATTGTTATTATCGAATTGATACAGCTATCTGTATGCTCTATTCGAACAAGATTATTTGAATAGAGATCATATATTTTATTGTTACATCGAAACTAATGTTCGGTTGTGTTTTCCAGCTAAATATATGTTTATATTTCATTTAAATTGTTATTACTTTCTTATGAAAGGCATATCTGTAAGGCAATATGCAATTATTGCTTCCCTGAATTATTTAATTTGATTTACTCACATTTCTTCAATCTATTAACATAGACTAACTTGATACTTTTTCGAATCTTCATTTCATTTAGTTCCTCTGTCTACAGATGTCGTTGTTAACCAATCGCACATCGATTTTCTTGCTACACACTTATTGATATCCGATATATTTTTCAATAAATCATTGCAAAAGAATCGATGTATTGCTATATTTTCTATTAATCATTAGTCATATACAAAAAATGTATGTTGAAATATACTCTATGACTCATTCAATCGTATTGTCTATTAGTATCAATATGAATGAACGAACAAAAAAAATAAACATAGATATCAAAATGCTTGTGTATTGAATTAACTCATACTTTACGTATGATGTAAAATATATTTCCCAGGCTTAAGAGAAAAAAAAAGAACAGAAATAATTCATCAATCATTTACGCGGCTGCAATTTGAACTTTTATGATTCCGCGATACACACCTACCTATTGATCAGCTGACCTTGATTATGCATGCATTTCTTTTTATTGTAGAAGAAAATATTTTTCGTTTTAATTTTTTTGGATAAATACAAAAAGGAAAAAGTATGACAACAGTGGTACGACGTAATGTTCGACCAGCAGCGTCAAATACTGGCGGTGCGTACAGTGATTCAGCAAGTAGTAATACATTTCAATCAAATCAAAATGAACGTGACGATCGAGATAAAAACGATGAACGAGATAGCGACGATGATGATAAAGAAACACGTCTTACACTGATGGAAGAAGTATTATTACTTGGTTTAAAAGATCGAGAAGTTTGTTAATTTGAATTCAAAAAAAATAAAAACTGCTTGTTTTTCTTCTTCTTCAGGGTTATACATCGTTTTGGAATGATTGTATATCGTCGGGTTTGCGTGGTTGCATTTTAACTGAATTAAGTTTTCGTGGTCGTGTTGAACTTGAAAAAACGGGTGCACGTCGTCGAACATTAGCCAATCGTAAAGTTATTTTACTGGATGATACAGCAACAGGAGATGTTCTACTCGATGAAGCGTTACGCCATATAAAAGATACGCAACCAACAGAAACTGTGCAAAGTTGGATTGAATATCTTAGTGGTATGTAACACTATTCGAACTTGACAAATTAACTTCGAACTGTATTCTATCGAGAATAATCCATGTTGATTTCAAAGAAAAACAAGTCATTAGATGAATTATCGGGCTCATACTTTAGCTGACGTTAAGAGTATTTTTCTTATCGTAGAAAATAATGTTCTATTTATAAAACGAAAGTTTTTTCTGCTCGTAAAATTTTTGACTGTATCGCGCTCTGCACACTAAACATTGAGGCATATTGAGAATACTATTAGAAAAGAATACATCGTACTTTTACGTTTTTTAATCTTAAAATTATGTCGATTTGAATTATAACAAAGATTCAATCAGACAAAATCTTAATAGCCTTGAAATATTGAGTTGTTTTAGTTATCCTACTGCGTTTGATTTGCTCTGTTAGCTTGTCATTATTTGTTGTGATCTGTGTAATTTTTTAGTATGTTAATATTATGATTATAATTTGAATAAGTGCACGAGTGTCTTGATACAAAAACAAGAACATTATTTTAATCAAGATAAGATCGTATCAAACAATTTAGCACACCGAAAATTTTTATTTTGATTGAGAATAGTTTTTATTACACTGACTAGACTAATTAGAGAGGACATATCAAGGCTAGCTCGAACACAGTTTAGAGGAAAATTTGAAGCTTGCCTACTGTCAATTAACGAATTTGATCGTATCTGAATCGAACTAATATTCTTGTTATTTACCTCGTGATTTAAGCAACGGCCTGCATATTTTCCTTTTCAGTTATTAATATCAGTAAAGAGCTTGTCAGGCTAACTCCGCTGCCGGAGAATGAGTGCGTTACTGTGTTTATCCTTGTTGCTTTTCTTATTACTTTTAAACGGTGTGCCAGAGAGAGGCGGGCAGCATCGTATTTTGTTCACTAAAGCGTGCTCTACAAAGTGCACTTTTCATTTTTCTTGTGTAAAATATTCTTTCACTTGTCTTACGAAAAATACAACAGAATAAAAAATGATTTAAACATCTTAAGTACACCTTGTATTTTTCGTAAGACAAGTGAAAGAATATTTTACACAAGAAAAATGAACAGTACACTATGTAGAGCACATTTTAGTGAACAAAATAAGATGTAGCCCTCGTCTCTCTGGTAAACTGTTAAAAAGTAATGAGAAAAGCAAAATGCATAAAAATAGTAACGCACTCATTCTCCGGTAGCGGAGTTAACCTAGCAAGCATTAACTATTTACATAAGTTGCGATAACATCGCTTTGTCTTTCTTCGATATGGTTGAATAAAGTCGAAGTAAAAATAATGTTTGTGGGAAAAAATGCAAATAAAACTATAGTTAAATGTAAGATTGATTGACAGGAAATTCTGTGTGTTCTAAAGAAAAACATTTTGTTTTTCGAATATCGTATTTTGTGTTGTGCTTGCAACTTATTTTCTACTGAAACGGAAAAGAATAAATCAATACTACTGAAGCTTAGCTATACTATATGATAGTGACTGTAGAAATCATAAGTTAGATATCGCGGCTGTTATTGAACTCGTGGGAAGATCCATTCACCCTGAAATTTAATCAAACCCATGAAGTCCTAGAACATAAATTTTGTTTAGTCGCCAATGTAAATATCACTTTTTTCTCGCAATTCTTATGTGAATCTTCAACAGTGAACAAATATCATTTGTTTTCTAGGTGAATGTTGGAATCCATTAAAATTAAAATATCAATTACGCAATGTTCGTGAGCGTTTGGCAAAAAGCCTTGTTGATAAAGGCATATGCAGTACGGAGAAACAAAACTTTTTCTTATTCGACATGACAACACATCCGCTTAGTGACAGTGTACATAAAGTAAAACTAGTAAAAAAAGTACAAGATAGTGTTTTATCACGCTGGCCAAATGATCCACGCCGTATGGATAAACGTATATTAGCTCTTATATATTTAGCGCATGCAAGTGGTAGGAATAAAACATTGAGCAAAAGTCACATACTGAATCTGATAGTTTGTTTTTATTTAGATGTTCTTGAAAATGCGTTCACATCGTTATCCGATGATGATTATGAAGTTGCTATGAAACATGTCCGTGAATTACTTGATCTTGATCCCGATCAAGAAACGGGTAAATATGATAGCAAAATGGAAGCTATGTGGGCTGTTGTATCAGCATTCAACAAATGAAAATTCAGTTTAGTTTACCTGACGCGTTCAATTCCACATTATAGAAACTTATTCTTTATCATTATTTTTGTTTTTTTTCTTTTTTGCTCTGGCTGCCATTTCTTTTCTCGTTTCTAATAAAATCAAAAGTTTTAAATTATAAATAGATATAAATATCTTTTTCTTTCTCTCTCTCTCTCTCGAATACAGTGACGTAATTTTTGTGTTGGGTCCAGAAAGATTAATTGATTTCTAACAAATTGTACTTTAGTTTTCTGTTTAGCATTAAAAAAAATCTCTTTTCTTATTTTTCTCTTTTTTTTATTTGTACGTGAAGATCCAACACTATTTTGCTTTCTTTTTTTTTCTCCTCTGTGATACACATGCACAAGATGTATAAAATAAAAACAAAAACGCAACAGTTTATTTTATTCTTTCTCTTATAGATGCCAGGATGAGAAAGTTCTCATTTGATGATTGTTTCTTTTTTTTGCCGTTCCTGTTTCTTCCTTTCATCACTTAGCAACGCATCACAGAACTAAAACGAGTGAAAGAGTGTTACTACATAGGCGATAAGTAGCACGTCATGAAAGGTAGTGACTTACTTCTGTTCGGTCTCTTTACTTTTCGTTAAAACAAGAGACCTACAGGGCTTTTTCATTTTTCATGTGTAGGCGATTGACGTCACTGGGTAAGACAAAAAAATCTTTTCACATTGTGACTAACCCGATGAATATTAAGAAAAAAAGCAAATAAATTATAGATAGTAAACAAACTTACTTACGTAGGACATATAATCAATTAGATATAATATAGAAATTATTCTAGATGATAGTGATATTTTAATTTCTTTTTCTTCTATTCGAACATCACTTTATTCATTCCGAATTGTAGCAAGCATGGGACCATTTCTTTCGCGTATGGGTATCTTATTGGGTACACGCATTAACAATTATGACATGAATGGTATTCCTCTTCATCATAAATGTCGTAATTGTGGTCGTGGATGTGATCCAGTGAAATCTACCACAACATGTGCTAATGCTAAATTTACTCGTACGGGTACAAAGGATCAGGTAGCCATAATAAGACCAGTCATACCAGATGAAAAAGTACGATGGTCATCATCATTTGATTATCAACCAGTTGAATTTACTGCGGAAAAAGTTCGAACATCAACTAAAGAGTATGTCGATCGAGACCCACGACAGGATTCATCTGTGGAAATACCATGGAACTCCGATGATCGTTTATGCGATCGGCGATCTTATCATGGTACTTATAAAATTATTGGGCGTGTACCACAGAATCCGTGTGGACGCACCGGTATTACTGGTCGCGGACATCTTGGTATGTTTCAAACTATGAAAATAAATTATTTTATACCACTAATTTAGGTCATTTCGGGCCTAATCATGCCGCCGATCCAATTGTAACACGATGGAAACGTGATGCAAATGGTGAAAAAGTAATTCATACAGAAACGAGAAAGCCAATTTTACAATTTGTTTGTATAAAACGTAAAGATACAAATGAATATGCTATACCTGGCGGAATGGTTGATAAAAAAGAGAAAGTTACTGAGACATTACAACGTGAATTTCAAGAAGAAACACTTAATTTTCCTGACTTAGATGAACGCAACAAACATGATTTATTAGCAACAATAAAAGATATTTTTGAAAATGGTGGCATTCGCATTTATTGTGGTTACGTTGATGATCCTAGGTATTGAAAAGGAATTCATGTTGAATCTAACCATTCATTTAATCTTTTATTTTATAGAAATACAGATAATAGTTGGATGGAAACAACAGGTATGAATATCACGTTAAGTTCTATTAGTCGCTTTCTATACTATAAGTCACAGTTAAGAATATTAGTCAGTTGCGCATCTTCGGCAGAGTATTTACATGAATTTTTTGCAACTTAATGGGCGAACATATTTTATTTTATAGTTCACATTGATGTTACAATTTATCGTGTCTGGATTCTTCACTCAGTAGACACATGCAATAGTGAGGATATATCGACAAAAATATACGTTTTTCAACTTTTAAATCAGACTCTATTACTATCGAAGAGAAGCGCTGAAGTCAGCAGGGTTAGTTTCGAGTTCGAATGAAATTACTAGCTAATAATGGCCCGATCCAAAATTTATGAACCCGATATATTCAACAATGCACAAAAAACGTTTTTCATTCATCCCAAAATGATGGAGACAAAAATCATTTTTTTGCATTGATTCGCTTCCCTATATGAGGCCGATGTACCTTTGCAAAGTGTGTGTTTTTTTCTTTGAAAAAAATTTGAATTAGAATAGCACCTATCGGCTACAAAACTTATGTTACTGTTGACGATGTCTGATTGCTCTTCGCTCTAGTACATCTCTCTGAAACCTATGAATGAAGAAAGAAAGAAGAGACCAATAGAAAATTTTCCGAACCTGAAACCGAAATTAGTGAAATGATACAATGAAGTCTAAGAAATTTCTTCTTAAATTCATAATGGCTTTTCTTTCAGCATACAATTTTCACGATGGAAACAATGAACATCTCGCACTAATCAATGTTCATGGTGGCAGCGATGCCTTAAGTGCATTTTGGCATGATCTTGGCTCTGAAACACCCTTATTTGCCAGTCATGCTGATTTTCTTCAACGCGTTGCAAATCTTCATCAAGCTCATTGGTAAACGAGCAAAAGCAAAAAACATTTATTTGTCTGATATATTTAATTGTATAGCTTCAAGATCTGTTTTCACCTTATATTGAGAATGAATGTATAAATATAAGAATATGTGTGCTGTAATTAATTGTTTTGAATCAAGTATCAAAACAATAAAATACCACAAATTTATATTTCTGTCTTAAACCGTTTCTGATTGTTATTGTGTATTCTTGTTTTTAAACGTTTGTTTATATACAAACAAAGAATGTAAGAATAGTTTATGTTCGGTTTTTTAAATTTCTCAATTATGAACATATTTGTATTGTCAGTGATTATCAGAATGAAAATTATTCAATCGTAATGCTTGATAAAAAAAATATGTATTTTTTTTTCTTTCCAATTTTAACAAAAAAATAATTTTATACGTTAATCAACTACTAAACTATAAGAAATATAAATGTATCAAAGGAGTCTCTTGCAAATGATAATCTGACAAGTGAAAAAGAACGATTCTTTTCTCATTGTATTAAACAATCATCACATTGATGAATATTAGTAAGTCGTTTACTCAATGTATCAATACGTTTTTGAAGATCGGTGATTTGAATTGAGTCTTGAGTTTTCGTATAATCATTTGAAGAATCGTCGGATATTTCTTGCAATGAAACAGTATCTAGTCAGTAAAAACTAAATCGACGATATTGATTCATTAAATCAACTTACTACTAAGTAAATTGACAGATGTAATTGGTTCTGTAATTAGATTTTTACCATAATCAAATAATGATTCAAGTTCAGTTATATTCGATGATAGATCAATCAGTAATGAATGGTATTGCTCATCCTATGCAGATAAAAGATAATATCGAGTGATTCATGTTGAGCGAGCGGGCAAAGAGGCTATTCCTCGAAAATGATCAGTTGTTACGAAAAATTTTCGGACAAATTTTTTTACAACGTCTTTAGCCTCCGACACTCTTGAAAACCATCGACAACTCTCTCGTCCTCTCTTCATTCAAATTGAATCATAGAAATAATTCGATAGCGGGCAATTAAATTTCGAAAACCATTTATGTGCAGTTTTTTCTTCAATAGCACTCGGCTCCTTTGACTGTATTATCGTTTCTAATATCTCAGTCTGGAGAACAATAGAAAAATAAAATCACCGTCTTAAATATTCACAAGAGGTGGATTTGTTGAAAATTGCTCCTAGCAAGACTAGACATGATAAAGTTGAATCTATCGTGTCAAACATATCAGGTAGAGACATCCTTATGGTAATATCGTGCGATCTAATCACGTAAAATCTTTCGAACTACCATAGAATCTAATCATGCTATGTCAATACATCAATTACTGGTGGAAAACCCTTGGAAACTCTTACAGTCACATACGATTTCTTATGATACTATTATCAGTTTCTTGCAAAGCAACAAGATCTTATAATGCCGCCGCTAGGTGTAAAAATTCTCATTGAAAATAGAGCATATTCAGAAAATGATTTTAAATTTCAATGATACTTGTTTGTTCAATTGTACTGTATTATCTAATGTAATTGTTTGTCGTTTTTGTTGTTGATAAACTAAATGAAGCTAACAAAAGTATGATTATACAAACGAAATAGTTTATCATTAACTGACTAATTGATTAAATTGATCAATATGTTCATTTGAATTCAGGGATTTAATTGACAAGAGACGATTAATTTCTTGAAGAATAAAATCATTTTCTTGTTCTATTTTTAAACGATTTATTTCTTTTAACTAAAAATATAATATTTAAAAACAAAAGCAATTGAAACAAACAAATTAATACATTTTCACGGCATATTTGCTTTGCAACAAGAAGTTGTCCTTCAATTCTTTGAATTTCTTTTCGGATATCTTGATGATTACGAGCCATTTGATTTTACTTACTTACGATACATTGTCAAAGTTGATCCAATAAACGAAAAGATCAATGATTCATTCTCGAAGTCTTTGTTCTAGGAATGTTCGCACAAGAAAAGATTGAAAAACAAATATTTTTACGCTTTTGTTTATGAAGTCACGGTTACGGATTTCATTTCGCAAGCGCTAATATTCGAGCGTAGGTTTAATTAACTGTAATCTACTAATGTCGCTACAGTAAGAAACCATCAATTTTCTATTTGACAAATTGTGATTGACGAAAAGATTGCATCACAATCATTTATTTTTATCAATTTTTTCATTTCCATAGAATCAAATTCTGTTGTTGCTTTGCAAGATTGAAAATCAAAAGGGAAAAAGTGATTCACCACTGTAAAAACAGAGCATATTTTTGATAAACTTGATTTTAATTGTGACTGTTGCTTTTTGTTTTGAGCAAATCTAAATATTATTTTTCTTTATTCTATTTTCCTCTTAAGATTTATAACCGAATTAAATCCATTAAACTCAATCACCATGTGTAATTTATATTGTCAAGATAAATATTTAACAAACTCAATAGATAGAATAAATAGTCAAGTCTTTTCTTTTTATAGCACAATCTAATTTCATACTCGCCACAGAAATATCTATTAAAGAGGAAAATTGAAGTTCTTATTTTGTTTTCTTTAAAAATAATTGCTAATGAAAGGTGTGCCGCGGCGTCTTGGAAATCTCTTAATTTAGCCGAGACAAAACAAATCTGCAACATTTCATATAGAGCAAAATCGACAACATGACGATATTCATTATTTATTTATAATGCTAAATGACATTTTAAGTAATTTCTCAAATAAAAGTAGAATAATTTATATATATCAACAGAATTGATTGACCGCATTGAGTAAAACAGTTGGTGTACTATTTTTCACAATTGTTTAGTTGTCTTGGTGAATTCTTTTCTTCTACTAAATGCATCTTTTATTTATTCAAAATAGTCGTTCGTTCTCGAGGCATAAAAATCAACTCGAATCAATGAATAGTTAACAGTTCGTTTGTAAGAACGATGTAAATAAACCTTTGCATAGAAATAAAATAAAGGAAATCATCAGGCTTTGTTTTCTCTCCAGAAAATGCACCAATGAATGTTTTTCTACGAGCCAACAAGAATAAATCTTTCACAATGTCAAACATCGCTGAAGTTAGCTTTTGATTGTTATTGTTCATTCATGTTCGCTATAGTGTTAGAAAACAATGAGAGATTTAGTAAGGCTTTTAACGTATAAAGATTATTAATCAGTCTCTATCTCAACTAAAATGGAAAAGCAATGTCAATTGGTGGAGATATTTTTCTATTAGAAAAATGAAATGTCTTTTTATTCACTATTTTTCAGTAAATCATCTAAAAATAGTCGGAATCAATAGATATATTGGTAAATTCCATCGTGATAGAATCAACACTCATTCAACTGAGAAAAAGAAAACCATCTGATCAGAACTCGGTTTCGAGCAGAAAATTTTGAAACTACACAGAGAAAAATTTAACGCAGACTTTTCGCCAACGATGGAGAGAGTGATGAAGCCGGTGTTTTTTTTTACGGTATCTGGATCGGTCTATGTTATCGAAAAATTAATTTGATTAGAAACGACCTTAGCTGTCAATGTCAAAAATTGGTTTGTTCTCATTGTTTCTTTCAATAAAATAACACAGAAGCTCGGCAAAAGTAACCGATTCAAATCATAAGTACTTTGAACTGTCTGTCTGGTCGAAGTAGAACATCTTTTGAAAACAAGACACAATTTTTCTTATGCCCATAAGCCATTTCTTTTTAATATAAAATGGAAATTGTCAATGAAAATCCTTAGTATCCGGAATATATTTTAATTATCGTTTTGTATGACTTGGGGAATATTCACTGTGGCGTCTCGGATATTTAGGAAAATCTTTACATGATTTATATCGATGAGTTATAGAGAATTAATAATCAGCAGCTGAGTGTTTTCTTCTGTGGTAAAGTATGATTTAGATTCACCATCAATCTCTTTACTACTAGCTCGAAGTCGATGATTGCCATTGAAAATTCATTATCGTATTCTTTAGACAAACTCTCCAGGGTGTCTATGAAATAATGCGTATGACCTTATATTAGTACTCAAGCCTCTTTATAGTAATCGGCTGTTTCTATTAGTAGAATTTTACATAGATGTCAAACTAATATTAGACTTCTATTCATATTATATCTAATTAATCATTGATGTTTTTTTTATAAAACAAATTTTAGCTTTATAAAAATAATATTTTATTGAAGTCTTTTTTTAGGCAGTAATGTAAGACGAGGACCATTCTTTCATATAATCAACGACAGTATACTTATATTAATAGATTTTAATGGCATCGAGCTTAAATAAAATAATATTATTATATATAACATTAAGATCACCACTAACAGCCAACTAGTATAATCCCTGCAACAATTGTAATATAAGCTGATAGTTGTATAGTCTTCTAGAACAGTATTATGGTGATACAAGTCAACTGTTAAAGTAAATTTTCATGTTTTTCCTTTAGCTTTATATAAGTCGATCGGATGATTTCTCGAATACGTAGTTGAAAAAATATCGAATATTCAAATACAACATAGAATTGAAATCATGACCCTTATGAAGTTTGATGAAATGTGAGGAAAAAACACATCCTCTAGTTTCCATTTCATCAGTTCTATATCAATAAATCGACAGCAAAGCGTAGTAATGCAAAATGATAGAGAGAAGCACTTGAGTACTTTAGGTCATTGATCAATTGAAAACAGGAAATAGTAGATGTTTTATTTATATCGAAATTTCTGCTGCTATACATGATACATGTGATTGTTAATAATGAATCTCTGAAGAAATTTTATCATTAATTTCAAGTTTAATGAAGACAGTAGTTGTTCTTTCAAAACTGCAATCGCACGAAAGAAAATGATACAAACATATTCACATCAAACAATGGTCTATTGCTATCTATGGTAAAAGCATTCTAATTGTTTTGTTTTGTTCTTGTTCTGTCTTGAAAAAATCAAGTTCCTTAGAATTCTGTTTAAAATAAATGACGTAAACAGCAAGTACTTAGTACACTTTTTACAGACAATATGAAATTCAAATAAGGTTTTAGTTTTATATGGAAGTTTTTCATTGAATAAAGTATTGAAACCTTCTGTTTTATATCTATATATATATAAAGAGCTATTCGTGTGCAATAATGAGTGACGATCGTAGATTATTTTTACGATAAATGATTTCGCGCAAAGCTATTATTAGATACTCTATAGAGAAACAAACAATTTACGTACACTCATTTTCAGTGTTGCCAGTTGTCGAACTTGAAAATCTGGCAACTTGCGGAGCTTTTTTCAAATGTTGAAAAAAGGCGGGAAGGTTTTTTGGGTCCGTTTTTTCATTTAAAGTACGTTTTACTCTAGCGGATTCGAAACAAAAATACTCTTTATACATATCTACAACATATATCTAAATAAAACAGTGCACATCCAAGAAGACTGCCTGATGTCAACCTCGAAAATCCAAAAAATTCAGGAATTGGTTTTTCGAAATCGAGAAAAGCTGTGAAAATTCGGAAAAATTTTCGAAGTCTAGAATTTTTCCAGAAGATGTGGGCATCTGGCAACAGTGTCTATCTTACTTGACCAAGAAATCGATGATTATCTTTTAAATGAACCAGATCTTTCGAAATATATAATCGATTGTTAGTAGAGTTACGCCACAAAAGTGTCACGAATTGCTGAGTAAATTCGCAAAGTAGTTTTTACTATGCATTCTAACGAACACGTTTTAATTATCCATTTAAATAAACTTTATGAAATCAGCATTCTATTTTCAATTTTTATTCATCTACAACGAAAATTTTCCGCACCAATCCCATGACAGGAAAAGAGGTTAATGTATCTATTAGTGAAAAATCGGAAGTTATCAGATAAAAGTCATCGAATGACTGTTGAATGTCAAAAAAACACTCCTGATTTTTCAGAAAAATTGCCTGATTTCTAAAATTTGTATTTGGTAACACGGATATATACATCCTCTTAATTGCGTTTGGCAAGCTATTTCTTTTTTGTTCTTCTAATTAAATACTTTATGAAAACAAGTAAATATTGTAGTATTTTGTTTTTCAAAGACTATAAACTGACATTTTTATAGAGTTCTTCGTGCTTAGAATCGCCACTTCAAGACAAGTATGATATTAATAACATCAAGCGTACAACGACATGAACAAATAACGATCTAAATAAAGTCATGTCTCATACAATCAAGTTTCAGTTACCGATACGTGCCTATAATCGTTTGGGCTAATCATAGAAATAGATACATTGGCCTTGCGTATACATACATATTTTTTTCTTCTTGCTTTCTTTATTATAAGTGATGTCGTTAGCACAAATGCATGCCATTATTGAGTACAAGTAGACATTTTTGTATGCGACAGAGATAGTATTATGAGTCTCTTCTGTTTACTTTATTCTTGGAGAAGAAAATTATTCTCTCATTCATTAGAAGACTAGACCCATGATGACAATGAATAATAAAGATCCGCCTTGATCACCGGCAATCTTGCCTTTTCTCGCAATATTTTATAAAATAAACAGGAAATAAAAAAGAACGCAGCAGAAAAAAGCGAGATGGTCGAGTAGCAATCAGTTCAGATAACAGAATGAGTGCAGACATCATCTGACGTCAAACGCTCTCGATACATCATTCTTTTTCTTAGTCATATTTTCTTATTCTTTTCAATCATTATTATTTGCTAGCAAACTAAAGAAGTACACAAACGCCCACCCTTCATATGCATTCATTCATATCGATGGCTAAAGATATTTATCCTTGACTAAACTAGTTCTATTTTGCATAGTAGTACCCATTGAATTAATTGAAATTTGGAAAATAATAGATAGAATTGACAAATTTAATAATCAATTTCGTTCATTTAAAAAAAGAGTCACACAAGTCACACGTAAAACTAATTAGAAAGTAATGAATCTTCACACGATGATTTATTGCATATTTTACTTTACATATTAAATTATTTAGACGAATAGAAGACACATCAAAGGTACGTTTTTAATGTATTTTGTTTCTGAATAATTGGCAAAGTAACTTTTTGACTACATTAATTACTATTCATTTATGTTTGCATGTGCCTTGTTTTCTGAAATACGTAATACTATAATGATTTGATGGAATCATTAATGTAGATTTTTCTATTATCATTTTTACAATCAACTCCACATTTCCGCTACTCGTTTAAGACAAGCATAAGCAAGTAGATTTCATGTGTTTTCGATCGTTTATTTTAATCATTACATACTCAAGGTCTCTACAGTTTTTCACTAGTCATATTCATTTACTTCTAGTCTAGAATCTAAGTGCACATCCATTATTACACTTGACTACCTTTTTTTTACTATTTGGACTTCCTGAATGTTGTTAAACACGTAAAATAAGACCCGCTGTTTACTACTCTTAAACGATTATTGACGAACTTATCTTTTCTTTTATGAAAAATAGCAATGTTGATTTACTTGTTTCATCGTATTTCCTTTGAGGAATACAAATTTAGTGTTGACTGAATTGTGTTAAAAGAGAATTAACTTTTCTGTTGTTGCCCGTATAGCGTACTCCGAGTAGAGACGAAACAACGGTAAGCATTCATGTTGACCTATTGATTTAGTTTGTAAGAAAAACAGCTCAAGATAAAAAAAAATTGATCCTTATTACATCGGAAAATTGATACGGAATGTAGCACGTTAATTTTCAGCCGACTGTATCATTATTATTGAAGATAAAAAGGAAAAACTACATATAGTTTTTGCCCTATTCTCCAAAAGTCAATTCTCTTCACTAATGATTTGTGATATTTCGATTTTTCTGATACGATAATAATATATGTTGAGGCTCACTGGAGTCAAAGTACCTGTCGAAAACATACAAAACACGAGTCATTTCAACTGATAGTCAATTTCAAATAGGAAATAAATCTTGTGAATAAATACCAAAAGATAACTAGACGCTTTCTATGAACTCCACGACACTAGAAAGATAAATAGGCAAGACTATATTTCTTAATTCGTCTTTAGGCTTTGATGATATCCTTAGAGAAAAATAGATAATTATCTTTTCTATTTCTCCGTGAAATATCACACTGAATTATCATATTATATTGAGTTATTTCATTGCTCAAGTTACTTCTTCTGATCTATATTCTATCAAGTTTCTTTTATCGCGTTAAACTTTTGAAAAAGTAAATACTCGAAATTGCTTTTGCAATTTGCAGGAAAAAACCTCTAGAAAAAATTGATCAAGCATTTTAAGTGCATATGTGCAATATCACTTCGTGCAGAAGTGTCTTCCTTTCTTCCTTCGCTTCCATTTACCTGCCATCGTCCTTTTTTCTTCTACTTCAAAACATCGCATGCATCAACGAATTAGCATCTTTGAAGTTACTTTCACAAGAGAATTTTCTCTTTTTAGATAGACAAACAGTTAACATCCGTCCCCCTATTGTGATCGTTTTTCTATTTTCTCAGTTGGTAGTTAAACATTGTATGCTATAACCAATATTTAAGATCTTGCCTACATAGAAACGACAATATCTATGGCAGCTATTGGTTAAAACAAAATTAGTATGATAAAATCGTTGAGAAGAAAATTTATGTAATCAATTTTAATACCGATAAATTTATCAATGATTTCGAATAATATAAGTTCGACTATAATCAAAAGTTTTTCGTCTGATGAATTTACATGGTCTTTCAGAACGATTACCGTACTTATCGTATGCGGCTTAATTACAATCTTCACTATATTAGGTTTGTCAGTGAAATTTTTTTATAATTAATCAAATGCTGAAGTTATTGCAACGTGGAGAAAAATTAAATTTTAATTTCTACTTATAGGCAATGGCTTAGTTTTGCTTTCAATCAAATTTCGACTCCGTGCTAGATCATACTCTGATTATTTTATTGTTAGTTTATGTCTAGCAGATTTTTTCGTTGGCTTATTTGTAATGCCATTGATGACAGTGCATTCATTATATTTACGTTGGCCATTTCATTATCGTCTTTGTTATGTGTGGATGTCCATTGATTTTACTTGTTCAACAGCATCATTCCTTACACTTGCGTCTATGGCTCTAGATCGATATTGGGCATTAACAGGTATTCCTGTTTTTCTTAAATTTCTGTTTGGGTTAAATTTAATTGCTTTGATATTTTTAGCGCCTTATTTTCATTTGCGTAATCGTTNTACATTCATTATATTTACGTTGGCCATTTCATTATCGTCTTTGTTATGTGTGGATGTCCATTGATTTTACTTGTTCAACAGCATCATTCCTTACACTTGCGTCTATGGCTCTAGATCGATATTGGGCATTAACAGGTATTCCTGTTTTTCTTAAATTTCTGTTTGGGTTAAATTTAATTGCTTTGATATTTTTAGCGCCTTATTTTCATTTGCGTAATCGTTCCTATTCATCCGTATTAATATTTATAATTAGCTCGTGGGCTATCCCGTTTGCTATATGGCCAGGATCAATATTTATTTCTCACCATTATAGTACAATAGATCCGTCATGTGTTCATCCAGCACATTCAGTTATTATCGTTGGATTATGTACATTTTTTTATTACATCCCACTTCTATTTATGCTTGTTTGCTATTCAAGAATAATAGTCAATATTAAAAATATTGAAGTATTAGTAAGTTCATTTGGCTTTATTTATTGTGTTAAATATATTAGTGAGATGAATTTTAGAAGAAGGAAAAACAACTATTTTTAGCAGAAATAAATTAATCCTATGATAAGTAAATTTATTCATTGCCATTTAATGTCAGACAATTTGACACAAATAGATCTGAAAAAAGATTGTTGTAAATGTCCTTAAGGGTCATTTAATTACGTATGTGTTGTCAAGATCTTCTGTGTAGGGGCGGTTAAAAATATCATGATCATATAATCTTCGAGCATTGAGAGAAAATGACATGAGATTAAATAATGACAGTAATGATAAATGACTTGAATTCATTATCTACTATTAAGCCTACAGGAATGAAACCTTTAAAGAGCATTCGGATAGGGCGTGCCAACTTTCTAAAGGTAATCACCATCGATAAAGGATTGTCCAAGTTCTTACACTTGTTTTTACATATGTTATATAAGACGTGATTCTCCGGAAAAAAAGCCACTCAAATAACATTAGGAAAGCATTTTCTACTCTATGTCAAAATTGGATTAGAGTACCCACAGTCCGACAAAGAGATTCGAGGGCAATGATTCCTGACAATTTATGAGTATACTTAACCCATTAAATTTTTCATCTTTAATAAGTCAAACTTTCATTATGTGTGAATAGAAGCTGGAGGAGCGTTCTTTTTTACCAAAGAAAAACAAAAGTTTCCAGTGCCTACACTGCTGAGAGACTACCGGAATTTTGAAAGCAAGATTTCTTTTTGTGATAGTGACATAGAACAATTATCATACAGGCTGAAATAGCATGAAATATTGACTAACTACCATGCAATTACAGTTCGTAATTACTTTTAACTTATAGGCACCCACATTCATTTTCTGAATGCATGCGAGATTGACGTTTTACTACGACAGCATAGTTGATCATGAATACTGTTCATTTGGCAGTGATTAAAAATTCATATTCAATGAATCCTGATCCATCTAATTCGACTGTTTATCTCAGAATAGGTTTTTTCTACCATAAAGATAATTCATCTTCAATAGTTAAGTAGTTGGAAAACTCATTTTCATGCTATCAAGATAATTCTTTGAGACTCTATCCATTCAGAATGAAAGATCTGATGCAATCCAGATGAAATTTCTAATGAACAAAGCATATGAACAAGTGCTCGAGGTGGTTGCAGTTGAAGCTAATTATTTGGTCATTCATTTTTTGTTTTCAATAGTATTCGAATCAAAAATTGAAAAAAATAGAATGAGAAATTCATCATAGAATACTTCAATTTCGAAAATGGGTTCTATTTCTCCAATCAACAGATAAGAACGATACCATACTTTAGATAATTTAATTTATTTTTGAGGCGACATTCACATATGGTTCTCGTAGGTTAATAGTAGTGAAGAATTATTATGCGTTGAATTATCGACAGAGCATTCAAATGAACTAAAAACGTTTGATTTGTTTATTTCCCGATGATTTTCAGTCAAAACGTTTTAAAAAATTGTAAATTTCAATGCATGTTTTACATAATGGTTAATTTTATGTACCGACTGATAGTGAAAATGTCAATTTTAATGATAATCTATTTCGAATACTATAGTGTGTTTTCTATAGATCAAAGATACATGCGATCCAATGCATTCAAATGTCTCTAGTAATAATTCAAAGTCGTCTGCTGTAGTACAAGCATTACGTTTTGATGATTCAGCTCGCAAGGATAAAACCAGTAGTGCAACAACAACATCAACAACACCACTTTCATCAATACGCTTTCGTTGTTATAAATATTTTCAACGAAATCGAGCAGTGAAATCAATGAAAACCGAATCTCTATCGCATAATAAAAATCTACGCATGATGCATGAAGTGACAAAACCTCGATCAAGCTCAAATGAATATCGTCAACATATAAATTCGAAACGACGATCAAATACAGTTGTTCAAGATGCTACACCAAAGTTTATAAACACAGAAATGGGATCGCCGCCTTCGTCTTCTGCTATTCATCACCGTTTATGTCGACCGCCAACAACAACAACAACAACAACATTCAAAGGACAAAAACGTTCTTTGAACGATACTGATGAAGATAAACGATTACAAAAGAATTCCATCGCTAGTCAAGATGATGAACAACAACGATTAGTTCGAGCTTGTATTAAAACCTATAGACTATCATTACCAGCTATTCGATATGAATCTTGCTGTTACTATCAACATTCCGCACCTGCACATACAATAATGACAAAAGCAACTATTGAAGATCAACATCGAACTATTGTGAATAATCATCAATATGATAATTCCCGTCAGAACTCTGTAGCAACTGAACGTAGTCCATCACAATCGCCTTCATCTGCTGAGCGCAATGAAAGTGGGAGTCTGAAAGGAGTACATACATCAAGGCACGATTCATCGTTGGATATAACGATGGATGAAGATAATCGTCATGTGAATCATCGCAACCAACCATTAGCCTCGTCAAAACCGCGTAGTTCAAGTCGTTATAGCCAACATGCCGTAGCTCAATTCATGCATGAAAGACGTAAAGCATGTTTAAGACGAAATCAAAAAGCCAGTCGAATGCTCGGTATGCATAAAAACTACTCTAATTTTTGTGTTTTACTTATTAAGAGTGGATATTCTACAGGCGTACAGACAATTCAAATTAAGTTTTATTCTTCGAGCACAAATTTACTCGTGGCCATATGTTGAAGTCAAAGAAACAACTCGATAATATTAATGTAATCTCATATGAGTCTATTAGAGTTTTTCAGTTCTTTCCATTGTCTTCAATATAACTCTATACAACTATCGACTTCTATGATAAGTTCACTTGTTCAATTTTGAACCAGCGGTGATGATGTATGAAATCCTTAAGCGCTTAAAATTCATATTGTTACTTTTTTTATATAAAGCAATCGACAAATCTAAATAGATGTCTACATTTAGCCGAGTTTAGAACATAATCTGATTAGAGAAAATCTAATTGTTCTGTTTTCTTTCTAGGAATTTTACTCGCTGTTTTTCTTATTTGTTGGCTTCCTTTTACAATATTTTATCCAACATCGATATTTTATCCAAAAAAATTTTCTAGTGGACTTGAAAGCATCACATTTTGGTTTGGTTATGCCAATTCATTGCTGAATCCTTTTCTATACGTGTACAGTTCCCGCAATTTTCGTCAAGCCATTATTGAAACATTATGTTGTCATGTTCGATTACGAGCACGACAACGATTACGTTATCAATGGTCTATTCGTGCCGGCCAAAACTAGATAGCTTCTTTTTTTTAAATTTCGCTCTATTTATTCGTGACATCCTATCTTTTTTATGATTTTTAGTACAGCTTTTTCGGACACTTACGAGAGAGAAAGATAACGATAACATATAGAGAACAGAATACAAAGAACAGAAAACAAACAAACTGGAGAGGCAGTGACGACGAATCCACGTGTATTGAATTGTTTTTTCTTTCTTGACTATTCTTCCATTATCGAATATCTTTGAAACCGAAACACCGTGCCAGGGGAAAGAATCGAACCTTCTGCTATCGGACTAAATCAGATGCATAGAACCACGACGCCATCCCTGGCTACTAGATAGCTGTTAAACATACTTTATAAAGGAGTATTAAATAATAGTCAAACAGCCTATCTACATAAGATTGTCGTATATCCCATCAAATAATGACTTTTGTTATAAGTAAAAGTATTGGAAGAAAACTATTTAGTGAATTATCACTAAAAGCTAGTCGATCAATATTAACCATTGTAAATAAACAAAATTGAATGCATGCAATTAACTGCGCTACACTAATTTTCGTTGATGTTAATCAAACGTATGAATGCGTGACAACACAAAGTGTTCTCATTTGTATTATAATCTTTTTATTTTCTGTCTGTTTATCTTATGGATATTATACTTGCTTCATAAGTTGATTACTCAATAAAAATTTGAACTCGCTTCTTCGTGCAGAAATCCATAGATTATTTTTTTTTATCTCATTAAATATATATATATATATATATCGAAGATTATAATAAATCTCAACAGACTAGCAGCAAATTCACTACGTTATTTTAAAATAAAGTCTATTTGTTTATTTCTATTTTACAAAGGCACGCCACTCACATATGATTTTCTCATTACGTAAGTGAAGCATTCATTTGAACTGCATCAACATGTATACTGTATAATAAATTTATGGCTGCCTTGACGTCAACAGAAAACAAAAAAAATGTTTGGAAATAGCTTTTGACGAAACAATTCAAAGATAGAAAGATTATTATGTTAAATTCAAGTATCCATTATCTACGTCATAGTATAAGAAAGCTTTTCTAAGCACGACAAATGATCTGGCTTTTTTTCTTCAGTGTAATGGTAAAAAGTGAGATGCGCAATTTCAAAGAAAAATTGTGAAAGCTGTGCTTTCTAGTCAGCTTGGGTGAGCATTAAAAGCCGGCGCTCAATGATATGTTTTATTGAGGGTGTGCGTAGAACATAACACCCGTTCGATTTTGAAAATTACTTACGGAACTTTTATACCGTCTCATTGTTCATATTTTGTGACGAATTATGCCTTGACAGATGATTCACTGGATGTTAATTGAAAATAATTCGGAAACCTGGAACTTACTTGTAAATCACCTATTTTAGTAATAGAAAGCTGAGCACTTCTTATTGCTGTTTTTGCTATTACTTGAGATTTACTATGATTGAATAAGCGCGGAAAATTATACTCATCAATTCAATGTCTTCATTCTGACTCTACCTTCTGTTTTTTAATTAGCTCTTACAGCAAAAAAATAAAAACATGAAAAACGTATAAGTCAAACACAAAAAATTATTACTGATAAAAACAGTTGAAACTATTTAGTTAAACGTCACGTTTTTGTTAGTAAACTTGTGAGCTTAAATCTTTGATATGTCATGATTTCAACCATGCGAAGTACTTAATCAAAAATGTCTATTAATAGAATAGTATCGAAGTAAAGAAATCAATTTTGTCTTATTCAGATTGATGATTTTATATGATCGATTGAAATATAGACTAATCTTAAAAACAGACAATGAAAACCTACATCCATATAACAGAATATATTTTTCTAAATACAATGTATAGAAGCAACATTATTAAATCGAACTTTTTTTGACCCTTAAAAATCATTAGTGTCCTTCAAAATGCTAGAATATTTTACGTTTGAACACTTTGAAATTCTAGTTGTAGAATCCGATAGTGGGAGCTTATCGTTGGTTTCCACATAATCTGAAAATAAATAAGATACTTAATCTTGCGATTGTAATTATAAAAAGCTTTCCAAAGATGTTTTCGATAGATGATATTTCAATCAAATAGTAGAATAAATGTACTCACACAGAATATTGCTGTGAGCTATTTGCAGCTCTATTATTAAAATTGCCTTGTCACCTAATATAATTGCTCCTATTTTTCTTATCTATTCCATCGTCACGCGTATGTCTAACAAACTAGAGTTCTTGATAAAACCATCTGGCATGCAAAACGAAGCCACAAGAATGCATCGCACCGAATTGTATTACTTGAGAATAAGCCATGAAGAAATTAAATTAAACGAGATAAAACCACAGAGGAGTATAACTTGCTGCGCACGAGACCGCATAAACATGATTGGCCCATACAAATACATGTGAAAATTAGACGAAAGAAGATCATGCATTCTCATTTGTTAAATGCGAATGAAAACTTCTTTTTGAAAGATCATTAACTTTAGTATTTACACCGAAAACATCGAGGGCTTGGTTTCGTAATTTTCTAAATTGCTCAAACATCTCCAAATGTATTTCTGAATCCGTAAATGTGTTTATAGTTTCAGATAAAAACGCATTATCTTTCCTTGCCAATATGAAAACCTTTTCTGGACTGTAGGCTACGAGGGCTCTATTTTCAATATTGTCCTGATTTTAAATGTCCTATGCCGAAAGTTGATCCTTAAATATTATCGAAAGGAAATGAAAGCATTTTAACTTAATAATTCACATGTATACAATGTAATAATCTATCAAGATAAATGGCTCATGGCACAGCATGAATGAAAAGATTGATAATCAACAAAGTTATTCGAATTACTTGTCGTGTCATGCAGTTTCTATGTGAATCCGATCGGATCCTATAAGATCCTACCAGCGGATAGAATCTCATGAGATGCTAAGTCGAAAATTTTCTAATGGTCTCAACGATTTTAATCATAACTAATTGAGCACTACTTCGTACTAAATGCCGACACTAGAGGTCGCCCATAGCCTTGTAGTAGGATGCATCAAATTTGACAGTTGGATGTAATCGGATTCAACACGCTGGAAATCCAAATATCTTTTCTGAGTTCAGAATCCTAGAGGGATTCTTCGGTTCTATAGGAATATACGTAGAATCCGACCGGATCCAACGTCAGAATGCTTCTTACGGGATGTGTTTCATTAATATGCATAGTGAAAATGGGAGCCAAATAATTAATGAACAAAACGATTATTCTACTTGACTCAATCATTGTCTAGTGACACATAGTAATCCTGTGGAAAAACAATTGAACTCTTTATAAACTGATTTTATTGAGAACAAGCTAATCAATAATAAAAGCTAATTTTCTTATCGTTGGTTCTAGTTGCGATGTTGGAGGTCATATGAGCAACGTTTTTTCAGAAAATAGATATGTATCTTGCGCAAAGAAATAGCACATGTTTTGGTTGAGAATCTCATCCTTAAAATTGCGTTTCATTTCCGATTTTCATGCGTCGCATGATACATTAGACGCGGTTTCCGAGTGGCGCTATCTGGATTGCACTCCTATTCTCGGTCTCTCAGTGTAGCCATGGCAACAAAATATTAGGTATCAAAGATACGTATTGCGATTAATTATCATGCTGATGGTACTTGTCTTATGAAATCCAGTACTCATACTTTCATCGTTTTCATCACTAGTTTTACTTCTTTAGAAGATTTAGGCATACTGAAATGAAGACATATATTGAAGTCTTTTACCAAAATTGTCCTGTTGAGTTCAAAGCAATTCAACTATTAAGATCACTGATTGAGATAGATGTAGTATAAGTTTCAGCCTAGCACGCTGTTCTTCTTTGAAAAAAGCCAAGACTCATGAATGAAGCTGAGAATTTTGCTTATTGCGGGCAAAATTCATCATTCCTTCAAGAAACAACTCGTACTCGAACCGCGTTAGAGTATTTTGCTCTTAGATATATCCTATCTAGCCGTCACATCGCTAACAGAAAAGATTGCAAGCAGTTTGTGTGGTTCCATTGCCAGTCTTTACCTTCATTATTGAGTGATGTGAATTATTATCACTTTTCTTAAAACGTGGTTTTCCGTACTGAATCGTTGAAATTTTTCTTTTCAAAGTCCAAACGTGAATAAGCTTCTTTTTTGTTGAGTCTCAAATCCCGAGTCCCGTCGTCTCAAGGGACATGTAGATCTTTCTATGCGCAACGACAAGACGTTTTTCTGATGTGATGACTAGGAAGAAGGCATGTACTCAGATAATTGGTACGCTGTTGAACACATTGTGAGAGGATTTTAATACTTAGAAATATTAAAATCTAGGACATAGATGATAAAGATATTAAAAAATTGAGATTTGTAGGGTACGCGGTGTTGACAAATTGTCTATGATCTTACCCTGCAGATTTTGCTACGTATTAATGATAAAATCCAAAATATTTTATCAGTTCATCATTCGATTTTTTCTGATTTTAAAGCAATATGAAACAGACATTATCCAGCTAGAAGATTTCTCTCCGTCAAGCGTGACACTTAACTCTGAAACTACTTGGAATAGATTAGATTTTTTTAAATGTACCTTAACTCGTAAAAGCCGAACGTTCCTTTCAAGGGACATTTTGAAAACTTGAATACAACGCATAATGTTAGTACATGCACAATATTTTTTATTTTCCTCGACTCAAATGATCTGGTAGATCAAGAAAAAAGAGTAAGACAAATCTCTGTAATTGTTGGAGGAAACAATGCGCTTTTTAAGGCTGATAACTTTTTAAATATCAATTTTTTATTATGAAACGTTTTCTTACTGATGAATACTGGAAGCAAAATCTATTTTTCAAGTTGCATCTTCGCGACACATCGTTACTCTATCGTATGAAATCCTCCAACGATGTTTCGATTGATCTGTTGATGAGCTGCGATGTCATAAAGACCATGTCGCTTAGAAGGGACATTCGGTCATGCCGGACTAAACATTTTAACAACCTTTAATTATCATATCAGCTA